TTCTCACCAAGAACTGTAGCTGTTGCTGTTTCCGTCGCGTTACCCAAGACGTTTTCTGCATAACATGTGTATGGTCCCTTGTGTCGATTCTGGTCAACTTTGTCAATTATCAATGTGCTGAATTCCCCATGCTCTATTCTGTAAGGTGGTGATGACCTCAGTAGAGTGGTTCCTTTATACCATTTATATTTACTTGGCCGTGGAGCTGCTTCTGGATTACACGTCAGCCGTCCTTCAGTGCCTTTAAACAAGTAGAATGGACCAAATCCGGTCTCAAAAGATGGTGCCGTTGCTGCAAAGAGAAAAGTTTCGTGTGTAAGGCATTATACCCAAACATGCACGGAAGAAGAATTGACGTACTGTAAAAGTTGTTCCGGTGACGTATCCTGATTTGTTTTGTATACCAGCGATGCTAGAGAGAATGAGTTAAGAGAGCGAATCCCTGTGCCTCGTGATAAGTATTTGAGATCTATTTTCAGTTCGCGCACGTGCTGTGAAGGGTAAGTGGGTCACTGATTGGCTGATATCACGTACGTAAAATTATCGTATTTTATGTGTGTCCAAATACGATTATACTTTGCGTCCAAAATTCTAGTAACTCATAGTAGATCATATTACAAAAGTGCATTTTTAATTCTTAGTCCATTAGCGTGGACATTAAATTGTGAAGTGACTCGAGTCTGTTGGTCGTTTTAACGTGAACATTATCGGGAAAATCTCTTGTCTTAGAAGCAATAGGAAGATTCCTGACAGCAGTGAATTGTTTATAAAATTTTCACAGTGAAAAATTGATTCATCTCAAAATAAAGAAAAAGTCCACTTTTGTAATAGGGGACGAGTTTAAATTGTAAACGCAATTTTCCAAGTGCTTACCTCGAACTCTTACAGCTGTATAGGAAACGATTATTCCATGTGGATTCTCAGCCACACATTGATAAACTCCGCTATCTTGTTGAGAACTCACATTCTGAAAATCCAGCTTGTTGCCATTCAGTCTCACATGTGCACTATAGAATGCAACTTGATTAGTGACTGGACATAACTCAACCCGCAACTGACTATTTTCGAATTCCCATAATACAATCTGTTCGGCCCCTACCTCTCCCCCTTCCCTCTCCCCACCTCTTCCAATGCTCTTGGGAATATGCATTTTCAGTGAAACCAGGCAACAGTTGAGTGTATTATGGGAGATTCGAAAATAGAGTAGTAACAGCTGAAGAGTTTCCAATCAGCTCAGTGTTACCATACACCAAGTAACGTTCTACAGTCATAAGGTTCCAGTGAACGCCGACGGCTTACAACTACTCGAAAATTTGTAGAATATTTCATGTAGCTTTAAACTTCACCTTTTTATTCTATACATCTAATAATATCTTGAAAAAAATTAAGTGTCGTTCAATTGTTTTGTTTTTGTTCATGTTTTATTCAATCCAGAGTAGGAACGCGAAAATGTTTATTCCTAAACATAAGCGTTAAAAAATAGAATGTGGCCCCCTAAGTTTACCAATCACGAAGTGTATAGTGAGAGAAAAAAGGGAGCTTAAGCAGCGACGTTTTTGAACGACGCACGTCAAGCGGAAGTGAGCCTTTTCCTCTGTTAATGAGCCTTGACGCTACCGTATTTATATTGCCAAGTGTCTTAATTCTTAGAGAGACGATCTGCCCAAAAAGTTGTTCAAAATCACGGCTCAAGAGTGCAAAACGTCCATTTCCGGTTGACGTGCGTCGCTCAAAAACGTCGCTGCTTAAGCTCCCTAAAGAAAGGAAAATTACGTTGATGTTGCGAGTTTCTTCCCATTTTTGTACCACGTAAAAGATGGCAAAGGATCTGCAAATACATCGCACGTTAAACTGCCATTGCCATTAACAACAATTGAAAGTTCTGGCGGAGGCTCTGCCTTCAATTTTGGAGCAACTGAAAACAAAATCAATCAAATGATCGGTTAATAATTGTAACAAAAATGATTTAATAAAAACTCTTCTTCCAAAACTTAGACAGAAATGCCGCTATTTACAATTACCTCTTCAACTCCGCCTCTACCTAATCCATACACGTAAGTATCGCCCAGTGTGAGGGAAGCAGGATTCTGGAATGAGGGAAATTTTTGCTTGTGGAATCCGGAATTTTGGAAAATTTGCTTGCGGAATCCGGAATCCTGTGCTTTGGAATCCGGAATTCACCTCAAAGAATCCTAAATGCCACTAGAGATTGGAATCCGCAATCCAAATTTCTTTGACAAAGAATTCCGAATTCAGCACCTGGAATCCGGAATCCACGGCGTGGAATCCAGAATCCAGGACTGTCTTGCGAAAATTCGATTATTTGAAGCGGTGAATGGAAACGCCCCAAGGCCATTTACCTTTCACTATAAGTTGTACATCATGGACTTTCGGATTTCCAACATTTTGAGAATTCTCTGCTTCACAGCGGTATGTGGTCTGATGCACCTTTTTTTTTACAGATATAATGTTAAGCAATCTTCCATGGAAAGCATCAGCAATCTCAAAATTGTCCTTTTCATTCTCAAGGTTTTCCCATTTTCCATCTCTTTTAATTTTCCAGGTTATTTTTGGCTCAGGCCTGGAAGTAAAAAAATAGCAGCCAGACGTTGTCAGTAAAACAATAAATAGCAAGTGCTCACTAAGAAATGTATTTTTATCGCTATGTTTTTCCTACCAAAGTAACAACCTTTTTTTCACCCTAGAAAAATTGTGATCTCCTACCTGAAAACTCGCCCCATGTAAAGGAATTCCGGCTAGTCTTGGATTCTGGATTCCACGCCGTGGATTCTGGATTCCAGGTACTTAATTCCAGTGTTGGATTCCGACTTGGATTTCGGATTCCAATCGTTAGTGAGATTCTAGGTTCCTCGAACTGAATCCCAGATTCCAAAGTCCAGGATTCCGGATTCCACAAGCAACAATTTCCCGAATCCGAATCCGAATCCGAATTCCCTTACATGGGGCGGTGAAAACGTTCTTTACTGCTATTCGTTTAAAAGGCCGAGCGCATGGCTCAAAACAGGATTAGAAATGGGGGGACAAGCCGTTCAAAACGGATGCTAAGAACTGCTGAACGGTTCAAGAAAGTTATTCAACAAACAATAAAGCTCAATGGCTGAACACTGGGCTAAATAATTTCTTTAAGCAAGCTAGCAGCTAGGTGTCACAATTAATACACTATACGCTGTACGCTCAGTTGAAACTTACGTAGAGCACAGCGTTGGATTGAAAGACATTCCATTTTTGTCGCCAGCACTCCGTAACCTTTGGTTGTTACTAGTTATTATTATTATTATTATTATTATTATTATTATTATTATTATTATTATCGTCATCGTCATCGTCATCTTATTATTATAATTGATATTGGTCCATTGAACTCATGTTCCAACTTACCTTCCGGCTGCAAGACAATAGAAAGTTTTATTTTTTCCCTCCAAAGCCTCTTCTTTAGCAGCAGACATAAATTTCAACTTCCACGAAGGCTCTCTTGGTGTCTTTGGATCTTTTTGATCTTAGACAAAATACAAAATACTGTTAAAACATTTGATTTACCCGCTTTTCTGGACACAGGCCTATCGGGAGGGAATGTGCTTGAACGGGACTAAGGTCCCATGTGAGGTGCCATCCCCACCCAATCACACAACCCGTAAAGGTTGGTCACACCACCGGGGTCTACGACCCGTACTCTTTTCGAAGAGTGATGTGGGATCTTTTACGCCCCACAAGAACAAATCAGTGAAAGTGCTGTGGAACGGGACGTACGGTTTTTCGTCCTTATCCGAGAAGACTAGAAAGTCTAAACATTTGCAGATGTCATTACAAAGGCAGCACTTCGGACTTCAGTTTGGTCGAAAAATAAGGAGGCCCCCTGAGTGTTGGTCCGGCCGGGGGTTTGAACCCGCGACCTCCCGTTCGGCAGACAGACGCTCTCCCAACTGAGCTAACCAGGCCTTGCTTAGGCTTTGTACACACCATACTGGATAGTTTTTGCTTCCGGATAGGGCTTCGGTTCACACGAAAGACTGGTGATTTCCGGCGTGCTTTCTGTAACAGAGCGAAGCTACGCCGTGCCGATCTCTAAAGTGGAGAGTAGAGCGATTTTCGTATGACCTTGAAGAATGGTTTCGGTAAGTGTTCGTCATTTGTTTTATCAGCCAATGGATGAAAAGATCAAAACATGGACTCTTCGTTTTCCCGCCAAAGAAAACCCTAATATGGACAAGGTATTGTTCACTTGGCCAATCGTGTTGCAGTATGACGTCAAAGCGAAGAATCGATTGATTTCTAGAAAGTTCTCGGGCATGAAGTTTTTTCACCTGATCGTTCGCTTAACCAACGAAAAGCCACGCGCGTTTGTATCCGTCCCATAAACCAATCAAATCGCTCTATATGCGTTCGTTGGTTGTTTCTGTTTTGTTCGCGCGTTTTCGTTTCAAGGTCATATGAAAATCGCTCTAACATATCGGATAGGTGTACATACTATACTGGATGGCTTTTAGTGTCAGCACGAAAAGCCAACGGGATTCAGTAGCGGATCCAGCCCTCCAGATAGGAAGAAGGCGCAAATATTTATATAAATATATTCAAATGCGCCATAGGGAAAAAACAAAAACAAAACAAAACAAAACAATAATACTACTAATAATAAAAATTATGAATAATTATGATAATAAAAATGATAAAATAAGATGATAATATAGATATAGAATAGAAAAACTAACGGCTAAAAGTTAAAAAAATAACATCTGTTAGCAAAATCTTAAAAATTATAAGCTGAAAATTATTTATAATCTAGTAAGCTAAAAATACAGTCTTATAATCTAAGTGGTACAAAATGCTTTTTTTTTTTAAAAGATGAGTCTTCAACTTTCTCTTAAAAGTGTCAATTGAAATGGATTCCCTAATAAATCTTGGCACAGCATTCCATTACTTAGGTGCAGCAAACAGAAAGGCCCGTTCACCGAGAGTTGCCTTGGGCTTAACCTTCGGATAACTAAGTAGGGTACTGTCGCTAGAACTTCTTACATACTATACTGGATGGCTTTTAGTGTCGGCACGAAAAGCCGACGGGATTCAGTAGCGGAAGGAGGGGGGACGGTCAAAAAATAAGGGGGGAGGAGGGCCCTTCCCTAAATCCGCCACTGGGATTGAATTACATTTTGTGCCCCTTGTTACGTTTTTGACCACATCTTTGCCTAGTCTCTGAACGGTGTCTGTCTAGGCCTTCTCGCCGTCAATGCATTACGGTGAGTTAACCGAGACTAACGGTCGGGAAAACTCGCTTGAACCACGTGACCCGAAACGCATAGGGACCGGCACAAGCGTGCGCGTGCAAATGTTGTGGTGATGCTCCGCAACCGTTGGCAAACTCATAAGCGCTAAAGCTTGCTGATATTCTATACCAGGACATATGATTCGCATTGCTCTTTTCTGAACACGTTCTAATTCTTGCGAAAGGTAGGCTGGTAGCGCGTGATGGAAAACTGGCGCAGCATAGTCAATGACGGAGCCCACGCATGTGATGTAAAAAAGGCATAAATCTTTCTGTGGAACACGAGCTCTTTTTAGCTGAACAAGAAAATAGACCCTCTTAGCTGCCTTCTTAGTAACCTCCGTGATGTGCGCATTCCATGTTAAGTCACCAGAGATAGTAACACCCAAAAGTTTAGCATCTTTAACTAATTTGATGCACTCCTCTCCTATGAATACTGTAGGAAAGTCAAAATCTGATGTAAATTAGTGTCCTTCTCAGAGAGGTGTCCGTCTTATTGAGAGACAAATAAAGGGAGAATACAAAGCCAGGGACTTCCTGTAGGTGTCCGTTTTACGAAGGTTTGCGTTAATAGAGACTGTACTGTAATGTGGCCGAGGGATTGAAAGTAATATCGTCACCACACCAAAGCCACCGAAATCAGAAGGAGAGTTAGTACAGGCTCTAAAGAAAGGCGACACACATTACTAGCTACAAGTCTTGTTGACTTCCTTCACTGTTAAGAGAAAACAAAGAATTCACCTGGATTTTTCTTTTTTAACGTTAAAAGACCAGATTCCTCAAATCTGTTAGCTCCAGAAATCTTACAACGGATTCCTTTATTATCATATCCCTCCAAATCTGTAAAGTCGTCCTCAGTCACAAACATTATGAATAGATGACCTGACTGTGTGATGGCTCGTCGTTCGTTCCTCTTAAACTGTATATCTGAACCGGCGCTTTTCCCCACCCACGAGTAGCTGACGCCATAACTGGGAGCGTGCTGAGGACACGCATAACTAAATTCGTCCCCAAGGTCAACACTCTGCTCCACCTGTTTAGGTTCCGTATCGTTAAATTCTCCTACAACTGTATAAGGAAACAAGAATATTACAAAATTGTCATGGTTGTGCTTAGTAAAGCTCCTTAACTCCCCCCCAGACTCCTCACCAAGCATCTCCACCATCCACCATTACTTTGAGGCTCTCAACGGGGTGGTAGCTTTGAACGGAGGGTGACTCCCATATGAAAGGGGCGGGGATGCTCGTCGTCTCGCTTAGGGGTGTAAATTTCATGATCAGATTTTGGTCTCGCTTAGGGTGTTTTGGGCAAAATACTATTATATTTAGTCGTAAAGGTCTCTTTTAGGGTTGCACTGGAAGGAATATTAAAAAAATTATATATTTTCAATTCGTAATAATTTCCTCGATTCATTTAATTGATCAAAGTTTAAAATGATCTCTTTTAGGGGTCAAAAAAGGTTGGGCCATGCCCAGATTGCTCTCCTTTAGGGGTTTAATTCAAAATTTCCAACGAGCATCCCCGCCCCTTTCAAACGGGAGTCCCCCCGGGTAGCTTTGCCGGTTGACGGTTAATTTTTTCCAATTTTGACGGTTGACATTTAAGTTTTAGGGGTTTTGACAGCTGACGGTTAACCCCAATCAGACCATCTTACTTTACCTAAAAATGCTTCAGCAACCGTGATGAAAAAAGTTGCAATGATCGCGGGGCTAACAGTGTTACTTTGTTTTTATTTTGTTTTGCTGTTGTTGTTGTTGTTGTTGTTTTGCTTCTTGCTTTCTTGCTTTGTCCGTATTTTGTCTTCCGTTTACTGTTGACTACGTAGGGGGCTGAGCTTACAAAATCTAAGACGTTTGATCTGTTATCGGATCTGCTGAGCCTTAGTGGAATCCTGCCTCCTTAGCTGGTAATTCTTGGAACCATTTTGATTATCGTCACCACTTCACAATGTTGCATTTATTCATGCGATAAAGTAAACTTACTGTCACGCTTGTCACACAAGGTTTGCCGTCGTTTTTCTCTGTCGTGCTTTTGCGTAAGTTCACCACTGGTTAAAGGACTACTAAGATCGAAAACCGTTAACCAGCGCAACAAATTAAACATTCCGTAATAAAACCCAATGAACTTCAGTCGTTTGATTGATTTTAAATGGGTTTGGCAATTGAACAAAGTCAGCCTAGCCAATTTTTTTCAGTGGTACAACGATTTCTCGCTCGCTGATTGGTCGAGAGCTATGGTCGATGAATGCTACGCGCGCTGTGATTGGTCATTGCCCATGATCTGTTAATGCACAAACGCACGGTTGACTTCACGGGAAACCTGGGTGTTTTCTTTGTTTTGTCCAACATGGCGCGCTTTTGGAAATGTGTTTGCGCGATTATTTCGTATTAAGAAAGTGAGTTCGCCTCGAGAAAAGGTTTAGTAGGAGCTGTTTGCAGGTAAGAAAAATAGACGACCTGGAAATGTTTCAGTTCAGATTTTAAAAGCGCCCTAACCTGTAACAGCGACTTTTATCTTTCTGCTGAACGTCTCAATGCGTGTAACATTGTCTCTTACAAAACACTGGTAGTGCCCACTCTGCTCACTTTCTAGGTAACTTCCATATAAGGTTCCATTGGGACCAACGTCGAATTTACCACCTTTAGAAATAGTTATAGTATCATTGTGCCTCCAAGTCCATTGTAAGTTATTTCCACTAGCACCACACGGCAATTTCAAGGCATTTTCTCTTCCAAACTTGACATCTTCAGGAGCTACTAAATCCTTGGTTAGAAAATTAAAAATTTTTGGTGGATCTGATTGCTGTTGACCTGCAATTTAAACATACAGAGTACAGTTGAAACTTGGTTAAGCGGCCATCCCCCGGGTATCGGTATTGATCTTATAGATAACAATTCACCGCATTATATTACGACATTATGAAACTTTTTGATATTCTCATAATTTTCCTCTAAATTCATACACTACAACAGTCACAATTTGTGTGGAAGCCCTGTAACGATACCCTACAACTTCATTGAATACATGGCTTGTGTAATTACCATTTGTTAGTGTTGAGAAACAGGAAACTGAAAGAAAAAGAATAATCCCCGACATCGTGAAGAATCAAACACACCTGCAAGCAAAAACATGAAAAATACCTCAATACAAACACAGTATGGAAGTAAAATAGTGAGGAAATTGTTATGAGCGAGATTTCGTAAGAACTTCCGAATAGAGCTCGAAAGTTGCTCGTAGTTTTTAATTATTTCCTAGCAGATGTTTATAAATATTCTTAGTTTTATAAAGCTTTAACCCTCGATTTTCTAATGAGAGATTTGCATTTTCATGACAACACGTCAGGAGACAAGATGGATTTATTCAAATTCATGATAATAGAATTGCTCGGCTTCCTGAAAACTTTTCGAAGACAAAATATTGCATTAACAAGTGGAAAATAGTAAAAATAAGTGCTTAAATGTTGCCCAGAAAGCGAAAAAATGCTCAAATTCTGCTCCAAAGTCAAGAAAGTGCTCAAGAGTGCTGGAAATGTAAAATAGTGCTCTAAATTCGAAAAAGTGCCAAGAGCAATCGGGACATGCCTATTTGAAACTCTAATATCACGCCATAAATGCCAAATATAACGTAACCGCTCATTGTCGATGGCCTTTCTAAACAATTTTTTCGGTTTTGTTTTCCTTTCTTTTGGCTGAAAACTTTTAAGGCCTCAGATTGAATTTGTTAGTTTATAAATTTTATTCATTTTTCACGTTTTCACTTAATATTTATTTATTCATTTATTTTTGTCAGATCATGCTGTAATTTTTATTTATATAGTAAAGAGACATTTCTCACACGTTGTGTCAGTACAATTTATATTTTGTAGTTAATTACGATTTTCATACTTTCAATTCCAGTGATTCTCAATAGAAAGTTTAAGCATCACGTATGACTGCAAACGGCAAACGTCGGATTCAAGTTGAGAGTTTCTCAAAATAACAGCTCAAAACAATTCTGACTTATGAACAAAAATTTGCGTGAAACAACTAATTTATGTGTTGAAATAATGAACAGTAAACGGCAAGTAGAAGGGGGGAAACTTGGTCACGTGGTACAGATTTGCGTTTACCTCACTAGACGTAAACGTGATGCTTAACCTCTCTAATAATATATAGATTTAGCCAGGGCTAAAAGCGTAGCCAATTTACTCGTTATAACTTATCAGTGTCTCCCTGTCTACAGGAAAGGCCAAAATGAAAAATTAGGTAGAAATTTTGGCAGAAATTTTGTGTGGCTCGCTACAATTCTCGCTGGTAGTGCGTAAACCAGCCTTTTTACACCATCTCTGATGTAAACAGAACTATCAGGCGTTGTCTGTTTTTAGACCTCGGACAGAATTTTTGTCATTATTGACCTATTTTAATTTCAATTTTGCAGTTTTTTTACGGAATAATCTCACAAGACAAAATGAATTCATTTAGTATTCAGGACGATCGAAACACACGCTTCCCTTGCACAACAAATTAGTATGTGTAATCCAATGGTGACGAGTGAAATTAGGGAATAATTTCATGCGCGTTTTGTCCAAATCCTAATAATTTCCCGAGCCTGAAGGCTCGGGAAATTATTAGGATTTGGGCAAAACGCAAGTGAAATTATTCCCTAATTTCAGGAGTATACCATTTGATTAACTATTAATATCATGGGTGACGAATTACGTTAGCAATCTTGGATTTTTGACATGTTTATCCTGGATCCGTATCGATCGAGAACACCACTCTCTCAAATGTTAAGACCTTAAATTTGGCTTATAAAGTTCAGAATTTTTCGAACTTTTTCGGCAAAATACCTGTTAGAATCCTTCTTGATATTCTCTTGTGTGTTCAGGTTTTCTAAAGCGTCTTTTAGTGCCCTGACATCTTCATTCATGGCATTTTAAAACTTCGTCGCCATCTTGACACTGAGACGTACGGAAGGGTTGTCATGGCAATTTTGTAATTTCACATGTGAAATTGCAAATCAACGCTGAAATTTCGCGCCAAAATTAAGGAGTAATTCGTCACCTATGATATTATAAAAATAACAGCATCATAAAACGGTTTTATATAGAGAATTCACCATTAGACGGGACTGTTCCCACTGCAAACAAAATTAAATTTTGAGCAAATTGGGTGGAAATGAGTGCTTTTTTGGCCACAACATTTCTGGGGGGCAGTGGGGGAGTGGGGGGACGACGGATGAACCCAAAGCCAATCAAAACATTGTCATAAGGAACAAAGTCCTACGCAAAAATTACTTGGAAGGGCTTTTTCACACAGTCCCAAGTTCTTTTGTCCTCCGTCCATTGTAGTAGTAGTAGTGTTAATTCGTAACTTGAAGTCGGCAGAAACTCAGGGGCACCCAATAAGAAATTTTGAAAAACAGTCCTAAAAACAACAACAGAGCATGAATAAAGCTCTCTGAAACCACTTTAAACAATTTGGGAGAATGCTGGGAAAATTTATCTGTTCCTCACTCCTAGCAAGACTATTGGAAGTGTTCCCAGCCGGAATGGCGCACCTACAACCTGCAACCTGACTTACTGGGAAGTTTCCCAGCAGACGTAGACATACATTGCTGGCCGGTTTGGGTGTCGTTATAGGGAAAAATTTTGTAACTGTTGACTATCACCGGCACCTTACAAACTACTTATGAAAATCAATAACGTCTAGACGCATCGGTGAGTGATTATCGATTTTTATTGATTGGCTAAACCAATCAATATCACTTAATAGATTTTTCTTGATTTTTACTGATAATATTGATTGAAATCAATTTTCGATTTTCATTGATTGGTATCGACCTGAAGTAAAAGGACGCGACTTAGGTAAGACTTACCGTCAAGCTAATACGTATTACGTTTTTCGGAGGAAGTCTCTCATTTGTCTCGGTATAAATGGCCCTTTTGAAGTATTTTTCTAAGGAACCAGTTTGGTAGAACTGACTTGGAAAGTACAGGAAGTGTTAAGACAGACCGATGAGGGTAAAGGATGGAATAACTTTGCGCAATGTCATAGTTATGCAAAATGTGATATTCAGTCACATCTAAAATGACTCACAAATATAAGTAGTGAAGCGAGCCAGTAGTGGTGTCTGTTTTTCAGTGGCTTTTCGGTCTCTTTTCAGTTAGAACTAATTGAGGACTAAGTAAAATGTGGCTTATAAATAAAATGCGCGGTTGATTTGCGCCGAAAGCTCAGACCCGCGTCATTCATTTCTAATCTATTCCGGAAAAGATTTCTATATTTAGCGGAATCTATCTCTAAAACGTTTTTGATTTTCCCGAGAAATCCAGAATTTTTTTGGCGGGGATGACCAATACACTAGGGATTTGGGCATCCCGGGAGGGTACCGGGGGATGCCCAAAACGCTGCAGTAATATGAGAAGGGGATGCCCAAAACGCTAGGGATTTGGGAATGGGGATGCCCAAAACGCTGTGACACCGCTGCCATCTTTTTCAAACTCGTTTCCAGTGCCTTTCGTCCCTTTTCTTGCGCATTTGCGTCATGTATGCGTCACGGCGAAAAGAATAAAGCCTGACGGGAAGAATGGCGGATGGCCATTCCGTCAATATAAATGCAACTTACCTTTCATGGCCCGGCGATTTTGTATGAACGTATGAACAGCGTACTCTCGAAAGAAGATGGCTTGAAAAAAGTTCCATCCATTTGTCTAGAACAGGAAACTTTTCCGATTGGAAAAATAACTTCTCATGCTGACTTAGTTACTATTACGTGAATCTAACTAATTGGATTCCAAGAAAATGCAAGCATACAGTTGCACTCGAAAGAAGTCCTGAGAAGAATAAAAAGAGAATCGCAAGCTTTTTGTTCCAAAGCCTTAACTTAGGAAGGACGCTATAAAGTTTTCATTCTTGTCTTAGCATTTAACTTTTAAAGATTGTTCATCCAAAGATATGAGGAGGTACGGGAACAAAGGTTAACCTTCCTGAACAGCTACTATTCTTAGCGATCGATTAGCGTAGATCAAAACATATCAGTGACTATGAAGATTTGAACAGTCTTCACGTGGAGATAATCTACTTTAAACTGAGCAACAAACTCAAGCCAGAAATTGAGATCGAAATTTAACTCAAGAAAAGCTTAAGTCAAAGGCGCAAGTGACTTAGTAAGAATTTTGACTGTTCTGTCAGCATGCAAAAATGTATGAGTAGATTGAGCATGATCGCCCGGGTGAACTAGTCTTGGAGCAGGACTGTCGTTGACAGTGACTAAAGTTTAATTTTGACAACCTGCGCGGTAGTCATCTTCAGAGTCAAAGTGAGTTGCATCACGTCAGTTGATGGTATTAAACTTTGCTTATTGGTTATTGGCTTATAAAAGTCGCGATGTTATTGGTCGTCTGTCAGTTAAGCCGTGATGACTGTGAAGACTCGTAATGTAATTCATTTGCAGTAATCAGGACTACTTCAAGTAGGCAGCGTGGCCGAGTGGTCAGCGCGTGGGACTCGCAGTCCGGCGGTCCCAGGTTCAAGTCCCGCTCTGGCCACTTGCTGGACTTGTTCTCGGTCGTGCCGAGCTCAAATCCTCGGTCACGCCTATATATAGCCAACTGTATGCCTGGTATTTTGGTACCTGGTTGGGGTTTTTGCCCCCGTAGGGATTTCGCCCAGAAGGCGAAATCCCGAGGAGGCACTCTAGTAACTCGCGCGTATTTTAAGGAAAGTACTTACAGTTGAAATATACAGTCTTAGTATATACACACTCAGTGATCTTGGTGATTTAAGCAATCTGATTGGTTCGCTATCTCGGACTATTCAACAATATTCACCTCCTAGCGAGTGGATAATGTGTGAGCTCGGTGTTTTTCCCGTTTTTTTTAGAGAACGATCTTTTAAAAGTCGACAAAATCCTAGGGCTGACTTTTTTTAAGGCAAGAAAAGACTTGGAAGGATTCAATACGGCGTTTTTCAATTTACTGTAGCAGGAGTTTTGTGCTCGATGGATTGTTTACAACTCCCGTGTATTCGCGTAGAAGAAGCCGTTTCGTGAACTCAGCGTTTTCTAAGAAGAAAATTTTGGCTCAAAAATCGAAGTTTATTTATGACAAACAAATTTAAAAGGAAATGTTTGCAGAAATTCTACATTTCAAGTAAACAGGAAAAAGAATGATACAGGAAGACGACCTCTTACCTCGAGCAACCGAGCCGCCATTTTTGTCAGCACTTCATGCGAAGAACGACACAACATGCCCTTTTGGCTATAAACTTGGCGAGTCAACAGAAAACAACACAGCTCTACTTTTTTTCTCAGGTAAGGAAACAGTTCAAACTTTTAGCGATTCCATTGAAGCCATTACGCTGTTGTTTGCGAAATGAGTAAACTTGTGAATTGCCATGTTTGAAAATTCTGCAAAGATCTATTTTTAAACTTACGCGTGATTTGATCTGTCAATCAAATCCTACTTTTGAATGGTTTCCTTTCTGATTTTGTTGAGATCACTTCGTGTGTATATACTAAAACAATTATTCTTCTCAATCTCGGTGAATAGTGGCTTTGGGAATATTTACCTCGCCGCTTTCGCGGCTCGGTAAATATTTTGGCACTATTCACCTCGATTTCAAAGAATAATTGTTAAATATAGTCAATATAGAAAAAATCTCGATTTGCTCGAACAGGGGCCGCGAGGAATCGGTAGGTAATGATGACGTTTCTATTGTTTGCGCACGCAAGTACGAAATGGTTAGGATGAAGTAAAACACAAAAAATCCCGAAGGGACCGCTTACAGTAGGTAGATTTTGTGACATTAATTGCGCAGTCATACTTCGATTCTGTTGTGCGTTACGTGTTATCAGTGACATTCCGTGGAGCAGTTGTTATGAAAGTTATGGGCCAAAAGACTCTCGTTAAGCGCAGATGAAGCTATAAGGCGCGTATAACAGTGCATCATTTTAACACCAAGTGAGTTTGCCAGACAAGAGGTAACAAATCTTTGATTGGAAACCTCTTTCTCTTTCTTTGACCGGAATAAGACAAGGTTCCAAACAAGCAAGACGAGTGGATGAGTCAACGGCTAGCTTATAAATCACTAGCAGAAAGATGGACGATTACAGAAATTCGCTGACCATCAAATTCTGTGCTGACTTATTCCCTGCTCACAGTGAAATAGAAATAGCGAAAAATTCAACTTCTAATTAAATCTTTTCTTATGGTTTAGAATAAACTATTCTCGAAACTGAAAATATAATGTTGTGATCAGCTGTGTAAATCGAACGAAACTGTGCATGGAATACTATTGACCGACAATATACAGAGCGGGGGCAGCTGAAGTGTCAACTATTTCTAGTTAATCCTGTTATGTTGTATTTGAATTATTTGCAGTTGTTTCTAATTAAGTATAAACAAGCCTTTACGTTTAACCGAACGATTATGCTCAACCTATGAAATCACTCATGGGTTCAAGCCTTTCATAGGCGTACAAAAATGCAAATGGGATCTCACAAAGAAAGTCTATTATATTATGAGGACACATTTGCTCAAAATAGGCACTAGATGTCCGCTGTGCCTTTTTTCGAAGGAAAAAAAATTCTTCTCCGTAAGTCGCAAAGTGTAGCAAGAGTGCGTAGCTCCCGCTGTGAGTGTGCCCGGCCTTTCGGATAGTTGAGGAACGTTACTAATCAGTTTTGGTTGCGGATTCATTTGCAATCAGCAGAAGGGGGCGGGTTTCTTAATTAAACGAGGCGTTCGCAAGGCCACAAGGCAAGAGCTAACAGCTTCCCACGTAAACTAACTTTCTTAGGGCCGCTTCGTCATAGAAAAATCCAAAATTCGCATAAGAGGAAGACCGGCGTCAGATCGGAACTATCGGGTGCGTTAAGCAGCACCATGTTTTTTTTCCCCTAATTTTTAAAACTTCCGACAAGCTAACAGTTCAGTTGGACTGATTCGGAATATTTCTGGCCCGGTGACCTCTGATCGAATACTTTTCCTTTTCAGCTTTATTTAATGATGGAAAAATTCACCAAGGATCCAGCTTGACAGCCGATCTCAGGGAAGGACAGAAGAACATCAATGGTCAAATTAAGTTATCTGCGCTGCATTGGTCGAATTTAATGAAAAAACATTTTGATGTTACGCAATGAAATATAAAACATTGTCGGGCCTTGTTTGCCTTTGTTTCACCGCAAATGATATGCAATACTTATATTACAGTAACATTTTGAGTAACATTAAGGTTGATCTTTTAGTAATCCCAGTTATTAAGTAGATAGCAAAAGGAGAATAGGGAAAACACAAAAGAACAAAAATGAATGATTGCAAAGGTCAGAGCTTGCAGTTGCATTAGAGAGCCCGAATTCTTCTCTTTGATCTCGTGCTCCGATCAGTCTATATATAATTTGCTGGTGTAAGCACATCAATTCGTACGTAGACCTCCTCATAACACTGATTCTAACGTGTTCGTTTCCCAAGTGAAAATTAAAGATGTCAAATTCAGAAGCTCCTATCAAATTCTCAAAGTAGAAATTCCCTTGCAACAGCCAGCCAGCTCTTTCCGGTATACTATACCACCGTCCCTAAATTCCCTTGTCTGACATTGGCAAACAGGGTTTGTAACTAACTCTGGAAGCTCTTAAAAAAAGACTTTTCATTCCTTCTGTTCTGTACTTACAGTAACCAAAAAGAGACTTCCCGCCCGACTCAGCGTACGATGCACAAGACTTCCCTTTTTTCACGAGCCACAAAGGATATAGAGCCTTGAGATGACAAGTGAAAGCTCGCCTTGTGATAGTCGGCTATACAATATCCCGCGCACTTTACACACTACGTTCAACGAACTCTAGATATCAGTAGAGCTGTATTTATCAACCTTCCCTCTTATGATCCTTTCTCAGGAAGCGTACATCAGCGTACAACTCTAAAAATAACGCGGCACCAATACACAGGACGTCCGGTGTAGTAAGCTGTCAACGTTTTTTTTTCTTTTTGCATAATTTAATCGAATAGTCAGTTGTCTATGGACTGTTAAGATATCAGGATTTGGACAATGTCTTCCCTAGAAACTACATGTCGTTTTCACAGTCGACCATGATTCAGCAACGTTTTCAAACGGTTATTTATTAGAAAACTGTGATTTAGTTTAGCGTTATTGAAGTGGAGTCGTCAAGTCGTTGAAATTCATCGGCAAAAAAATTGGCTCCGATCTCTATTTCATCTGGCAACGATGCCAAGTTTACAGGTGAAAATAAAATCAACCAGTGACAGGTCATTCCCGCAAATAGACTGTACACCTAACGGCAAAAACATTATTTTAGAAAAATGCCTTTAGATTTACAAGTAAACGATTGTTGGGGGCAATAATTTGCAACGTACCCGCACAGCCCTCGTATTTACATTTGTTTTGCTTTGACGCCCTTAAACATGCCTAAACTGCGGATAAATGTCCCTAAAGTGGCTTATGAGTAAGCCTAAATAATTCCTAATTGGCTAATTAATTCCTAATTTCCTAATTAATTCCTAATTGACATGTAGGCGTATTTTTTAAAGTTTGGGTTTTAGACATTTACTTTAAGTTCGCACTTGCAGATTCAACTTTTTACGGTACACTTTGGTCATAAATACTGAAGTATACAGCCTGGTTGTCTTCAGTTCATCGGTTTGGGATGCAAATCAATTTTTTTTCCGTTTAGATAGCATTTTTTCTCCTCTTTATGCCTAGTAACGAAGCCGCTTAAGTTGGCGGGGAACATCTTCAATGAATAAATTCATAAGGCAAAAAATCTTTTACCTTCATTTGCTGTTTTGGAGGAGATTGAGGTCACATTTTTCTGAATTATTCAGGGAATCTGACGAAGTTTATGAACACTGTGCTTCAGTTTCAAACCCGTGAGTTTCCAATGGCCAAATTTAGCTTGTACATTTTGTTTCATAATATAGATCACGTGACTTGCGTTCTCTAAGGAATTCGCCTTTTTCATAAATTATGCAAAAATACGCTGGTGACTAAGACCGGAAATTTAATTTGAAAGAAACGGTTTTCTGGGGTATTTATGCATACATGTACCACTTAACTTTCTTTACGATTTTTCGGTTGCCCATCAATCGAACTGTTGTAAATGTTGTCCTTTAAATTAAAATATTATCTTATGAGGAAGTTCGCCTCGCAAGGACACTGCGATTAGACAAATAAGTGTAAATTTGTGCGAATGTGTAACAACTATTAATAGGAGCCAGATAAAAATAATAATGGCATTTGCATGGGCGTTTGAAATGGTGAATCGAATTAGTGGAGATCTCGGCCGAAGGATCAAAATTTTATGAGCAAGTTAATACTGTTTGCTAACTCTTTTTGAGCTAAAACGTGTCTAATTTGCATCACCTGAACTAAGAAATAATGGTCCAGTTTTGTTGCTACTTCAGACAAAACTTAGGCATTGAAACTGTTTCCGGTCGTCTGTTGCTACGGATGGCAATGATGGGCATGGATTCAAACTTCAGAAAAATTGCACCCTTTCATTCACGTTTTAATACAACTTTTTTTCAAGTTTTTATCCTATGGCTGCAAAATCACCAAAAAAATTATCAAAAGTAGGTTGAGTTTGATCGTCCGGGTGTTATTGACGTACAGTAGGGAGCTCAAGCAAAGTAGGGAGCTTAAGCAGCGACGTTTTTGAGCGACGCACGTCAACCGGAAGTGAGGTATTTTCCCTCTTAACATGCCTTGATGATATAAAATTTGTATTCCTTAGCTTCTTTACTGTTATAGAGGCGATTTGACTGAAAATTTGCGCGAAACCACCGTCAAAAAATGAAAAAAGGCCACTTCCGGTCGACGTGCGTCGCTCAAAAACGTTGTTGCTTAAGCTCCCTGTTTTTGAGCGACGCACGTCAACCGGAAGTGGCCTTTTTTCAACTTTTGACGGTGTTTTCGCCCAAATTTTCAGTCAAATCGCCTCTATAACTGTAAAGAAGCTAAGGAATACAAATTTTATATCGTCAAGGCATGTTAAGAGGGAAAATGCCTCACTTCCGGTTGACGTCCGTCTCTCAAAAACGCCTTTGCTTAAGCTCTCTAGTGACTGACGTTTCGACGACCTGTGCGGTAGTCATCTTCAGAGTCAAAAAATTATGTTAGCGTTCGCTGATGAAACTTGTTTGACATCTTCACAACTCAACAGGAGGTAATTTGCTTCTTTTTGCATGGGCGGGCAAAGGCATTATATAATAACTTTAGTAAATATCCACATGACTAAGCCCTTTAAATCTTCCGCTGGTTAAAAGCATTGTTTTTCCTTAAATATCTAGCCAAGATTTTATCCAATCGAAAAATGACTCAATTACACACCATTAGTTTGGAGTCCTTAGTCCAATAATTTTTGGAGAAATGTTGGATGATTTTTCGAATATATTGGATTTGGCCGTTGTTAAAAATTAATATATGAGGTGAATAATTAGTAGACAAATAGCAGATATTCCAGCACCACACTAAGGTGCCTCTGATCCCCCCTTAGCGGACTCGGTGGTTTATGTGTATACCTTTTCTACCCTTAATTAATTTCCTTCCCAAATTAACATCATTTTCCCCAAAACACGCAGACCGCTCCCTTAATAATTTATCAACCCAGTTGATTGTCTCAGGGAACGTCATTCTATAACAAAACAAAGGGAAGCCCATTCACAGCTAAAAAATGGGTTTATTTTTACAAATAACTACATTACGCACTTTCGTTAAATTTACAACATTATTCCTGTAGGAAACAAATCCGTCGCCCATAAAATTGAAGTAAAAATGTTATGTTGGGCGTTACTCTACAATACTGGGTATTTTAACATCGATGAGGACGAGTAACGAGATTTTGAAACAAACCTAAGGAGCTGTATCATGAATTTTAGCAAGAAACTGCCGCCAAATTGAGGAAAACATAAAAAAAAATCGCTCAAAACATTAAAATAAGATATTAATAACACAGCAAGTACAAAAGTAGACACGGATGGACAAACTAGAAGAAGATTAAAACGGATTGAAATTGTGGGTTTTTGAAAACTTGTCAGCCTAACAGTTTCTCAAAGTTCATTTTTATTGTTTGCAACGTTTGACTTAATGCTTGGGAAGTATATCTGTTGGAAATGAAGCTGTGATCTTGTCGTTTACGAGTAATTTTTTCGTTAACATTAATTTCCAAAGCGCATAAGGAAGCGCAATTGGTAATATTAACGAAAAAAATAACCGAACTAGACAGACGTGACACGGCTCAGTTAACCCTTAATTCTCCTTTCTTACTGCAGCTGTACATTTTATTGAATGTTAAATATGGGAATTTGGGGTTATATCATATAACATCCTCAGACCGATGAATTTGCTTATTCTCACCGCTTATCTCTTGGACAATGTGTTGGGTATCCTAAGGAGAAGTTACATGACAATAGTTTCTAGGAGTTAACATGCGTACATTTGCATATTCTTTACTCCTGTGAGAGCCGTGGGAAAGTTTTACACAACGCTCAATCCAATAGGTCCCTTGCAGCTAGCCATTCACGTGGTACAAAACCACCATGCTGGAGAGCAAAGTCGCAGCGGAACAAGCCGACCAATAAAGGAAAGTACCATTTAAAAATTTTGTATGCCATTTTATTTGTCATGTCCCAGTGCGACTTTGCCCTCCAGCATGGCGGTTTTGTATCACGTGAATGGCCAGCAGCAAAGGGTCTATTCAATCCCATAAACCCGTTTTAGCTTGCTTCTTGTGTTTCATGCATCTCAAAACCATTTTAGAGACAATAGAAAGTTTGAACCGCGTGACGCTTTAAATATCTAATAATCAAATATCTAATCTCTTATTTTCGAAAATTTTCCAAAAATTTCTACTTGAAAAACATTTTGCTTGAGAAGCTGATACAAAACTAGGCAGAGTGTTTCATCGCAATACATCTGGGAAAAAGTAAAAAATATACTCCTTGAAGTGACGTTTTCTTACTTTTTTCCATTTTTGGTATGTGATGAAACATGTTAATTTTATTCTTGGTTTAAATTTTATTTTTCTTTGTTTCAAACTCATTATCATACATTACTATACCCAAACAAAGAAAAATGAAATTTAAACCAAAGGATAAAACTGAGCCACAACATACATAATTATTACCTGAAGCACCAACTTTTAACAAAGAGATCTTGTACTCGAGCTCGTCTTCAATGCTAAAACTTCTCAATACCCATGCATAAAGCGACAAAATCACTGTTTGCCATCCTGTATCTTTTTGAATGACCAAATTATATCTTTCCTACAAGATAAGTACATTACTGTGGTGCAGCGTAAACTATCTATATTCCACCAAATCAAAGAAGAACCAAAACTGTTGGCCCGCATGCAATGAACCTAAACGATCAAATTATCGCGCAAGAGAGGCAATACTCCAATCTTAACGAAAGAAGTGAACACATTACAGGGATGTCCACTGTCAAACAACTTTTCATTAACCTTTGTCGTCTTCTATGTTGCACGAATTAAATAAAGAACAAAATCGCCATTTAATGGCCAAAATTGACGGACACAAACATTGCATTCAGAAATTGATGGTCGCAGAATGACACTACTTCACAAGAAACTTTGGAGTATTAATCATGGCGAAATATTTTAGCAGAGCTTTCAAAACCAAATTGTTCTTTCTTATTTTCTACTACAAGCTCTTAAGATGTAAGGACTGAACTGAACAACTGAACAACACAACAGAAGTTCAAAAGCATTCGTAGAATTTAACGTTGTAAAAACAATAAAACTTAAAATACTTGCTCTTTGCAAGAACAAGGCATGCAGCTTTTTGCTCGCTGTAGAGATATGGCGTCAATCACTGTCGACGACCGGTATATTCAAAAGGAAGTATTGTGCTGTAAGGAGGCGAAGAAAAACTAGCACCTTAAATTTCAGCAAAAGCAACGACCAGTTTTACAGCTCGATTGCATGGCGACTGCGTCAAAATTAATAGCAGCATAATCTTTGTTACACAGTGTAATAGCTTCATAACCCTACCAGAGAGATTATTCTCAGGACAAAATAGAATCTTTCCCGCATGTTTTTGTAGTAAGCACGGGAAGGATAAATTCTATTACAAAATAAATACGATAGTACGCGCTTTCTGGTTGTTTGAAAACCTATGGTTTATTGTGCCGGTAACCTCATAGAAAACATTTATTTTATAAAAGCAATAGACCACACTTTCTATGGGTTTACCGGATTGATAACCCACTTGGGACGTTGGGAGAACAATCGAAAAGCTGGTAAATCACTCGCCTTCGGCTCGTGATTTACAAGCTGTTCTCGTGTTCTCCCAACATCCCGCGTGGGTTATCAAGCCAGTAAACCTATAGTAAGTGTGGTCCATTGCTTAAGTCTTTTAGTGTCGTCACGCAACGCTCATCCTCACAAGAAGCGTTGCGTGACGACACTAAAAAAGGCTGTGTAGCAGACTAGATAACTTCAAGCTATCTTGGTATATTGTTCACAGGAATGCGGAAACGGTCTAATTCGTTTTAGCATCTCCAGCGCGAGCAGAAAGCATCACGGTATTGTTGCGCAATATAAAATACGGTATTTGTCGACCAGCTCTTAACGTTTGTGAGCTACGCATTAACACTAACTCCTTTTTGCCAAGAGTCCATGATGAAAACGTGTAATTATTACTTAGTTTTAACTTTGCGTCTGCGGATGAAATTCAAAGCTCTGAGATATCTTTCTGAAACATAACCTCACTCCTGAGCGATTGCGGGGCCAACAGAAGCAACTGCAAGTTACTGGAATCAAGAAAACATCACAACTATCGACTCGCTATTGTTTCCATCGTCCTTTCTCTTCGCAAACTCTTAAAACATTTCAGCAAGATATCAGTAAGAATCTAATGAGAAACGTCAACGATAGCCTGCAGCAAAGGTGCTAGTTTTTCACGTTTCTTAGTTAAGAGAAGCACAAAGCGAGCGAAGAGAGAGACACGCGACGAGGGAAGGCGCGGAAAAATATTTAAAATATATATATATATTTTTGGCGCCTTCTCCGGTTGCGCTTGTCTCGCGCTCCTCCCTCGCTTCGCGCTTGCCTCTGCTCGTCTGAAAAACGCGAAAAAATACGTGGTTCCTGTTATGCAGGATTCTTCACCGTGTGAAAGCCCAATGCGTGGGTCACTACAGGTCAGTATTCCACACGAAGAGTTAAGGATACGCAACACTCAAACGAATGTCGCCAAAGCTGAGTCATCCTTTTCGTCCGGAGCATTCTTCTTCTCGTCGCCATATTCTCCAATGAAGGAGCCATCTTCGTTAAATTGAGGCCCCTCGCCATAATCGTCCAAACTGTCGCGGTCACTTTCTGGGCTCCTCTGTAGTGACCCCTGGCTCTGATAGGGTGGCGGATTTTCCGTTCGGCTGGAGAGGTGAACGAAACTTATATCAGATATTTAAAACATCAAGGCTGATTTCCCAGGGGCTCTTTCACCTCATCGCCGGCTTACCAGGGCGGTGCCCCGGCTTCCCTGTTATTGGTGAGTAGTGGCACAAAGAAGAAAACAGCAAGACGTTTGTGTGACAAGAGTGACAGGGCGATTACTTACGTGTTCTGTCGTCATCTTCAGTGCGGAAAGTCCTTTCAAACATAATTGTCACGCTTGTAACACAAGGTTTGCCATATTCTTTCCTGTCCCGTCCTGTTGCGTAAGTTATCATCTAAAAGGACGACCACGCGACAAGATTTTATACAACTTATAGTTTTTTTCGCGTATTCTCAAAACATATACTTCCCGAAAAGCTCCATTGTAAGTGTTTCACCCTAAACGCTGAAACTGTTATTTTTACTGAAGGCGGTTAAGCCCTCTCCAGTGATCGCAAAATAATAAAACGCTTAAGGTGTTTAACCGCCAAAACGACATTGGTTCAAGCGTGCGCACTACCTAAGAGAATCTTGTCCTCGCAGTCGTCTTAGAATCTAAAGGTCTCTATCGACAACCTTGGTGGATGGTACTTCATGACAGGCTACCATATAACGTTATCATGTGGTCAAGGCTGTCATATTTGACTATAGGGTCTCTACATGGCAATTTTGCATGAGGTACATCCCGAGATTTCTCTTTATTCATCTAAAATTTTTCATTTGTGCCCTCTAAGAAAACACGGTTGACTCTTTCTTACCCTCCATCGCCTTCTTCTTCATCGAACGGCGGTTCATGATCAATTAGAGCTGCACGCTTTTTCTCACGTTTGCCAACTAAAAAGGAAAGCAGAAAAGGTCGATTTCATGGCAAAAAGATTAAAAAAACTCCAATAAAGCACACTACATATGAGTAAATATTATGTCACGGCAAATTTACTTGCTCGTGTACACGGCGCCACAAATGTTACGTTGAAAACCAGTTTCTTTATAAGCGCCAGAAGTGACACTGAACAGCGGTAATGCATTAATGAAATGAATGAAAAAACTGCTTAACAAAACAAGACAAGTGCTAATACCCAATAAGAGGGAGACTGGAATCCAATGACATTTCTCCATACGTGAAAGTCTTTTTGCATGTGTCGAAGACCTACCCTAACACCTGGTCAAGTAGCCTCTGCGAGGCAGCGCCACTATCTTTGTTCTCGGCCCCTAAAAGACTCAAGAAATTACCGGAAATGCGTTTCGAGTTTCCCTTCAACCTGGTTGGCGAATTTACAATGGCTTTTTTAACAGGCCAATCGCGACGCGTACTCAAATCCTGGTATGCAGCTGCGGGCCAAGGACAAGGATTTCGGCGTTGTTTCGCAGACGGCGTTAACCAGATGTTTATTCCCGTCTGTGACGCGGGCTACAGTCGTTGAACAACCAACAAAATTCCATGCGAAAGTTTTCTTTGTAATGATAGAAGGTACGATTTGGTCTTACCAGGATATTTAGCTCCTTGATGCCGAGTGTAAAGTACAAATATAACCAACACAATCAGCAGAACGGCGATAAGAACCAGCAGGGCAATAAACCAGGCAGTCTGGTGGATAGGAGTTGTTGACCGCTGGCCGCCTGAAAGATATTTGTAAAGTTGTGGAATTCATTTTCATCTTAAAATGGGTAGTTAAAAGTTCTGGCCATCTCAGTTAATCCGAGAAAAACTGAGAGGATACAAAATAGATTCCACTTGAGGGGGGAGGGTCTGCACACAGACTATCCCCACGGCATTTTGTTCTAAAAGTCAGGGCTTAAAATAATTTTTGGACAGTGGCCGGTCATGTTCACTTGTCACTTAACAAATGACCGGCCAACTGAAAAATGGTCATTTTCGCAAGACATTGGCCGTTGACCGACCGTTATTTTGAGCCAAGAGAAGTGAAGTGCGATACTTACTGACTATCCCTGGAAGAGGCCGTCCCTCTGTGACGTCACTGGCAGGGCTCTCCGTTTTTGTATTGACATCATTATCTTCTGGATAATCATTTCTGCCAACAGTTTTAAACTCGTAAAGCTCGTTATTTAAGCCTCCAATCTCGATGCTCTGCTTTTCAAAATGATCTACCCAACTCGTGTTCTGAAAGGCTTCTCCATCCACTACAAAATAAATAAAAAGATGGGTTTTGTGTCCGTCTTAAGGAAGGATTCATCAACTTTGAGTGACCAACATCAATTTTTTCTCAACAGTATCATATGAATACATTATCGAGAGAAAGGGTAATAAGGAGAGTTAATTATCACGCAAGGAAAAATGCTTTTTATGTAAGAGCAGACAAAGTCGGTTAAGTGAAATCCTTTCACTCCTAAAAATGGCAAAATTTCATTTTGCAATTGCTGATAAATAAATGGCACCACGAGAATTCATTTGAACGGTTACACCACAGACTAAATAAGATACAACAACCTTTCAAGATAGAATACTTACATTTCCTTCGGTACATGACCAGGAACTCGTGCGTATAGCCTCCACCAAGACCAAAGTTGTAAGTAACTTTCACTTTATCCGCACCGGTTCCCTCCACAGTGGGTTTTTAGGTTTGGCAGGAGCTGAGAAGAAAAACGAAGTTAACAGAAACCTTAAGATTCTAAGACCAGCGCACAGTCCGAGACCGAGATTTTCTCAATACTAAGCAGTGCACGCGCGAGAACAAGCGTCATTTTGGCGGAAAAACATGATAGCCGTCGTCATTCCACTAAGGGTTTTAGCAAGACGTCGTTATGAAGGAAACAAGTTGTCAAATGTTAGAAGTTTTATCATTTTACGATAGGAGAGGGCTTAGCCCCCTTCAATAAAAGTAACAGAACTTTTCTGATAAAAGAGTACAATGAACCTTCCAGGGGTGTCTATTTTTTGACGATACGCGAAAAAACATAGTCAAATCTTGTACTCGTAGTGATTCTCGTCTTCGTATCTAAATGTCTCTATTGTAACCAAAAGGGAAACTATGACAAGCATGCAACTGCATGGATTTGAAACGTTGAATATATTGTTACTTTATCCCCTTTTGAAAATACAATCTGTATCTCATGCTGCCCTTGAAGTAAAGTGTGGATGATAACTGCATTCCCTCCCAATTCATTTGCTTATTTGCTTTGATTTTCCTAGACGGTTCGAGTTCCAGTTGCCCGAGAGCCAAAGTAACGAACTAGTTAATTACAAGGAGCTTAAGCAACGAAGACGTTGATGTCAACGAAAACGGCAAAAAAGCAATAGGCTTAGTAGATTGGCAAAACAACAACTCTGCACGTGCATCGCGCCTTTTTGGACATCTTTAGGGAGCTTTAGCATCGACGACGGCAACGGCAGCGAAAACGTCAGTTTTAAAATTAATTCCCGTTTTTTCAATCTTTGTCGCGTTTATTCCAATTTGCTGAAAATGGCAAGTGTAGGCGAATTTCCCTGGTGCTGATTTCTTGAGGACTGCACTCAAGTTTAGAGAGAGGAGAACAGATTCGCCGTCGATTGTTTACGTCCTCCATAAAATTTGCAATTAGGCATTTTCACGTCGTAGTCGTGCAAGGACGGTAAAGAAATGTACAAAAAAGCGTGATACACGTGCAAAGTTGTTGTTTTGCGTAATAAACCTACTGCTTTTTTGACGTCCTCGTTGCCGTCGCCGTCGTCGTTGCTAAAGCTCCCTTTTGCCATCGCAACACGACTACGACGGGAAAATGCCTGTTTCCGCGTTTTGCGGAGAACGTGAACACAGGGACCAACTTTTTTATTCTTTTCCTTAACTTCCATAGAGTCCTTTAGAATTCAACCCCAGAACTGAAAAAAAAAAAAACTGCTAACATTTGACGTAAAAAGCGAGATGGAGTAAGCACATTAAGTTTGAGGCAGCACGAATTCAGTTTTTATGTGACATTTTCGTAGCCGTCGCCGTATTTGTTGCTCAAGCTCCTTTATAATTAAAAAAATACTTACGACCATATGCCACAGTTCGAGTTGTCTTTCTGAATTTATCTCCCCACCCTTTGCTTGTCTCTGCTTGTATTTCTACAACATAATTTCTCTCCGGCGTCTGATTCTCAAGAAGCTTTCTAAAAACGCCTGGCCCGACTTCCTGCCAGGATACCTGTAGATCGTCGTTCGGTTGCGAACCTTCGTACTGCGCCGACCTCACTCGGTATTTTGTAATCACGCCGTTTGGTTCCTCAGGAGTTTTCCATGTGACCAGGATGTATTTTGCAAAAGCATAGACGTTGACTTCTGCTGGTGGACCTGGAACTAAAGAAGGAATAAAAAGGCAATTTAATTGAAAATCTTAAGGTGGCTCCCTAGAGTAAATTGGCCGTGCGCAGCCTGAGCACCAGTATGGCGCGAGCTTTAAAATCCGCGCGACGTCCACGCAAAAATTAAAATAAACATGGCCTCTCAGTTTCGAAATATTCCCCCAAAAAAACTTTATTAACTTTCTGTTAAGCTCATTGTGTAAAAAGTTTGATTAGAGTAGGTCAAACATTTATGAGAGGAGACAATGCTACACCGGTTACAAGTCACTATCGATCTCCATAAGAGTAAATTGTATGTAAAAACAAAGCAGAAATTTTCCAAAGACATCAATTCTTTCGCTTCAAAAGTAGACAAACGTTAAATAGTCGAAGTAAATGGTGAGTGGAAACTTTACTTAGAAAACAAAGAAGTAAGTACACTAACCCAGAAGGAAGCAATGTTCCTTTTTCTGGCCTTTGGCTCACGGTCAGTGGAAAGATCTGAAAGATCGAGCCAATTCCCGAACAAACACTGAAGATTGTCTTCACTGGCGGAGCTCCTCGGTCACTTTATTTCTCTTACATTTGATTTTATTTAAGTAATTCTAGAAGTGGCTTTAAGACAAGATAACATGGAGTGTAATCTTTGTTGTCTTGCCGACTCTATCACATTGTTTAAAAAACTTATCAGAAAAAAGGTTTCCCACTTAACTTGCATCCTAATCGAAGGAACCTTTCCATCGACGAACCAACATCCGTGTATTTTTTCTTGTTTCAAACGTCCTTCAACGCACATGCAAGATGCACTAGAAAATGTTTTTGCACAACGAGAAATAATTTTTACTCACAGATTGACCCTTGACGAAAGCAATAGTTGTCCGTCTAGACCTACGGTCTTGTACATGTAGCTGAGGACATGATGTACGATTTATAGATCGGCGCCATCTTTTACAGCAGACTTTTAAAGAAAAACTTGGCCGTCGAAATTATCCCTACAGAAGAACAAGGTTGAAAAAGTATCCGGAAGTGGGCTGACCTTTGAAGATCTGCAAACAGTGTACAGCAGATTAGGAAATGAAGGGCTTATTGCAATCCTTGAACAACCACCGTCTTCATCTCCGACAATCGCCATCCTCACGAGTGACCACCACGGTTCGAATTTTAACTGCAATAGTCAAGTACTTCGAAGAAAACATCCTGTGTTAGGTATAAAATTGAATCCGCTATCTCTCCTTTTTCAACTGGCGAGATATCACCGTAATAATACCAATAAACGGCTTCAAAACAATGACTTTCGTACTCTTCAAAGAAACCACATGTTTTCAGCAGCTTTGTGCATTATGCGCATGCGGGCGTGACGGTTCGCGCGCGTATTTTGCTCAAACGACCCCGAACCACGCGTGTTTTTCGGATTTTTGTGACGTCAGCGCAGTTAATTAACCGTGAATTTCTCGCGTTTCCTTGGGTAAATTTTTTTAAAAATCGCCTCACTTCTTAACAGTCGCAGTACCTTTGTACTGTCATTTTTTTGTCAAAATCTGTAAGAGCTAAACTCCTCTATTAAGAAAAATTACAAATTTCAAAATATTGGCAAAACCGCCTTAACGACCCCATGTTTTTTCCACTTTAAAATGTTAAGCAATATCGTTAATATAAAGTGGCAAAGTTTAAAGACATTTCACCGCGGGAAATGAGAAATATTAAGGAAAAATGGGCAAAAATGACAAAATTACTGCCTGTTTAAGGATGCGATGTTTCCATGGCAACGGCCTTAATCCAGAAAATGAAACTTGATAAAGGAGCGTTCTTATATGGGCAACCTTAGCGGTGAATCTCGTGAACAAAATCGCAAAGACAAAGTAACTAGATTTCCTTCTGTAACGTATGCTTGATAGCTCGAATTATTAGTAAATACTCTGGGGAGCCACCTTAATTTAAAAGAGCGAACCTTTCACCTGTGTCTGTCACCTATCGTGGTGGCGACGCTTGCAAATCCTAAAGTCTTTCATTCCCAATAGTGACTTAAGTAAAAATTTCAGAAAACAAAAGTTATTTTCACAAAAAAGTTTTAGCACTTAGCCTTGTTTTGAGAGTGACAGTTGGTTTCGCGAAGGTGGCCACATTGTGTCACATCACATTGTGTCCTAAAGATGATATCTCGAAGTAAATTCTTTCTTCCCCCTTTCACATACATTCTAATATGACACTCGCCCCAGTCCTCTCTCAAAAATCGGAGAAAATGCATTTGTTGCGCACTTTCTGCAGCTCTACCGCAAAAACGAGTACGGTGACCCCCATTTTTTATTCCATGATTTTAACAAGGACACTGCTTTCTTTCGATGGGAAAAAAATTGGCACAAATCTATGTTCAGTTTTTTGGCAATTTTACTAAATTGTACGGATTGAGCTATCACGGGTCGAATAGCGCGTGTCTAATTGAATTCTACTTTGTAGCGTAAAGTAAAAACAAGGGCATTAAAAGGCATTTTTCTGGTACGTAAGTGGATAAACAATACATTAAAGTCCAATTCTGTGTGATACCACATGCATCATCGAAAAAAACTCTCCTTTTTGTCTAGTTTTGGGCCGCCTGCGGTTTTTGTAAAAGGGTCCTAAATGGCCGTATTTGTCAGCATTGTGACGTCAAAACGAGCACGGTGACCCCCACTTTTTATTACTTTTTTATCATCTTCTTGACTTGTTACATCAGTGTAACAAGTTTCATCAACAATCTATGTTACATTCTTTTACTAGGGAATCACCTTAAATTCTAAGGCAAGTACGACTACGAGTACGAGATTTTCTCAATACTAAGTAGTGCGCCCGCTTAAACCAGCGTCAATTTGGCGGGAAAACGTGATAGTCGCCGTCATTCTACTACGAGCTTTGGCGAGAATGTCATGTTAGCGGACACAAGTGATAAAGTGTTAGAGGTTTTATTATTTTGCGGTTGGGAGATAGCTTGCCCTCCCTTCAATCAAGAAAACAGTGTTTTGTTTAGGTAAAAAGGACGTACAATGAAGCAATGCGGGGTGTCTATTATTTGAGAATACGCGAAAAAACTTTAAGTTAAATCTCGTCCTAGAATCTAAAGGTCTCTATCTATAACTTACTATCCTCATCAGTTGCTGCAAAGGCTTCGTCACTGGCCGGTCCTTCGCCACCACTGTTGTAAGCCGTGATTGCAAAGTTGTAGTTAGTGTAAGGCGTAAGTCTCGTTACAGTATGCGAAGTCGTGGTGCCTCCTGGGACATTTACAGACAACGCATAAGCAGGAATTTCACGTCGGCGTCTTGCATTCAGCCGACTTTCACCCCAGTAATAAATCTAAAAATAAAAATTGCGCCACTGTAAAACACAATTCTTGACACCCACTATTGGGTGTGACTTGCTGTATTTGTCTGATTCGATCAATGTCAGTGCAACAGGGCCAAAATGACGATAACAAAAGCTTACCAATCCATAAAAGAAGCCTTAGAAAACAGCCGACATTTCGTGACGCCACCACTGGTATCCCCGAAAAATGACGTCTGAGGAACGAGCGTAGAAATTCCATATTAATAACGTGTTACTACCTCGATCTGGGTAATGCTTCTAATTAGCCGTGCGGCGAGAGAAACTAACTTCAACCAATCAGAGGCACTATCTAGATCAGGGTAGTGATGACACGTCATCAGTATGGAATTTCTGCGCTCCTTTCTTAGGCGTCATTTTTGCGGGAAAACCAGTGGTGGTGTTTCGAGAAACGTCGGCTGTTTTCCCAGGCTACAAGAACAAGAAACTTCATCAAGGCCGACTTCCGAGCAAGTGTAAGCTAAGCAAATTCACAAGTTGCTGTAACAACCCCTTAAAATCTGTTCGCAGCAGTTTGAACGACTATTAATAACTAAATCTCGCTCCAGGGGTATGTTTCCATTTTTCTCACTCAAGGTAAAGGAAAAAAAAAAGGCAAAAGGAACGAAACTGCTCTCACCTTATAACCATCCACACTTCCTCGAGTGACAGTAACAGGTTGCCATGACAACTCAACAGTGCGTGCGGTCGCACCTCCAGTTTGTACGTTTCCTGGCTTTCCTTCGGGCGGGTCTTGACCCGAACGTGATTGTACTTTAGGACTCCAAGGCCCCTTACCTTCCTCGTTCCCAGCTTGAATCTGAAATTCCCACAGCTCATAATAACCGGGATTTGGTATCGCAAAAACGTCAACAGCGGGATCAGGGATTTTCTCCTCGACTTCAGATTTCCCATCGCCCACCTGTCTGTACTTCAGCATGTAGTAAAGGCCGGGTGCATTCCAATCCACTTTAGGCATTGCCTGCGAAAAAAAAATTAATAGCAAAACCAGTTAGGTTGTCCTCTCCGCAGCAATAGGGACCTTAAGCGAGGACGACGACGACCACAACGACGACTTCAAAAAAAAATAAAAAAGAAAACAAAAATACAATAGGTTTAATGATCAAAACAACAGCTCTGCACGCGCATCACGCTTTTTAGTACATTTCTTTGACGTCCACTGCACGACTACGACGTGAAACCTCCTAATTTTACGTTTTATAGAAGACGGGGACATACGACGACGAATTTTCCTTCATCTTTTTGAACCTGAATAAAATCCTTAAGAATTCAACTCCAGGAAAAGTCGCCTGCATTTGACATATTGAGCGGGTCCAAATAGACGCGATTAAGTTTGAAAGAACGCAAATTAATTTTTTTACCAACGTTTTCACTGAAGTCGTCGTCGTCCTTGCTTAAGGTCCCTAATGGCACACTCTTGGGCCTTAGCTCCCACTTCTTTCCGCCTCCGGGCTCGCCTCTTCCCATAACTTATGTTAACCTAGGGGTGTCTGGAAGTGGGGGCTCCACGCGAGAATTTTTAACTATAATTCGCTACTATAGGAACGAAAAGGGAAATGGAGCCGATACGTTTTCCGCAATTGTTTCTTGGATTGTTACTAAAAGAGCGCCGGTCAGCTGTTGGTCAACTTATTTCCCTGTCCCTTGTAAAAGTCCCGGCAGTCTTCGCGAAAGTTAACTCGATCCAGTTTCCTCTCGTTCCTAGAGTGGCGAATGAGACCAATGTTTTAAAAAAGTCCATAAGGAGGCAAAGATGTAAAGAACTTAGAAACATTTTGAATAAATTATAAAACAATAATTAGTTAATTCGGCTTTCTTTTAATATGACGAGTCATGCAGATCGAGAAGGCTCTTAACCAAATTGATAAGTGTACTTACAGTCCAAACAATATCGAGAGTCTCCGCTCCCTTGGGATTTCCACGGAAATTGTCTGGATATTTATCTGGAGCTGTTAAAAAAATACAATATTTTAAGTCACCTCCCTTCCAAGAATGTCTCAAATCGAACTCATTATCAAGAAATAACCCAAAAAGTTCTGCAAGATGTTATGATTGAATGGTTCCAAAACAAGTCACAATTTTATATACCGAAACAATAGTTATATTTGTTTAAGTTTAAAAATATCAAAATCAATATAGCATTTACACTATAACTCTCCTTCGCCCGGGGATAAATATCGCTGAACGTTTGTTAAGAGGCATGTTTACACTGAACAGCCAAAGATATACTTACGTCCAACATTTGTTCGACAAACTTCAGTCGTGGCTACACTTGCACGGCTGGGTCCAAAGCGGTTGACAGCTCTAATACGGAAACGAAGGGTCGCCCAGCCGGTCAGATTAAAGGTAAAGGACGTCGCATTAGGGTTCGTGACATTTAGAATGACATAAAACACGTTGGGCTCATACGTAGATTCCTGCTCAATAATAAACCGTGTGATGGAAGCATTGTTTGCTGCTCCAGTGACCCAGGAAAGCGTTGTATTGCGGTTAAAACAATCTGTTATGGCAAGATTTGTGGGCGGATAAGGAGCACCTATAAAAATCGGATTCAAACGAAAATGAAAAATCTTGGTTAGTGTCATAACAGTTTCTTTTTTCTACTACGGAAACTATGAAAATTATATAACTTCCATGATGAACGAGGGCAGTATTGACTTTACAAAGTTCCATTAAAACAAAAATCTAACTTGTAACAAAAACATTGAAGAACAAAACAACAAAAACACAAAAACTGTAAAGGTAAACTTTCCACACACTTCAATAGTTTTTACACTAGATCCTAATAGTAATAAAAATAATGATGATGATCAGATGATGATCAGGAGAGGGAGGATGATGATGATGATAATGGACAGTTTACGCAAAAATTCCCCAAGCTTTCGGCGCAAAGATTTCTAGGATCATTTGGGTGCATAATATTAGCAATGATTGGATAACTATATGGTTCCTTTGAATACCACAAACCAATCTGAACTACCAAATGTTCCCAGACATTACTTCGCTGAAAGCTGGAGACATGTCGCCACTCTCTAAAGTACAAAAAGACACTGAAGGTAGAAGCGCCAATATACCGAAAGCTTTTCCGTTCTTCCTAAAGGCCCTCAGAGTAAAGGTATACACTAAAAGAGTACCTGAGATATCAATAGTAGCAGATGCTTGGTCTTCAGATCTTTTTGGATCAGGAGTATAGGCCACACAAGTATAATTACCAGCATCATCAACTGTAATGCTAGCAATTGTCAGAACATTAGGTCCTTCAAGCCACTCAATTTTGTTGTTGTACGTTATGACAGCATTATCCCTTTTCCAATAGTATCTCAACTCAAGAGACGGGTCTGCTGTTGCTTCGCATCTCAAATCAACGCGTGTTCCTTCGTCAACTTGTTTATTTTCTGGTCTCACGGTAATTATAGTTCTCTCTGAAAGAAAAAATAACACTTTATGAGTGGAGCCGAGAACAACAGAATCTCAACGTTTCCCTAGGCTCCGCCTAGGGAAACACTGAGATTCTCGGCAACAAAATTAACTGTTTCCCGAGGGACCAATGATTTGTTATATTGCTGAAAATTTCGAAGCTGGAATTCATTAAACCTCGCTGTGCCGGCGGTCGTCCGTCAACATTCGCGGGAAGCAGTGCACTCTTACCCTCTGACGTCATAGATTTGGCAATGTTGCCTGCTCAGAGATTGTGGCGGGAAACAGTTTCATTGTTAGATGTCATGTGACCTCGAAGTAACCAATGAAAACGCGCGCTGCTGGGAAAAAATTTCCAGCTATATAGCAATCAGCAGTATTTACCAGATAAATATTTTTCGCGCGTTTTGATTGGCACCTGTAACTCCTTGGCGGCAACGAGAACGCCAAAAAAAAAGAATAGGTTAAATGATCAAAACAACTCAGCACGAGCAGCACACTTTTTGTCGTGACATTTCCATGTCTTACTGCCTGCGACAACAAGAAAGTTCCTAATCTCACGTTTTTATGGAGGACGTGAACTCTAAACAGCGGTTTCCTTTTCTCTTTTCTTGAAGACGAGGACGTCACGGTCTCACCTCTGTCTCGCTACTGACAAAACACGACATAGCTTTGCTCAACCTAGTCCAATAACTGTTAAAAATTTGCAACCGGCGATATTCAAGCTGACTTCACCTGTTGATATTAATGTGCCAGCCAGAAGCGCATTGGTTCTTAGGAATAAGTCATTCGCACAGATCGAACATCATGCCGGAGCGGGCGGTTGGCCGAGAGGCTTTGGCTTTAAATCCCAGTCCCCACTCCTGAATATTCACTTCCGTCTCAGTGGGTTCCAGTCCTCTTTGAAGTTTCCTACTTATTCACTTCCGCAACGGCCCGAATGTACTGTTCACACTGCAGTAAAGTGTGGCACAAAACCTATCCGATATGTGACATGTGACGTTCCACTTTTGAGATCAGCGCAGCGCAGCTTCGTACCGTTACAGAAATCGTGACCCGATCACCGTTCTTCATGTATGTGTGAACAGAAACCCTATCGGTATCCGGTATTATTTTCGGGGCAGCGGAAAAGCTCCCCTGTACAGTGTGTTCATAGCCCAAAGCTCCCTTATTTAAGGAGGTTAAAAACGGGTCGTTTCGATACAAGTTTATTCATTCGAGGTGTTAATAGTCCCACGTACTAGGAGTAAAGAACCGAAGATATTAACCCAAAATGTTTTTCTTGTTCCCTCGCAAACTATACTTGAAGTGAACAAAATTTTGGTGCAATTTCACTGCTTGAGTTTGTATCCGCGAAACGACTTGTATCGAAACGACTTTGTATCGAAACGATACATCATGATATTCTCACCAAGAACTGTAGCTTTTCCTGTTGCCTCATCGTTGCCCAAGAAGTTCTTTGCAAAACACTTGTAATCACCCTCGTCTCTATTCTTCTCAACGTTGTCAATTATCAATGTACTGTATTCCCCATACTCTATTCTGTAGGGTGGTGATGACGTTAGTAGAGTGTTTCCTTTATACCATTCATAATCGTCTTTAGTTGGCCGTGGAGCTGCTTTCGGATTACACTTCAATCGCCCTTCAGTGCCTTTGAACAAGTAAAATGGACCAAATCCGGACTCCGCGAAAGATGGTTTTATGGCTGCAAAAAGAAAAATTCACGTGTGAGAAATTTTACCCTTGAGGAAAATACTAGCTGACTCAAAACGCGCAAAAGGCAGTGTTTATTACATAAGTTTGTGCGGTGATCTCAACCTTTTTTGTTTGCAGTTTGTTTGTTTGGTTTTCCTGCATCCAAGCAATGTTTAGTATTCCTCATCTTATACAAAAGTTGCAATATAATGTTAAGTTTTCCTTACCTAACACGCCAGTATTAGAGTGGAAATTTTACTATTTATGCGATTTTCCAAGTGCTTACCTAGAACTTTGACATACGTGGAAGACACGATCATTCCATGTGGATTCTCCGCCACACATTGATAAACTCCAATTTCAGCCGGGTACCTCACATTCTTAAAAACCAACTTGTTGCCATTTAATGTTACCTGTACACTGTGAAATACAACATTTTATTGAATAAACACCAATAAAATACCAAGTGAGTTTCGCGCGAAAACATGATATCTTCACGTGTAAAAATAACATGTAATAAATCGCGCCTTTCACAGCAAAAACTAATAAAGTGAAAAAGGTTGGGTGTTTATGGCCGCTTGGAGATACGAAATTTCTCTTCTCGTGCTGAAAAATACTTCACTTGTTCGCTACGCTCACTTGCGAAATAATTCAACACTCGAAGAGAAATTTCGTATCTCCGCGCGGCCATGTAATATCCTCTATTTCCACGGTAAGTAACGTACTGAAACTGTACCTGCGACTAGCAATAAAATAGGGCCAAGGGAGGAGAGGTTTATGTGGAACACTGTCAAGTTTAGCCTGCGAAAACAGCCGTTTCTCATCGCTCTTCGCCGCGAGGAACGTCCCCCTTGATGAACGTCTGCGACTTAGCGACAGAAATTCCATACTGATGACGTAAATCAATGTTTACATAATATATCCGGTAGTCATGGGGTTCCACAACCAAATTTGTTCAATTTTACGTTTCTCCTGGTCGATTTTACTAAAGTGTGGTGTTTATCTGCGAACGAGCTCCAGCAAAAATCAAATGCTTCTTCTAGAGAAGAATATGTTCCACCAATTTTGACTGTTTTGCGTTTACATTTGACCTTCGTGGCCTTTTGTATTGCCTTCGGTCTTTTGCCTGTCATTCGTAAACAATTTTACGTCATCAGTAAGGAATTTCTGTCGCTGAGTCGCAGACGTTATTCCTCGCGAAAGTAGCCTGCGAAAACATCCGTTTCTCCACGCTCTTCGCCCCAGCGGCGAAGAGCGGGGAGAAACGGATGTTTTCGCAGGCTATCGCGAAACGTCCTCAGCGGCGAAAAGCGAAGAGAAACGGCTGTTTTCGCAGGCTATGTCTAGTTTAAATTGATTTTTCTGATGAGTGCAAATCTGCTTGTCATCACGCCTCCAGGGACTTTTTAGCTTCTTTCTTGGGATTGCTACCAACTTGAACAACAAAAACAACAACACAAGTAAACTCTTTCCCAATTGACCGTTGACCTCTAAATAATTTGCTTTCACCTTACACTTCATATTTTCTTCAGCTTTTCGGTGCAGGAAACAATATTTTTTATTCACGCCTTTACACAATGTATTATTATTCTACCTCTTTATATTCAAGTTATGAACGTCACACAGATAACTTCCAAATGCAACCTAGACTGAATTACAACTTTCCGGTGCAAAACGTTTAGCTCATCTAGGATGCGTAGAGTATTAAATTACATGATATTCTTATGCATTCAAATGATTCTTGAGAGCACTAAATTTTTCCCTGACTCTTCAAATGAAATCTAGAAAAAATCAAAAGTTTGCACTTATAACAATGTGTGAGAATAAAAAACAAGGTGTGGCCTTTACATTTACCAATTCACAAAGCGTGTACTAGGAGAAACAATTGTTACAAAACTTACGTTGATGTTGTGAGTTGTTTCCCATCCTTGTACCACTTAAAAGATGGCGAAGGGTCTGCAAATACATCGCATGTCAAGCTGCTATTGCCATTAACATCAATTTCAAGTTGTTGCGGAGGAGACGCTAAAAACCTTGGAGCAACTGCAAAGAGAATTAATAAAATAATCAGTTGTATTGTACAGTAGAACCCCGGTAACTCGAACTCTGAAGGGACACGAAAAACAGTTCGAGTTAGCGGGGGTTTGAGTTATCGGGGTCGATTGAATCTTCAATTTGCCAAGTTTAAAGCAGAAAAAAAACTACAACAAAATGCATCTTTAAAGAACAGCCACAGAAATCACACAAACAGGGTATTCTACCAAAAAAGAATCTTCAAATCGATGGATCGTTCTTTGCGTACCATGAATTATTTTGTGTCTTTGGGGATTTTTATGCGTCAGGGACGCAGGACGCAAAGGTAACAAAATCACTGCTGTTAAGGTACCAATTTCGACATTCCTACAGTGTATTACTAAGATCAGTGACAGTCTGTACAGATACCCATCCACCCCAGGAAAGGGCTGCCACACCACTGGGGTCTATGTCCCTTACTCTTTTGGAACAGTGGTGTGGGTTCTGGTTTTACGTCACACGAAAGGAAGAACCAGATAAGTGAAAGTGCTTTGTGAAGGAACATAACGTTTTTCATCCGTATCCAAGAAGACTAGAAAAAATAACCGTTTGCAGAGGTTATTACAAAGGCAGCACTTTCTTCTCAGTTATTTAAAGATCCTGAGTGTTGGTCCAGCCGGGGGTTTCAACCCATGACCTACCACTGGGCAGACCAGCAAGTGAGTCTCCCAACTAAGCTAACCAGGCGGTGATTTAGTGTGACAGTAAGATTGAAGTGCCAAAAGTGGCTGAACACAGTTTTGGCAGTTTGTGTGTATACAGTGTATGATATGTCATTTGCCAAATCATGGCAAGAGAAAGGGTGCAGCTCACAAGCTGAAACTTGGAAATTGGAAAATATAGTGATGAAAGATTTTGATTGACAGATAAAATGTGACATTTGTGGAGTTGCCATGGCAACACGAACGATTGAATACAACCTTAAAATTTCACTTTTTCACAGTTTACATAAAATTCACTCATTAGATTTTCCTATAAACTTGCACACAGCTTATTATAATTAATCATTACCATTTGAAACGTATTTGACCAAATTTTAACAGACAAGTTTTTAGATGATCAATAATATAATTGTACTGTAATTATTAAATGTGTTACAAAATATTATTCCTCTGTTCAACTTCCACTTTAAAGTTATCATTATTTAACATATGATAAAAGTAAAACTTCTGCCAAATATCGCAAAATTTTAATGAGTAGATTTTCAGAAATCGTCTTCTGTGTACCATTGCCTTTTTCGCTGCCATGTTTGTTTCTCTAATTTAAAACACACACCGTCACGAGAGTTACTGCTGACCACCCTTAAAACTGTGTTCAGCCACCTTAATTTGATCATTGAAGGGATTGGTGCATGAGATTGACACAGCCTTAAGGCCACTTACCCTCAACCTTCAGCTGTATATCATGGACCAAGGGGTTTCCACCACTTTGAGAATTCTCAGCCTCACAACGGTAATTGGTCTGATGCATGCTCTTTTTAACAGATATAATGTTAAGCAGTCTTCCTTGGAAAGCAGTAGCAATCTCAAAACTATCTTGTCCATGTACAAGGTTTTGCCAGTTTCCACTTTTGTCCTGCATTTTCCAAGTTATCGTTGGCACAGGTCTGTAAGTAACAAGATAACAGGCAATGGCTTTGAACTGTAAGACGTCAACTGCATTTAGTTATATCAATTACTAAATTGCAAGGATTCCTGTGGCTATGCAATGTTTTAGTGTGTTACAGTCAAGTGTGTGTTCAAGGACTTTCAAGGACTATCAAGGTGCATGCAAACCCCTACAGTCACGTTCCCCGTTAATACGGACAATGAGGAGGCCAAGGAAAATGTCCATATTAAGCGGGTTGAATTTAAATTAAATGAAAGGGCTTTCTATTGGATCCCCAGGGACAAAGCAAACTGTCTGTAATAAATAATGAGGCATCCGTATTACGCAGGTGTCTGTATAGAGCGGTTTGACTGTACTAATATTCTTTTTTTTTTTTCTAATTTAAAAGCAAGACAAAATTTATCAATTTGTGAGTTCTCTCATGCAATGTTCTTAACAGCTACTGTAGCCCTTTAAACAGCACCGAGCAATATAAGAGAGTGAGCTTTACAGCTTGCCATTTAACAAGCATGTAAAGTACTAGCCCGAGAGTCAATTTAACATTAGCCCCCCAAAACTTTTGATGAGCAGGATCAATAATTAATTAACCTTACATTTTTATTGATTATATTTACACCATTACATGTAAGACAGTTCGTGTAATAATTTCACTATGCCAGACCAGCTTGCAAGTAACTCTTGCTCCACATGAATATATCAGGAATTTAAAACACTTGTCTTAAAATACTTCTGTGATTTGAATTCCTGCAGAATACTTCACTTGCCTGTCTGCCAAGCATAAAGAACAGAATCCACTAGCCCGAGCACACAATGTACTTGCTTCCGGGCTATTGGACAATTGCCTTTTTTTACACAGAGAACAGCCAATCACAAAGCAAATCAATGCATCAGAAACTGGTAGACAGGACATTTGAAATGGATAGAATGTACCATGAACCGTTTAATGGCTGAGGTAAATGTTTGTATGTAGTTTAAGGTGAACAACTTACCAGATACCCAATTTTAATGAATGGGTGTAAGAAGCAGTTGGCTGTTAGGGACGCTTTTGCATTGACAGCCTACAGTTCTAATCCCAAAAAGTTGGATGCCTAAATTTTCTGAAAACAAACCCATCCAATGCTACTGCCATTGATATTGGCTTAAATGAACAGAATTCATTCTGAAAATTGTCCATCCTAACTATTTAATATTTATCTAGTATGTAGAATGTATGTAAATATTTCCTTATCTTATTACTATTTACTTTGCTCAGTTTGTAAAATGTACCCATGCAGGCACTCACCTTCCAACTGCAAGGCAATACAAAGTTTTATTTCTTCCCTCCACAGCTGTTTCTATGGCAGCAGGTATAAGCCTCCATGCAGGCGCTCTTTGTGTCCCTGGATCTGTTTGACCTAAGACAAAATACACAATACTCTGTAAAATAATTATTAACCCTTGCTTTATGCTATAGCCTACTAGTAACGATACATCTTGTGTAACATCTCCCCTCCCTTTTTTATTACGACTTGTTCAGTAAAAAAATGGCAGAAATCATAATAACATAAACAACCTGCATCTTTCCAAGTTAACCTCAAAAGATCCCCACGAACAATTCTTCCAGCAACAAAAGCCTTTTTTAAAAATAAACTAAGAAACATTGCGAGAACCTCTGTCAATTCTTACTAGTTTTTACATGATGTCACCAAAATTCAAAATGCAATTGTGATGAGTGTTTAATTCCATGAGGTATTAAATACAGCAGCTCAACACCTTCATTTACACAAATTTTCAGTTTTAAAGGGTTCTTTGTTTTGTGATAGAGGATGCTTGAATTTCCAAGCTTTTGAGTGACATGGTACTTACACCATGTAGGAAGATGGCTACCAGGAAAGCTCTCATGTGCTGTAGGCTAAAAACGTTATCAATTAATTTTTTTGAGATTTTCCCATCTAAATATTCCTTGTCTCAAAATAAGTATGATTTTTTAATGTGTTTGAGTTCCTCAAGCAATGAATTGATGGTTTTGTAGAACACCATACTAATTTTTGTGCCCCTCACATGGACACCAACATGGCATCTCCATATACATGTACAAACAAGGTTCTGCTGGCAGCCGGTGAAATTCACTGGCTACTTCACTTGAACTTGGAAATTACCCCCTCCCCCCCACCCACCCACCCAAAAAACACTCTAATTTTTGCTCCGGAATGCTGGATATGCATTCTAAGAGGCCCCCCTTGTAGAACCAGACATATGCAAAACCTATGCTCATGCTATTTGCTTACTATGTTGGACTATGTTTCAGCTATGTTATGTACACTACTGCCTATGTATTAACTATGTAACACACCAAACAACATAGTCCAAAGTATGCAAAATCTATGTTGAAACTATGTTTAGGCTATTTGAAAAGCACATAGCTTTTGAATACCTATGCAAATACTATTCAAAATCTTTTCATAGTCTTGACATAGCTATGTATTTACTATGCAATAGAAAGTTCTGCTTTTCCTTCCGATTAGCATCCTATGTATTCACTATGCATCAAAGTAAAATAGCTTTTACATAGCATTTCGATCTTCACTTTTATTTCCAACAAGTTTCTTAGCTTTTACATAGTGCTATGTATATTCTATGCTATGTGATAAAACATATTTGCAGCCTATGTATTCAGTATGTGACATTTTCATTTAGCTTTATCATGAGATAAAGGCTACATAGCTTTTACATAAACATATTTTTTCCTATGTCACTCATATGAAAAATATATGTAGTCTATGCGTTTCCTATGTGATATTCCAACATAGCTTTTAAGTGACTAGGCATGTTGATGGTGGCACTTACAGAAGGCTAAGCATACTTCCAAAGTAAAAAGCAGTGTTTTAAACTAAAACACTGAAAAACCATGTACTATAATTTTTTTTTGTGCTTGCAGATAGTTTCTTAGTGAGAAGACTTTTGTTAAGCATTGAATCGTTACATCCATCATCCCTGTCTTAACTTTCCTTTCTAGCTTTTCCCTAGAGATCTTCACTTGAAATGATACTTCCATGCATCATTTTCTTCTTTTACATTGGGTTCGATCCTTCGTCTTGATTGTGGACGTCTCCTGAATATAACTGCATGGTCAAAACTGCGAAACGCTACCTGCCTCGGTGGATGTTTGTCAGCCATTTTGTTTCCACTAGTTCCCAGGGAAGTCCGTGAGTTCAACACATGCGTATTTTTGCGTTTTATCGTCACGTGGGTCTTTTCAACCAATGAAAAGGTGTGAAAATTGTCTGTTTCCACGCGGGCGCTTTCAAGTCAAAGAAGACGAGCTGTAAGCGTGCGTCTTTACAAGAAGACGCTTCTTTTTACTTCAATTTGCAGTCTTTTTCCTGCCAGGTTCAACAAAAACTATTCCTAACGTTGGTAAGTGATGTTTTTCTCAATTAAGTTTCGATTTGCCTGTGTTATCTCCCCTTTTCGCGTATCTGAACAAGGATCGGTCGATCACGCTTTGATACTCCTTCGTTTCAATTCTAAAACGTCAGGTTGTTTTTATGTTCATTTGCCTTAAAATCTCCACTTTTCTGTTTGCAGATACTTATTCGTTGCAGTCAAAAGGAAACTGTATGGCACTGAAGAGCACGACTTCAGCAAAAAGTCTACACGATAAGCAAACTTAAACTTGGGGTTTCGATTCTGAAACCTCCATGAAAATACTGCATTTGTGTTACTATTAGTGTTCGTGGTATTATATTGCCATAGTTTTTCAATTTTTCGTTTCAAAACCTATTTCTTACCAATGTAAAAGGTATTCTAATTCATATTTTTATACTATTTTTACTATTTTGGTGATTTTTACGAACGTATTTTAAACACTACATTTGCTTAAGCAGATCGAAACCTACATACATAAGAGACTATGTCAATTCTATGTAATTTCTGTTTGAACTCTAGTTAAAGCTTGTGTATGTGATATGTTTTACCTATTCAAATACTATTAAAATCCTATTTCAAACCTATGCAAAGACTATTTGTTCTGTGTTTTCCCTATTTTAATGCTATGCAAAGTATATGTCACCTTTAAAAAGGCTATGTTTTTCAGATGTTTTTTCTATTTCTAGGCTATCTAAATTCTAAGCAAACCCTATTCAAAAGCTATTTAATCAACTGTTCCCTGTTACATTTTACTATGTAAACTCTATTTCAGTCCTATGTGAAGGCTATTTATTTTCTATGATTTTTCTATGAGGTTGACTATGAAGTCTAAAATCTCTTTCCACAAGCTAAGTAAACTGTATGTATAGGCTATGTGGAAACTATGTCATTTCTTCCTTTATTCCTACCTTTAAAAACTGCATAGCTTTTAAGTAGGTTCCGTTTGACTAGCGAAAACATAGCATTTTCGATACAAAAAACATAGTCCTGGCATAGAAACAACATAGGATCTGGTTAAAGCAATGTATGAGTGATTAACATAGGTTTTGCATAGCTTTGTGACATAGCATTTGCATAGATTCTACATAGTGTCTGATTCTACAAGGGCCAGATTGCAAAATTTTTCCAGGAGGCATGCACCTAGACGGATCCTTTCTAGGAACTCACGCTTTCAATTCAATGCATGCAAGTTCCCGATAATTTTTTTTCCAGTTCTCCGCCTACTCCAAAGCTTTTGCCACCTTTTTAAAATCTTATCGAAAACCCTGTACAAAGCTTTAAAGTTTGGACAAAACATTTTTCTGAGTGCATCCCATATGAAATATTGTATAAACCTGATTCTTGGCGAGGCTTTATTCGTACATGTATTTATCTTCTTTCATCTCCAAGATTCTGGACGTTCTGTATTGAATAGTTTTGATTTTAATTTTTGATGGCATGAAAGTGAAAACAGAGAATAGCATAATCAAATTATTATATGGACACTAGGTCAAAAGGACACTCCCAAAATGTTACACGTAATATAAATACATCTATTTAATGGGATGGAAGTTCCTCTTTCCTCCACTGAGATTTCCTTCGGTGTTAAAAGAAAACAAAGAATTTACCTGCACTTTTCTTCTTTAACTTTAAAATGCCAGAACTTTCAAATCTGTTTGCTCCTGTAATAAAACATCTGATTCCTTGGCTGTCATACTCTGCAAAATCGTCAATGTCTTGCTGGGTAACATACATGATTAATAGTTGCCCTGTCTGTGATATGGCTCGTCGATCATTTCTCTTGAACTGTATGTCCACAGTATTGATTTTTCCCTGCCATGAGTAGCTGACACCATAACTGGCAGAGTGTTGTGGACAATTAATACTAATCTCTTGCCCAAGATCTACAAGCACCTCCTGCTCATTTTGATTGCTGAATGTCCCTACAACTGTACAAGGAAACAAGACAAATATTATAAACTAGTAATGACCAAAGGTTACCGAGTGCGGGAGACAATGATCGAAGGTCAAAACACTAATCTTGCTCCAGTACTGTGCTTTGCGTAAGTTTGACATGACAGATGGTCAAAACACGTGTGATCAGATTTCAAGTGATAGAAGGTCCAAATGCATGATCAAATTATGTTCTGTGCATTCCAGTCATTCTTAGTGGAAATCCAAATGAATGCTACATACACGTGACTCCCACATAATAACAACCTGGAGATTACCATTGCGGGCTCTTCTTGTCACCCCCAATTAGTCAGGGTTGCACTTACATGTAGTAGAATCAAGCACATTTGTGAGTGAACCCTGATTTTCCCAGGTTCAGAGCACCAGGCTCCTTTCAGTTTTTCTTAGCGCACAGCCATGAGCTTTTGACTCTTGCAAAGTGGAAGACTTCGCTTAAGGTTATAATAAAGCTAGGACTCTTAATTTTTTACTTGCCTTCTGCAGGGCTAAAAAAAGTCAAATCCGGTAGTCCGCCAGCAAAAAGAGATATTCTTGCTGGGCAAGTAACTTTTAAAGCTGACTTAACTGAAGGTTTCAGCTAAGTCATCCTCTAACAAAATCATAATTACACTTTAGACAAACAGGAAATGGCCTTGGACAAGCCAAATGTAAGGGCTCCTTGCCCAAAGGACAACCTGGAATTCAATTTTTTTTTCAAGCTCTGCATTAAAAGCACAGCCTTGGGCTTTATTGTTTTTTTTTTTGTTTAGATCTGTTCAACTGCTTATACCAATGATACTGAAGTGACTCCTTACCTGTAACAGCAACCTGTATCTTCCTGCTGAATGTCTCAATTCCAGTAACAGTGTCCCTGACAAAACACTGGTAATTTCCACTCTGTGCACTCTCAAGGTAACTTCCGTATAAGGTTCCATCGGCACCAACAGTGAACTTACCACCCGTCGTAATTGCTGTGCCATTGTGCTTCCAGATCCATTGCAAGTTACTCCCAACAGCATCACACTTTAATTCCAAGGCATTTTGTCTACTAAACTTAACATCCTCGGGAGCAAGTAAATCCTTGGCTGGAAAGTCAACAATTCTTGGCGGGTCTACCACCTGTTGACCTGCAATTTAGAAAACAAGAATGCAGTTATCTGTGACTTTTAAGCCCATTTGTAGGCCCAACAACATGTACCCATAAGGAGGCTTGTGTGACCAAGGGATTAACAGACCTTGAACTCTTGATGATCTGGAGGTCTGGGTTTCAAGCCTTGCCCATTGAGTTACTTTCCTTAGACAAGGAACTTAAATACTCCTTTTTTGTCTCTCTTCACCCAGGTGTACAAGTATAAATTGGTACCGGCGAGAATTTTTGCTGAGGCTAACCCTACAATGGACTAGCATCCTGTCCAGAGGGGAGTAGCAATACTCCTAGGCATGCTTCATGCTAAGGAAAGCAGGATAAGCTCTGGGCATTAGGGCCTTTGGCTCGCGTGCGCCTTTACCTTTACCTTACCAGTAAACAAAAAAGTCATGACTTGCATAATTACCATTTGTCAGTGTCATGAGACTGGTGACTGAAAGAATGCAAATAATCCCCCACATTGTGAAGAGTCTATATAACCTGCAACAAATGAGAACAACACATCTTTACATACATTGCACAGTAGCGTGCTGACAATCGATTTATAATGGTAATTGAAATGAGTCGACTGCAATTTGGTCTGAAATCATACGCGCAATTCTTAAAATCGAACGAGCGCGCAGCGCAAGTTCGATTTGATATCACAAATATGATTTCAGACCAAACCTGCACAACACAAAGTTTAATTACCACTTCATTACATCCACTGTGAAATCGCAGAATCCAATCAGCACCAATATTTTATAGATCAAGCAGCTGGTTTGTTGAAAAGCAGAAACAAAGAGGCTTTCACAATATCCATTTTGTATTCAAAACAGAAATGATGCGAGATAGGGCAAAAATGGTGTGATTTAGTCAGAACAGAAATGATGCAATTTAGAACATAAATGATGATAATATTTAGAACATACATGATTTAGAGCAAAAAAGTGTGATTTGGGAATAAATCACACTGCTGAGAGCCAATCAGATTGCAGGAATCACCAGTGATTTCAAAATGGATATAATGTAATCAATTATTGATCAAACTTCTTAAGCAGTGCCATGATTAGCTTGTATGATGGTAAATAAGTAATGGTAACAGGACTGAGTGGAGTCCAATTCAGTCTGTAATCATACGAGTGATTAACAAAATCGGACGACCGCATAGCGGGAGTCCGACTTGTTTAATCACGAGTATGATTGCAGACCGAATTTGACGACACGAAGTTCTGTTATCAATTAATCATAACTTTAACAAAATTTGTGATATATTAGGCTTTTTTTTTTAATCAAAACACAAGAAATTCCAAGATTTTTTTCTAGCAGTGAAAAAAAAAAGTTATTTAAGCAGGCACGTGATGGCACGTACTGTCCGATTACATACAATGTAGGCATGACGCATACTGTCCTATTTAACTGTCCTATTAAGGCTGAATTCAGGGCAGTTGATAGCCAATCAGATTTAAGAATTTTGTTATAGTTATGATTAATAAAATAATAATAATGTAATTAAACCTGTGGTTACAAAGGAGACCCTTAATTCATGAGGTACATGTAGAGTGGAAGAAGTATGATAAAAAAAAAACTAGAATTCCATTTGTGCTATCAGGCTAAATTCTTGAACTTACTGTCTGTAAAGACATTCTCATTGGAGTCAAAAACGAATTCGTATGCAGGCAAGTTGAGTGCTAATAAATTATCATGACGGTACACGCAATGAATCGGTCATCAAATTCGAAAGAAGTACTGGTTTACATGGATGTAAATAACTCATTATAAAAACGAAGTGTTACCAGTTCATGTATTAAATACCTGTATCTTGATGCAGAACAGATTCGACAATTTAACGGTAAAGGTTGTTTTTAAAGACATTCTCACTAGAGACAAAAACGAATTGAGTGCCAATACATTATCATGACGTTGCACGCCATGAATCGGTCATCAAATTCGAAAGATGGATGTAAGTAACTCATTATGAAAACGAAGTATTACCAGTTCATGCATTAAATATCTTGATACAGAACAGATTTGACAATTTAAAGCTCGTTCGTGTAAGGTACAGTGTTCAACCGCTGATAAAACAAAGATGTAAGCTTAAAAGGATGCTATTGAAGCGCCTCGTAGGGGACTAACAAACAGCTTGTAAAGATTAAGATACACTCACGTAACCCAGTGAAGTGATCTCGTTGGAACCAATAGTGTATAGTGTTCCTCGACGAGGAAGTTAACATGTCAACTCATCCTCAAGCTAACTCTGGGAAATACTACTGTAGCAAGGTCAAACGGAAAAGCTTAGTGCTTCCACTTTAATATCGATTTGTGACAGAAATAACAAAACCTAGCGGCGCTTGATAAACTTGGCAAAGGTTATAGTCAAAGACTGAAATAAAGGGAACTCACTAATTTGAGTTGTAATTCGAGACTACGGGCACGAGAACGTGACAAGGAATCGTAGAGAATTCCATCCAGGATTAAAAATGTTTGAAAATGACATGCGACGATTGACGTGATGAAAGAGGGTTTCTAGCGCCAGTGTAGTATTTATCAGTATTCTAGTATTTGAAAATTGACAACTAGCTAGGACCTTGACGTTTAGGGAAACAAAACAATACCTACAAGACAAAACTAACAAAATGAGGACCGAAAGAGAAACTCAGGTCACGAATGTTAAGCTCAAAATGGTACTGTTCAAAATGGCGCTATAACCTGATAAATATATCAACTCAATCGACAGAAACTTCGAGTGTCGACCTGTCTTACCTTCACGGAGACACTTGGAAATAAATAACCACAAAATGAAGTAACTTTCCCCAAAACACGGTGAAAATCGACTGATGTACTATCGTTTTATCCAAATCACTACAACAACTGGCCGTTGACAAATGTGCAAAGCGTAAAGAATGCCTTATTTTGGGAAGGGCCCACAAATGGTCACGTGGTATGACGTAGGCGCGTCCTTTTCATATTTTGTTTATTTTTGAGAATGATGCGTGACGCCCCTAACCACACACGAAAAAAAATTTGATGACTTCATGTATGCTAATTTCAGAGACATTTTTGTTCGGATAAATAAGAGAGCAGAATATATTTTTGATGTATGAAAAGCTCGGAAAAAAAAAAAAAAACCAACCTCATATCACCTTATGGGCTCAAAAATATATATTCAATGCTCGCTGGTAATAAACTTTACTTTACAGTAAAATTCGTGTGAATCTGCTTTAATTTTTCTCTAGTCATTATTTATCGAGGAGCACTTCCGGTATTAAAAGTATAATATCGAGAAGAAAACGCAAAATTTAAAGCCTGAAATATGTTGGTCGGCTGTCCAGACAAATTTTGTGTCTAATTAGTTTCCCTAACCTATGAACAGCTGTACACAGGCTATTGGTTTCCCCTGACCTGTTGCAAGAGAGTTTATTTATTTATTTTTCTTAACCGGTTTTATACGGCATTTTTTCGTACGATCTTACCTCAATCATAGCCGAAAAGAGTAATGAGAGGAAACCGTAAATCTTAGCGTGGAGACATTTTTGTTGAGTTTCCATTGTCATGAGAGGAAATGACGAGTGCTCGACCCGCAGAAAGTTAATCACGTTAATCATATTTTAAATTCCACAGTTTAGTAAATTAAAGTCGGCAGAAACTTATATACAAACATACACGAACCGATTGAAACATCTCAATACTGGTCTGTTTGAGCAAAAACAAGAATTGTTTGCATAAAAAATATAACCTATTGTGACGTATACGGAAAGGTGTTTACTAGTCAAACGTCACACTCATCAAACTGGCCGCAGACGAAAGTGGCGGTGGCGGCGCAACTTAACGAAAACAAAAGATTTTTGAAACCATTTTAAGTTATTTTTTAAACCAAAAATTAAATAGCCACATCATCTCACGGGGGAGCTCAGTTGTGAGGAACTCAATACAAAACTCCGAAGCTTAGATTTAATATTGTAGTTCTTCGCGCAACCATTTTTTTTGTGTGTGTCGACAGAGGTAGAAAAGAAGGAATTTTGATTGCCAATATCAACCAGACAAAAATTAGAGAATCTATTAAAAATAGACAAAGGCTATGATACGACTCCCGAAAGAATTAGACTTTTATAGCGTTACGTATGCGGACGGTCCCGATGCAACTTGCAGAGGCATACATGATATGCAACTTGCATGCATGCATGATGCATCGCTTGCAGATCGATACCACTCTAACCTGTTTCAGGCTCTCAGATAGTAGAGATAGTGGGGAAGACATGAAGGAGTGTGGGAGAGGCCAAAGTGAAAGGCACGCAAAAAGTTGGGGGGGGGGGCAGGAAAAAAGGAAAAAGGAAGGGCCCTTCCTCTCCCTAGTTTCCTCCCGATTTTTTTGTTTTTTTTGTTTTGTTTTGTTTTTTTTTTTTTTCATGCACGCGCTTTCTCGATTCAGCGGACGCTACTTTCTCGGAGCCTGGAACATACGAAAGCCGAGGAGGAGTCTTCCGACTTCCGATTTCCGAATTCCGAAGCAGGGGCGTAGCTAACTTGACGCACGGTACGCACGTACGTACCTGAAAGAGTCGTGCACAAAAGAGATATAAAATGAATAACTAGCAAAAAATAAGCTAATTCTAAAAAGAAAGCAAAATATCTAAAGATGATTATTTCAAGAGCACAGTTTGCCTCAATTCATTCACCTCTGGTTGTTTCTTTGAAATATATATATATATATATATATATATATAAATATATATATATATATATATATATAGATAAAAGATGAACTAAAAAGTCGGAAAAGTTCAAAAACATTTAATCGCTACTCGGGTTTCATGCCTTTCATCAGGCCGACAACATTAGCGGCTCTTCAGGCATAGCAAAGTTCCAAACACTTTGCTATGCCTGAAGAGCCGCAACAGCGGTGAAACGCGTAGCGCAAAAGCAAAGAAGACTTTCGTTTTTCATTGTTTTTAGTATATATATATATATATTAATAATCACAGGAGTTCAGGCTTCAGGAGTAATCATTGATCGTTTATTGCGACAGTGCTGTTTCGTATGGTCCGAAATTGTAGGACCACACTCATCAGGCAACTTTAACGATTGACCGTTAAAATTAAAAGCTGGCAGTAAATATAGGGATGCGTTAAGAGATAGTATCTAGGTAACAGATGGAACAACAACCTGACACCTGCAATTGCAGAAAGAAACCAGATTGTCCACTCGAAGGAAAATGCCTCCAATCAAATGTAATCTACCAAGCCACTGTAACTACAGCGACGACAACTGAAACTTACGTCGGACTGGCAACAAACTTTAAGGAACGTTACAGAAACCATCAGTCCTCCTTTCGACGCTCGAACAGAAGAAATGAAACGGAACTATCAAAATATATTTGGACTTTACAAGACTCTAACAAACCTTTCCAGATAAAATGGAAAGTTTTAAAGAAATGTAAAGCTTATAGCAACATTAGCAAAAAATGTAATCTTTGTCTTTATGAAAAGTTTATCATCATTTGTGACGTTAAAAAAGAGTTTTTTGTAGCCTAAACAGGCGAAACGAACTAGCGAGTTCATGCCCCCACAGAAACAGATATGTACTTCAGAACTCTAGAGTAACGTAACTAAGACACAATCCATCTGTTACCTAGATACTATCTCTTAACGCATCCCTATATTTACTGCCAGCTTTTAATTTTAACGGTCAATCGTTGAAGTTGCCTGATGAGTGTGGTCCTACAATTTCGGACCATACGAAACAGCACTGTCGCAATAAACGATCAATGATTACTCCTGAAGCCTGAACTCCTGTGATTATTAATAGTCAATGCTCTTCATTTAAATGAATTGAGCGCTCTACGGAATACGTTCTACCCAGAATACAAGTATTTATATATATATATATATTTTTATAAGACAATGGACTTTTTTATTCTCAACCCAAATGTCGGTTTCCAGAGAAACGAAGTAATTCATTAATGTACCGAATCAGCAATAACATATATATCTAGTGAAAAGATGGCAGGCGTTTTTTTCTAAAAACGTGTTCGGATTCGTTACGCACATCGATAAATCCTCGGAACAACGACGAAGGCGACGGTGACGGCGACAGCAACGAGAGCGTCAAACGAAACGAGCCCAATAAGTAAATGACGAGCAGCGGGCTTTTCTTTACAACTTGTACGAACACGACGTTAAATTTCCTTTTGCGACGTTGTTTGGAGGACGTAAGCACAGGAACAAATTAAATTTCATCTCTGAGTCCGAACTTGGGTGCGGTCCCCAATATTCCGTAGGGAAGTTCACCAATATTTGCCATTTTAAGAGAGTTGAAATCAAACATACATTCATTTAGATAGCTAGGGACGTTTTCGTTGCCCTCGCCGTCATCGTTGCTAAGGGACGGACCATTAGAAAAGTGGGGGGGAGGGGAATTTTCGAGCCGCGATTTGGAGAATTGTGCGTACCTCTGAAAAAATCCTGGCTACGCCCTGCTTCCGACTTCATACTTCAAACTTCAGACTTCAGACTTGACAAAGTTCGAACTCCGGATTTCTGATTTCTTACCGCTCAGACTCAATGCTGCATGGTTAGACTTCGAACCTCCCGCTTCCCACTTCCCGCTTCTTACTTCCGACTTCCGACTTCCGACTTCAGATTTTCAACTTCCGACTTCCGACTTCGGAATCCTCGGTCAGGCTCGATTAGTCTTAAACCCCGACAATTTGACAGGTGATTTCACGTGATCCAAAATCGCCGCGGACGATTGGAAAAGAACGAGGCTGCTAACCACCTGACATGCAAGGCGGCCACTTCTAGTTGGTCGTCAATTGAGTCACGTTCATACGGCGAACGGCAAACGGCAGACTCAAGTTGCAAATCAATCTCAAAATGGAAAATGAGGAAATAAAAACACGGGTAGCCCAAACTCGAAATTTTAGCATCGGCGAACATCGACATTGTTGCATAACATTCGAAATATAAGGATTTGTATGGGAAAAAAAAACCTTTCTTTTTCGTATCCTACGAAGATCAAAGGATTTCAATAACTTAGACGCCGTCGCTGTTACTGAGACGTGGCTCCATGATGGCTATTTTGATGGTGAAATATTATCTTCTTCCCTGTATACAATATTCCGAAAGGATAGCTAGAGGGGCCAAACCGCTTAGGAATGTTGATCATTTAACGCTTGATGTCCCTTTCAGCAGGACTGACGTCTTTAAGAATTCTTTTTTTTGTTCGGATCTGTCGCCTGTGAAATGAATTACCTCTTAGCATAAAAGAGTCAAATACCATGTCAATCTTTCGTAAGAATTTGATGGCCTTATATGATAAGTTCAACGTAAATTTTCTCTAACTTTACATTGTACTTTACTCAATTTTTTCTGTAGTTTTTTAATAACACTTTTTAAAATAACGTTTTGATAATTTTATTACTTAATTAATTCTCTAGATCTATTTATGATGTAATAATAAGTGGCTTATTTTAAGAAGTCTTCCACTCTGTTTTAAGCCTACCTCAGATTGAGCGATTGATTGATTTAATTGTCATTGTAATTGTAAATCTGAAACTTGATTAAATAAATAAATAAATAAATAACAGCTTACCTGACATAAAATGTGTGTTACGTCTCTCCTGTGTGGTCCATGGGCCGATTTATGGGTTGTGCTGTAAACGGTTTTCTCTCTATGGGTGGCAATGACTTGAAACTACTGATTCTTTTGTACAGGTAAAGAAAGAACAGCTAGACAAGTATAGGCGGAGAACTTAGTCAAGCGGCACTATTGCCTTAAAGGTGACCGCGCTCTAAATAAACTTCCTGTTGCCATCTCCAAAGTTGGGGTCTGTCAACGTTCTCTTTGCTTATCAAGGTCTCTAAAATTTCCTCCGAACCATTTATACGAGCACGAGGAAAAATAAGATAGGAACATCGACACAAACTTTACTTTCTTTACCATTGGTGCAAGCACATAAGGTGAGTCTTAATAGCTTAACTTTACGGACAACTGACTTGTAGGCGAGTCAAGGGGGGAGAAATTTGTAACAAGTTATCGTCATAGGATGTGGCTGTACGCCTAAGATAATTTTCTACTTGCAAGGCAACAATTAAGCTACAATTACGAAAAATAATACTAAGCGAATCTGAATAGAATTGACTTGGTTTGTGTTTATCAGTGTTAGTGATTTTGATTGTAATATGGTTTATGCGCGGTAGACAATAATAGGGTAGATAATTTTGGATATGTTAAGGAAATAGGTATCATGCTCATGCGTTAGATCATAAGAAATAACAGTGAGCCTTTGCCAAGTTCGGTTTGCGACCAGACATACGCAGTCAAGGCGTTTACTTGTGGTAGCAGTAAAACTAGTGAGCATTGTAATTTTAGGTAGAATGTTTAGAACGATTGTGATGCACTGACGAGTGAACGAACGCAATAAAGCGAAGAATGTGAAAGATACAGTCCTGATTGTTTATTGAACCAGCGAACGCGGAGATATTTCAAACACAGTGAGATTCCGTAACAACTGGACAGGTCCTTCGAGCAGAATTAGAGAATGTCTAAAAAGAAAGTAAGAGTGGCCCATCGTGGACTTTTCACGAAAATCAACGAAGCGTACACGACGAATATTCAACCGTTAGAAAGACAGAACTGCTGAAATAGAAGGCTAGTTTAGGAGAACAGCTTCAAGAGATCTTGCCGCTTGACGAGCAGAGTTTGGCCGAGTTAGCGGCAGACGAGAAAGTAACAGAAGAAGAAGAGGCGGACGAGATTGAACGGCCGTGGCCGATTGAGGCGCAGACCCAACACAAACGTTAGCTAGCTGCCATGACTGACTGAGCAACCCACTCCACCAGCTTCATCATCAGCACCGCAATGCGTAAATCCAAACCAAGGTTACCAACCGAGCAAAGCTTCCGAAATTAGACGTCAAAAAGTTCGGCATTTAGATAACGGCGAAATTTGGCATTTCTTTCGTCGCTATATGCGAACGATTTACGAGGCCAACTATTTGATCAGTATTCATTTATTTATTTACCGACTACAGGGTAACCGTCGTCTCATAACTTAATGGCTACATGGGTATTGATATTGCACCTAACCAGAGAGTAGCCATAAAGTAAATAAGATAATGGCTACCTTTCGTTTGGATACGCATTCCGACGACAAGGTGGCCACTAACCCAGACAACTAACGGCTACTTTTGGATCGGTTGATATTCGATGGATCCTAAGGTAGCTAGTAATCAACTACTTAACGGCTACTTTTGGATCGGTTAATACAGTCAATGGGTCCGAAGGTCAGTAGCCAGTAGTCAACTACTTAACGGCTACTTTTGGATCGGTTTATTAGAGTCGATGGGAGTAGTCTACCATGATGAAAATTAAGCCCCGTTGGTGCGTTCCCTTTGCGTTCCGTGTGAGTTCCCTTTAATAATATGCATGTATATAGGTCGAGTCCATGGCGCCACTCATAGTTAAAACATAGGGAAAAAGTACGTTCCTCCATACCAATTAAGAGCCTAGTCAGTGTCTAGCTAGCTAGGTATAAATGCGTTCCTCCATACTAATTCGGTATACGTTTCTCTACTACAATAGGCACAATAGGCTTCCCTAGACTTGCCCGTTAAGTAACTTGAGCCCGGTTTACTGGAACGTCTATTAAAAGGAAAATAGGAGCGATCACCTAGCAACGCGAGAAACGGTATTCAGCGCTCAAAATCGGATATGTCAGCAAAACATACACAAAGTAGAACTGAAAACTCTCTATTTCAATTTTGTCTGACGTTTTCTCTTATTATCTCGAGGAAATGAAAAACTATTAGAGTCTCAGCGTTTCACGCACCGTTAGTTAGTTAATTATGCGAGTTCGCAAACTCAAAGTTGAATACAAATTAGTTCCACAGGAAAAAGCCCGAGAGAACCTTGACGTATTGTTAGGCCTTTTTACAGTTATGTATGGAACCGAGGCTGGAGTTGACCTTGTTTTGATACAAACCTTCCTGCTTTATTACGTTAATCAAGTTATTCTTATGCTAACCAGTATTTTTCAAGGACAATTTCCTTAACAAAGAAAAAGAGGTTTGTATCAAAAAAAGGTCACCGTCAGCCTCACATTCACTCGAAGCCGAGGGTAGTCTCCCTCGCAGCCGTTTTTAGTATCGTCACGCAACGCTCCTCCCCACAAACTACTTAACGGCTACTTTTGGATCGGTTAATACAGTCAATGGGTCCGAAGGTCAGTAGCCAGTAGTCAACTACTTAACGGCTACTTTTGGATCGGTTTATTAGAGTCGATGGGAGTAGTCTACCATGATGAAAATTAAGCCCCGTTGGTGCGTTCCCTTTGCGTTCCGTGTGAGTTCCCTTTATTAATATGCATGTATATAGGTCGAGTCCATGGCGCCACTCATAGTTAAAACATAGGGAAAAAGTACGTTCCTCCATACCAATTAAGAGCCTAGTCAGTGTCTAGCTAGCTAGGTATAAATGCGTTCCTCCATACTAATTCGGTATACGTTTCTCTACTACAATAGGCACAATAGGCTTCCCTAGACTTGCCCGTTAAGTAACTTGAGCCCGGTTTACTGGAACGTCTATTAAAAGGAAAATAGGAGCGATCACCTAGCAACGCGAGAAACGGTATTCAGCGTATCGTCACGCAACGCTCCTCCCCTCCCCTGGGGAGGAGCGTTGCGTGACGATACTAAAAACGGCTGCGAGGGAGACTACCCTCGGCTTCGAGTGAATGTGAGGCTGACGGTGACCTTTTTTTGATACAAACCTCTTTTTCTTTGTTAAGGAAATTGTCCTTGAAAAATACTGGTTAGCATAAGAATAACTTGATTAACGTAATAAAGCAGGAAGGTTTGTATCAAAACAAGGTCAACTCCAGCCTCGGTTCCATACATAACTGTAAAAAGGCCTAACAATACGTCAAGGTTCTCTCGGGCTTTTCCCTGTGGAACTAATTTGTATTCAACTTTGAGTTTGCGAACTCGCATAATTAACTAACTAACGGTGCGTGAAACGCTGAGACTCCAATAGTTTTTCATTTCCTCGAGATAATAAGAGAAAACGTCAGGCAAAATTGAAATAGAGAGTTTTCAGTTCTACTTTGTGTATGTTTTGCTGACATATCCGATTTTGAGCGCTGAATACCGTTTCCCGCGTTGCTAGGTGATCGCTCCTATTTTCCTTTTAATAGACGTTCCAGTAAACCGGGCTCAAGTTACTTAACGGGCAAGTCTAGGGAAGCCTATTGTGCCTATTGTAGTAGAGAAACGTATACCGAATTAGTATGGAGGAACGCATTTATACCTAGCTAGCTAGACACTGACTAGGCTCTTAATTGGTATGGAGGAACGTACTTTTTCCCTATGTTTTAACTATGAGTGGCGCCATGGACTCGACCTATATACATGCATATTATTAAAGGGAACTCACACGGAACGCAAAGGGAACGCACCAACGGGGCTTAATTTTCATCATGGTAGACTACTCCCATCGACTCTAATAAACCGATCCAAAAGTAGCCGTTAAGTAGTTGACTACTGGCTACTGACCTTCGGACCCATTGACTGTATTAACCGATCCAAAAGTAGCCGTTAAGTAGTTTGTGGGGAGGAGCGTTGCGTGACGATACTAAAAACGGCTGCGAGGGAGACTAAGCCGAGGGTGCTTAGTTCACGACTAATAACTTGACAAGAATCAATTAAAACACGCGACTAATAATTGCTAGCAATAAAATCAGACACGAGATACCGTTTTAAAAACTTCATTAAAAAACAATGACAAAAGGAATCAAATACACAGCGATTTGTAAGGGATGGAAATTAATCTTCATCTTCTTCGCCCATGGAGTACTTGTAAGGTTTGAATTTCTTATGCCGACGTTTCCTCAGCTGTTTGCCATGAGCTTTATGATCATCCAAATAATTTACAAATTGAATCCGACGCCTTTTGCGCTTCGGGCCTTGTTGTGATGGGGTTTCCACTGAGGGAGGAGGGGTCAGGAAAGCAGGATTTAAGGGTGGTGGTGGGGTGAGGCTTCTTTGTCTGAGAGATAGCCGCTTGTGTTAATTCAGGTGTTACGCTGAAGGGTTTCAGGAGAGTTGAGAACGCTGTCGTTGCTGTCGAAGAGTCTTGTGTCCTTGATGTTAAGTCTGGAACAATGCTGATTATTTTTTCCGGTCGTGTTCTTGTATTTAATTGTTCTTTAAAAGCCAGGTATCTGTTTAGCTTTCTCATCGTCCCGAATTAAGATCGTTTCGAGAAAGCACGTCATCCATGTTGCCTTGTATTTCTTGCATAGCTGGAAGAAGCGGGAAAAGCGAAAGAGTCTGCTGCTTCAGATATTTTAGAAGCTGACTTGAGGAATATTTTCTCGAAACCCTGCTTGGTTTAAGGCCTCCTTCACTAGGCAGAACGTTTGTTCGCATCCGACAATTATCTTAGGTAGTAGTTTACAGATCAATTAACAGATAACCAAAAGGTCTTTTTACAGTCTCTTCGTACTGGTTTAAAAGAAATCAGTTTGTCCGGGATACATTTGCTTGGCAAGAGTCAAGATTTGCATTTGTCTCGTGGATTCTTGAATAACACCAAATAATGGTTTAAGCTTTTGCTGCCGCTAGCTTTCCCCTGATGAAATAGATTCTGCACGATGTAAATCACGCTTAGATTGCGATGATGAGAACCACGAGTAAAGAGGTTCACAATTCGCTTGTCTTTACTAGCGTCAATCATCTGTTCATCAAACACGATCAAATTCCGTTTGTTCACATCAAAATATGAATCCTGCTCAAAAGCCGTAGGAATTCCCCTGACGAATACAATGTTTGGCATGGCGACTAGCATTCATGTTTGCGCAGGCTGCCATTGTGAATACAGTCAACTCTTCCTATGACGGACACCTTTGGGATCAGTACTGTGTCCGTCTTAGAGAGAAGTCCCTCTTACAGAGAGTCAAATAAGGAGAGTAAAGGAAAGTAGGGACCAACTCTAGGTGTCCGTTTTACAGAGGTGTCCGTCTTAAAGAGGTGTCCGTTAAGAGAGAGTTGACTGTAACACCAAACGAGCCTCTCCGGGGCAGGGTAAATTGTCTCTGAAGCTTGTTGCAATAGAGATCGAACCCAGGCCGTTTTTCCGGACCCGGTCATTTCGGCAATCATAGAGATGAAAGGATGCTCGAAGCGAAACCACTGACATTTCTGTGAAAACATTGGAACTGTTTGAATTGGGGTGATCATGGGACCAGCATTGCGGTGTTTAGACATCACGTGCCTTTGCATACTATCCTTTCGACTAAAGGATTTTTCGCAGACAGAACAGAACAAACTCATGTCAACTCCTCAAGAGCAGAATGTGGACTGAGAAAGAGATAGAATGTTGCGCATTTATATAGGTTTTCAGGCCATAAAATCTATTGTTTTCCTCCACCACCACCACCACCACTACATTTCTATTGTTTTCCTCCACCACCACCACCACCACATTTCTATTGTTTTCCTGCAGTATACGGTGCAACGCGGTTCTTGTCCACTGTTTGTTAAGTAATATAAACATGAAGGGATTTTCAAGGGCACCGTCAAGTGCACGAGCACTTTGAGCTGGAGTTTCTTTTGCTCTTACGAAATTCCTTCCTGCTTACAACAACTTCCTTAGTGTTTCAGTTCTCACGAAATTCCGCTTATAACAATTTCCTCACTATTTTGCTCCCATACTGTGTTTGTATTGAGGTATTTTTCATGTTTTTCCTTGCAGGTGTGCTTGATTCTTTACGATGTCGCGGATTATTCTTTTTCTTTCAGTTTCCTGTTTCTCAACACTAACAAATGGTAATTACACAAGTCATGTATTCAATGAAGTTGTAGTGTATCGATACAGGGCTTCCACACAAATTGTGACCGTTGTAGTGTATGAATTTAGAGGAAAATTATGGGAATATCAAAAAGTTTCATAATTTCGTAATATAATGCGGTGAATTGTTATCTATAAGATCAATACCGATACCCGGGGGATGGCCGCTTAACCAAGGTTCAACTGTACTCTGTATATGTTTAAATTGCAGGTCAACAGCAATCAGATCCACCCAGAATTATTAAATTTCTAACCAAGGATTTAGTAGCTCCTGAAGATGTCAAGTTTGCAACAAAAAATGCCTTGAAATTGCCGTGTGGTGCTAGCGGAAATAACTTAACATGGACTTGGAAGCACAACGACACAGCAATTTCTACCTCAGATACTAAGTTCACCGTTGATGCCTATGGAACCTTATATGGAAGTTACCTAGAAAGTGCGCAGAATGGACACTACCAATGTTTTGTAAGAGACGCTGTTACGGGCATTGAGACGTTCAGCAGAAAAATAAAAGTCGCTGTTACAGGTAAGGGCGCTTTCAAAATCTGAAAACATTTCCAGGTCGTCTGTTTTTCGTACTTGCAAACAGCTCCTGCTAAACTTTTTTCGAGGCGAACTCACTTTCTTAATCCGAAATAATCTCGCAAACATTTTCAAAACCGCGCCATGTTGGACAAAACAAAGAAAATACTCAGGTTTCCCGTGATGTCAACCGTGCATCTGTGCACTAACAGAGCATGGGCAACGACCAATCACAGCGCGCGTAGCATTCATCGACCATAGCTCTCGACCAATCAGCGAGCGAGAAATCGTTGTACCACTGAAAAAAATTGGCCAGGTTGACTTTGTTCATTTGCCGAACCCATTCAAAATTAATCAAACGACTGAAGTTCATTGGGTTTTATTACGGAATGTTTAATTTGTTGCGCTGGTTAACAGTGTTCGATCTTAACGGTAGTCTTTTAGCCAGTGGTGAACTTACGCATAAGCACGACAGAGAACAATGACGGCAAACCTTGTGTGACAAGCGTGACAGTAAGTTTGCTTTATCGCATGGATAAATGCAACATTGTGAAGTGATGACGATAAACAAAATGGTTGCAAGAATCACCAACTGAGGCAGGATTCCACTAAGGCTCAACATATCCGATCACAGATCAAACGTCTTAGATTTTGTAAGCACAGCCCTTTAAGTAATCAACAGTAAACGGAAGGCAAAATACTGACAAAGCAAGAAAGCAACAAGCAAAAGAACAACAACAACAACAACAGCAAAACAAAATAAAAACAAAGTAACACTGTTAGCCCCGCGTGCTTTGCAACTTTTTTTCATCACGGCTGCCTGAAGCAATTTTAGGTAAAGTAAGATGGTCTGAATGGGGTTAACCGTCAGCCGTGAAAACCCCTAAAACGTAAATGTCAACCGTCAAAAATGGAAAAAATTGACCGTCAACCGGCAAAGCTACCTCAAAGTAATGGTGGATGGGGGAGATGCTTAGCGAGGGGGCGGGGGGAGTTAAAAGGTTTTAATAAGCACGGCCCTGACAAATTTATAATATTCTAATTTCCTTATACAGTTGTAGGGACATTTAACGATCCGGAAACTAAACAGGTGGTGCAGAGTGTTGACCTTGGGGAGGAATTTAGTTATGCGTGTCCTCAGCACTCTCCCAGTTATGGCGTCAGCTATTCGTGGATGGGGAAAAGCAATAATCAAAAAATACAGTTCAAGGGGAATGAACGACGAGCCATCACACAGACAGGTCATCTATTCATAATGTTTGTGACTGAGGACGATCTCAAAGAGTTGGAGGGATATGAAGATCAAGGAATCCATTGTGAGATTTCTGCAGCTAAAAGATTTGAAGCTTCTAGTCTCTTAAAGTTAACAAAGAAAAATCAAGGTGAATTCTTTGTTTTCTCTTAACAGTGCAGGAAGTCTACAGGACTTGTAGCTAGTACTGTGTATCGTCTTTCTTTAGAGCCTGTACTAACTCTCCGTCTGATTTCGGTGGCTTCGGTATGGTGTCCATACTGCTTTCAGTCTCTAGGCCTCATTACAGCAGTGTCTCTCTTAACGGACACCTCTATAAAACGGATACTCACAGTAAGTCCCTGGCTTTCTATTCTTCCTTTATTTGTCTCTCTATAAGACGGACACCTCTCTGAGAAGGACACTTACAGTGCTAGTGCCGGTCCCTATACGTTTAGGGTCGCGTGGTTCGAGCGAGTTTTCCCGAACGTTCGTCTCGGTTACCTCACCGGAATGCATGGACTGCGAGAAGGCCTAGAAAGACGCCGTTAAGAGACTAGGCAGAGATGTGGTCAAAAACGTAATAAGGGGCACAAAATGTAATTCAATCCCAGTGGTGGATCCAGGGGAGGGCCCCCTCCCCCCTCCTTATTTTTAGACCAAACTGAAGCCCGAAGTGCTGCCTTTGTAATGACATCCGCAAATGTTTAGACTTTCTTGTGTTCTCGGATAGGGCGAAAAACCGTGGGTCCGGTCTCACAGCACTTTCACTGATTTGTTCTTGTGGGACGTAAAAGAACCCAGATCGCCATTCGAAAAGAGTAGGGGTCGTAGACCCCGGTGGTGTGGCCAACCTTTACGGGTTGTGGGATTGGGTAGGGATGGCACCTTGCATGGGACCTGAGTCCTGTTCGTGCACATTCCCCCCAGGCAGGCCTGTGTCCAGAAAAGCTGGTAAATGAAATGTTTTACACAGTATTGTGTATTTTGTCTCAGATCAAACAGATCCAAAGACACTAAGAGAGCCTTCTTGGAAGTTAAAACTTATGTCTGCTAAACAAGAAGAGGCTTTGGAGGGAAAAAATAAAACTTTATATTGTCTTGCAGCAGGAAGGTAAGTTGGAACATCAGTTCAATGGACAAATAACGATAACGATTATAATAATAATAAGGTGACGATGATGACGATGACGATGGCAATAATAATAATAATAATAATAATAATAATAATAATAATAATAATAATAATAATGATAATTAGTAATAACCAAAGGTTACGGAAATGGAAGGTCAAAACGCTTTGAATTCAACGCTGTGCTTTGGGTAAGTTTCAACTGAGTGTAGTAATTGTGACAGCTAGCTGCTAGCTCGCTTAAAGAAATTATTTAGCCCGGCGTTCAGCCATTGAGCTTTATTGTTTGTTGAATAATTTTCTCGAACCGTTCAGCAGTTCATAGCATCCGTTTTGAACGGCTTGCCTCCCCATTTTTAATCCTGTTTAGAGCTGTTCGCTCGGCTTTTTGAACGACTAGCAGTAGCGAACGTTTTCATCGCCCCATGTAATGGAATGTTGTTACCTTGTAGGAAAAAATAGCGATAAAAACACACTTCTTGGTGAACGCTTGCTATTTATTGTTTTACTGACAAGAACTTCTGGCTGCTATTTTTTTAACTTCCAGACCTGAGCCAAAAATAACCTGGAAAATTAACAGAGTTGGAAAATGGGAAAACCTTGTTAATGGAATGGACAATTTTGAGATTGCCGATGCTTTCCATGGAAGATTGCTTAACATTATATCAGTAAAAAAAAAGATGCATGAGACCACATACCGCTGTGAAGCAGAAAATTCTCAAAATGGTGGAAATCCGAAAGTACATGATATACAACTTAGAGTGAAAGGTAAATGGCCTTAGGGCTTTTCCATTCACCCCTTCAAATGATCGAATTATCGCAAGACAGTCCTGGACTCTGGATTCCACGCCGTGGATTCCGGATTCCAGGTACTGGATTCGGAATTCTTTGTCAGAGAAACTTGGATTCTGAATTCCAGTCTCTAGTGGGATTTAGGATTGTTTGAGCTGAATTCCGGGTTCCAAAGCACAGAATCGCGGATTCTACAAGCAAATTTTCCAAGATTCCGGATTCGACAAGCAAAAATTTCCTTTATTGCGGAATTCGGCTTCCCTGACACTAGGCGATACTTACGTGCATAGATTATCAGTTATAGAGACGGAGTTGTAGAGGTAATTGTTATTAAGGGCATTTCCGTCTTAGAAGCACACTTTTGGAAGAAAGGTTTTTATTAGCTAGATCATTTTTGTACACAATTATTAACCGATGATTTGATTGATTTTGTTTTCAGTTGCTCCAAAGTGGACGGCAGAGCCTCCGCCAGAACTTTTAATTGATGTTAATGGCAATGGCAGGTTAACGTGCGATGTATTTGCAGATCCTTCGCCATCTTTAATCTGGTACAAAAATGGGAGGAAACTCACAAAATCAACGTAATTTTTCTTTCTTTTTCTGTCACTGTACACTTCGAGATTGGTAAACTTAGGGGGGCCACATTCTCTTTTTTAACGCTTATGTTTAGGAGTAAACATTTTCGCGTTCCTACTAAAAAATTATTGAAAAAAATATCAAAAAAAAAAACAAAAGCGGGACACTTTATTATTTTCATGAGATTATTAGAATGGATAGAATAAAATGGTGAAATTTAGAACTTATACGTGAAATATTCTACAAATTCTGGAGTAGTTGTAAGCCGTGAACTGGGAGCTTATTACTGTTAGGAATAAAGATATTTTTTTACATTAAATGATTTTGCACTAAATTGTCTCTGCTTTGGATGAATACTATAAATTATAGCGATTTACGAGTTTAAAGAAACTGATTGTTAAAAGAAAAGGGAAAATGCGTAATTATTTAACAGCAGGGTGAAGGATTCAAAGGTGGCATACACAAAGTAAAGCCTTGAGATCACAAGTGCTTGAAAAGAAGTCTAGTGGCCTTCAAAGGCATTGTCTGTACCGATCTCGAACAAGCCTAAATTTCGCAACCGCATAAGTTGTGACTTTAACAGCGAGGATCTTGATTTCATTTAATCCTGACTATAGTAAGAAGTTAAACAATTCCTAGAGGTATGGTAACACTGAGCTGATTGGAAACTCTTCAGCTGTTACTACTCTATTTTTGAATCTCCCATAATACACTCAACTGTTGCCTGGTTTCACTGAAATGCTCATGGGAGGAATGCATATTCCCAAGAGCATTGTCTTTAAAACATTAACATGTGCATAAATTGGGGGGGGGGGGGGGGAGGGGGGCAAGCAGATTGTATTATGGGAATTCGAAAATGGTCAGTTGCAGGTTGAGTTATGTCCAGTCACTAATCAAGTTGCATTCTATAGTGAACATGTGAGACTGAATGGCAACAAGCTGGATTTAAAAAATGTGAGGTATCTACAAGAAAGCGGAGCTTATCAATGTGTGGCTGAGAATCCATATGGAATGATCGTGTCCTATACAGATGTAAAAGTTCGACGTAAGCACTTGGAAAATTGCATTTATACAATTGAACCTTCATTCCCCTATTACAAAAGTGGACTTTTTCTTTGTTTTAAGATGAATCAATTTTTGATAAAAGAGCTTGCCATTTTTAAGGTGAAAATGTTATAAACAACTCATTGTCGTTTTGGTTAACACCATGCATACAATCCTAGGGTTACCTAAGTCTGACAAAACTAGGAAGAGGGGAGGGGGAAGACTTCTCTCTATTTCGCAACAGCGTATATTTTACACAGGAGTGCGGGAAGGTAGACGTTTTTTTAATCTTTCTTAACCAGTTTTGTCCGAAGTTGCATTGACAATGGCAAGAGAGTGATTGTCGCCTCATATCAGTGAGCATGACAACAGCAAAAATACACTTTTGTTATAAAATCTACTCTGAGTTACTAGAAGTATTGTCACTAATTCAAATCGTATTTGGACACACATTAAATACGATCATTTTACGTACGTTGAAATCAGCCAATCAGTGACCCACTTGCCCTTCACAGCACGCGCGCGAACTTAAAATAGATTTCAAATACTTATCATGAGGCAAAGGAATTCGCTCTCTTAACTCATTCTCTCTAGCTTTGCTGGTATAAAAAAACAAATCAGGATACGTCACCGAACCAACTTTTACAATACGTCAATTCTTCTTAAGTGCGCGTTGGGGCATAATAGGGACTTTAAGATCCAACTACGCGACGGCGACAAGAACGTCGCTTAAAAAGCGAATTTGCCTTCTTTCAGTCTTTGGTGCGATTGTTCCTACCCACTTACTTTGTCAATTGTAGGCGAACCGTCCTGAAGCTGAATTTCAAGGGACCATATTCAAGCTCAGAAAGAGAAATAAAATTTCGTCGTTGCTTGTTTACGTCCTCCATAAAACGCGAAATTAGACATTTTCACGTCGTAGTCGTGCAAAAAAGAGAAAGAAATGTACAAAAAAGTGTGATGCACGTGCGAAGTTGTTGTTTTGCTTATTAAACCTATTGCTTTTTTGACCTTCTCGTTGTCGTCCGCGTCCTTGGATCTTAAAGTCCCTAACGCCTTACACACGAAACTTTTCTATTTGCAGCAATGGCACCATTTTTTGAGACCGGATTTGGTCCATTCTACTTGTTTAAAGGCACTGAGGGAAGGCTGACGTGTAATCCAAAAGCAGCTCCATGGCCAAGTAAAGACGAATATAAATGGTATAAAGGAACCACTCTACTGAGGTCATCACCACCTTACAGAATAGAGCATGAGGAATTCAGCACATTGATAATTGACAAAGTTGACGAGAATAGAGACGAGGGACCATACACATGTTATGCAGAGAACTTCTTGGGTAACGCGACGGAAACAGCAACAGCTACAGTTCTTGGTGAGAATTACATTGGTCCCTTATATTAGCTAAAGCAAGATTTTAGTCCTAGCGGCCGGCCAAATTCGAATATGGCTTTGAGATTTAGGGTCGATTGTGTCTTAAAAACTCTCATTTTTTCCCATGACGTCAAGTTGTTTTTCTCTTCGCGCGCTGGAAAAAAAAAATAGAAGTAATGTCTTGGCTCCAATGTATTTCCGCAATGTTATACTTAAGTTATAATTATGACCATTTTGCTTTTTCAGAGAGGACAATAATTACTGTGCGCCCAGAAGATAAAATAGTTGATGAAGGAACTCGTGTTGATCTGAGATGTGAGGCAAAGGCTGACCCGTCTCTTGAGTTGAGATACTATTGGAAAAGAGATGATGCCGTCGTAACGTACAACAACAAAATTCAGTGGTTTGAAGGAGCTAAGGTTCTAACAATTGCCAGCATTACAGTTTATGAAGCTGGTAATTATACTTGTGTGGCCTATACTCCTGATCCAAAAAGATCTGAAGACCAAGCATCTGCTACTATTGATATCGGAGGTACTAACACAGAATTAGAATGAATTAGAATGAAAGTGGTCTCGTTATGAATCTTTTTGGTGGCGTTAACTTCAGGGAGACTGGGTACCAGCTTTCGGTACAACGGTTTCTGGGATAGAGAAGAGAAGTGTAACGTCAGTAAAATTCAAATTTGTGAAATTATGGGTTGGTTAGCATATTCAGAAAGAACAACATAAAAAAATGTCCCTTTTCCAAAAATCAGTCTCTTAGTACAAATTTGTATAGAGATATTAGCACCGGTTTGCTCTGATGACTCCATACAAATCCTTCTAAAAATGGCTTGGATCATGAAATTAACGATCCAGGCCTATTTCAGGGGGATGTATATGGAGTCATCGTAGCAATAACGTTGCTTATATCTCCTCACCAATTTGTAGCAACGTGCAGCTGTTTGGCAGCTGAACATTTTTCATCTCGGTGTTTTTTTCTGAATATGTCAACCAATGCAATTTTAGTTTTTGTGACGTCATCACTTCTCTCCTCTAATGTTTGCATCGACAAGCGTAAGTTATGATTAGTCGCTGGTATTTCTCTCTTTTGTTTTGGTTATTTTCCTTTATATTATTGGCACTCTAGGGAGTCCCCGTGACTATCTTTACCAGTGAAGTTACGTAGTATATCATATTCGTAAGTTTGGCGGAAAAAAAAAGCTTTCATTACACTAATCATTTAACTGTTTAAATCTGATTTTTGTAGGTGTTCCTAATCCGCCAACAAATCTTGCCATAACAAATTGCTCTAACCGCACTACAACGCTTTCCTGGGTCACTGGAGCAGCTAACAATGCTCCCATCACACAGTTTATTATTGAGCAGGAATCTTCGTATGAGCCCAACGTGTTTTATATCATTCAAAATGTCACAAACCCTAATGCGACGTCCTTTACCTTTAATCTGACCGGATGGGCGACCCTTCGTTTCCATATGAGAGCTGTCAACCGCTTTGGACCCAGCCGTGCAAGTGTAGCCACGACTAAAGTTTGTCAAACGGATGCTGGACGTGAGTGTATTTTTTGGCTTGTCAGTTTTACTTTACAAACACTGAGACGATCAATGAGTTGTCGTATGCTACATTGATTCCGATCTTGTTGAATGAAAAAATTGCTATAAGTATCAGGAGGCTAAGCGTTGTTTAACTATAATATATCAAGCATGAGACGCAGTGTTTTATCACCAGATGAAACACCGAGAAGAGAGTTGAAAATACGACGCGCAACGGAGTATTTTTTGACGAACTTCGATGTGTTTTATCTGGTGATGAAACACTTTGTCGAATGCTTGATATTACTTCTCAAACAAAATGATTTTAGAAAGAGAAATTAAGGATGCAAAAATGAGCAGTTTTTCATCTGATTTCCAAACACTCATTAAACTTCAATTTCCTTTGTATTTTCTTTATGAATTATTAATGAGTTTGAGAAGGTGTGGCAAAAGTAGGTATTTCAAGATACTGCGACAGACGTCAATTGTAAAGTGAAGTGGTGTTCAAATTCAGTTTTTCAAATGTGGGTGATAAGCCTGTAGTCGTATTCTTGGGAACCTTATTCAAGGTCGCAAAGAGGAGGAAAAATTCGTCGTCGCATGTTGCGACCTCAGTTAAACGTTGAGCTATTTCTTGATACTGATTTCCATAGGAAGCTATATAACACATTATTGGAAAAGAAATGACTTTAAATCTATGTATTTTCAACAGCTCCAGATAAATATCCAGACAATTTCCGTGGAAATCCAAAGAGAGCCGAGGAGCTTGATATTGTTTGGACCGTAAGTACTCTTTAGCCCTGTGCAAACCGACGCAACATTATTGTTGGCCAACAACTCCCAACATCGTTAAATGTTACATGTTACGTCCGTTTGCACACCCTGTTGCATGTTGTTGTGTGTTGTTGGGGGTTGTTGCGCAAAGTTTGAGACCGTAAAACTTTTGAAACAACAGTTCTCAACATTTCTTTTGTACCGTGATGGCCAAAGCGTAGCGAAACAACGGAGGATCCGCTTGCACAGCTTCTTTTGAAATTCCGTCTATGGGTTTGTTTCATAAAGTTATGGCAGGGAACGGTTTAATTTAGTTTTGTAACTGAGAGAGCATTCCCACAGGGAGGTTTATAAGCGACGGCTATTAATTTTGGATTTAACGGTGCTCTTATTTTTAATTCTTCGTAGGCAATGCCTAAAGTGGACTGGAACGCACCCGGCCTTTACTACTTGCTGAAGTACAGACAGGTGCCAGATGGCCAATTTGGAGACCCGGAGAGAATCATTGATCCCGCTGTTGACGTTTTTGCGATACCAAATCCCGGTTATTATAAGCTGTGGGAATTTCAGATTCAAGCTGGGAATGATGTAAATTTGGGGCCTGAGAGTCCTGTAGTTCAATCATATTCGGGTCAAGACCCGCCCGAAGGAAAGCCAGGAAATGTACAAACTGGAGCTGCGACAGCACGCACTGTTGAGTTGTCATGGCAACCTGTTACTGTTACTCGAGGAAGTGTGGATGGTTATAAGGTGAGAGCAGCCTCCTTCCCATTCCCTCTCTTTTTCTGTTTACCCGGAGATAGATGGAGAGAGGAGAGAGAGCATTAGTGTGATATGGTCTTTTAATCAGCTACAATTGGATTTAAAGGAGTTGTTACGGCATCCTGTAAATTTTTTTAGTATAAACTTGCTTAGAAATTGGCTTTGATGACGTTCCTATTTCTTGATTAGTAAGATTTTGTTATCGATCGTTTGGCCCTGATGCACTGACATTGTTCAAATCAGATAAAGACACTGATCGAGTCACATCTAAGAATTGATGCTTAAAACATTTGTTTACAGTGGCGCATTTGTACTGATTTGCAGATTTACTATTGGGGTAAGAGTCGCCTGAGTGCAAGACGTCGACGAGAAATTCCTGATAATGCGTCGTTTGTCAATGTCCGAGGAGGAAGCACTGATGGGCACAAAATAACAGAACTTACACCTTACACTAACTACATCTTCGCAATAACGGCGTACAATAGTGGCGGCGAAGGACCTGCCAGTAACGAAGCCTTTGCAGAGACTGAAGAAGACGGTAAGTTTTTTTAAGGAGTTCACAGTTGCCTCTTTCTTAACAAAGATTTCCCAATGATCACTGCAAGAGCAATGACGACGTGACGTGGGTTTTAACTTTGGGAGGTCTACCAAAGGCAGATTGGTCTAGGGTGAGAGGTCAAACTTAGACCCCGTCTGCACGTATCCGGATATTTTTGAATCCGCAAATTTTTCTTTGCAGATTAAAAAATTTCCACGTCGACATGACGTAGCGTATTCAAATCGAATTTGGCCGTACGCACGTAGCCGGATTCACTCTCAGTTCGTCAGCTAATTTGTAAAGCGGTATTCGGCTCATACGAAAATTTCCTCGCCAATCTACTTGAATGAGCTGTTTCGCTGACAAAATGGTCCCACCGAGCACTAGTTCGCTCTTTTAACTTGTTTACGGAGTCCAATTCGTCGGTCCGACCGTCAAAGAAAGAAGCTTCAGAATGTTGAGTCGCCGTTTGGCATAATTGAAGTGTATAGTACAATAGTACAAGAACTACCGCACAATCAGCCTTATATGCCACCCAAGCAAAGTCCTGCTGAAGGTGCTGTTAAATAGGCTGAAGCCTCGGGCAGAATCAATCATCGCAGAAGAACAGGCAGGTTTTCGATCAGGTCGAAGTACGACAGAACAGATCTTCAATCTCAGGATACTGTGCGAGAGGTACCTCCAACATCGACAAGACCTCTACCACGTCTTTGTTGATTTTAAAAAGGCGTTTGACAGAGTATGGCATAAAGCCCTTTGGTCTACTATGAGGCTTTATAACATCAACGCCAACCTAATCCAAGTCATTGAAAACCTCTACAACAAGGCCACTAGTGCAGTCTACCTTAATGGTGACATAGGAGACTGGTTCAGAACCACAGTCGGAGTCAGACAAGGGTATCTACTCTCACCAACTCTTTTCAACATCTTTCTGGAGAGAATTATGACTGACGTACTAGAAAATCACCAAGGAACAGTCAGCATCGGAGGCAGAACAATTACCAACTTACGTTTTGCTGACGACATTGACGACCTGGCAGGAAAAGAGGAGGAACTAGCCTCCCTGGTGGATCGCCTGGATAAGACCTCTGCAACCTTTGGCATGGAAATCAGTGCAGAGAAGACCAAACTGATGACCAATAACGCGAATGGTATCAGCATTGACAATAGAGTCCACGGTGAAAAATTGGACGAGGTTGACAGCTTCAAGTATCTGGGCGCAGTCGTCACAGATCAGGGTTCCAAGCCTGAAGTACTGACCAGAATTCCACAGACAACAGCTGCACTAGCGAGGCTGAAGACCATCTGGAGTGATAAGCATATCTCTCTAAGCTCAAAGATCAGACTAATGCGCTCCCTAGTTATCTCTGTACTATTGTACGCCTGCGAAACCTGGACATTGACAGCGGACATCCTGAAGAAATTGCAGGCCACTGAGATGAGATGCTTTAGGAAACTGCTTGGCATCTCATACAGAGATCACATCACTAACGATGCAGTCATAGACAGAATCAGGCAAGCCATTGGGCCCTATAATGATATCTTAACCACAGTAAAGAAACGCAAGTTAAAGTGGTTTGAGCATGTATCAAGATCATCAGGGCTTGCCAAGACGATTTTACAAGGAACATTGCAAGGAGGGAGAAGAAGGGGCCGATAAAAGAAGCGTTGGGAGAACAACATCGCTGAATGGACAGGGTTGAAGTTTTGCCACGCTGTAAGAGAAGCTGAAAACAAAATAAAATGGAGGGAGAGGGTTGCAACGTCCGTGGCGCCCCAACGGCCATTGACTACGGGATAAATGCAAGTGCAAGTGCAAGTGCATAGCAATCATAGCTACGTTTAACTGCACGTTCGTTATAAGAATTGAAACTGAAGTGCAAGAAGTAAAAAAACGATGAACACTGCGCACGGCACCATCTTAAATATTCACTGTAAAGGGCTCGATCTTGTTACGTCACTGGAAAAACATATCCGGATTTAGCGTCCACACTATTTTGGATTCATTCGCATTCAAAAATTTCGATTTTGGGGAGCGCCGATTAAAAAAGTTGGGGACTCGCATGCCGGATTCACCGACTGAAGACGAATCCGCAAAGAAAACTTTGCGAATTCAAAAATATCCTGATTGGCTTGTCGACGGGGCCTTTGGACAACGCCGGGCATTCCAGGCTGGGCGTTTGACAAAGGGCCATTCCTCCTCACTGCCAAGTACGTAAAAAGCAAATAAATTTTACCTAGGATGATTTCCTGCCTGTTCCCCTATTGGGAAGAGAGAAATCATGATGGTCATAAAAAAGGATATACAGTCGTACATCTTGGCGATAGATCCTTCCCCTTTTTCATGGCCATCAAACGCCCAGCCGGGAATGCCCAGAGTCTGTTTTCAGTCCTCTTACCCTCGACCAATCCGGGATTGTTAGACCTACCAAGGGCAAAACGTGGCATCATTAAGACAAGAAATCACAATCACGGCAATGCAGCAAGGCTAGGGCAAAAGTACGCCCATTTATGAGTTCAAAGGGATGTGTATACTCAAGAGAAAAGGCTACGAGAATTAATAAATGATGACCAAAGAGAACACTCTTTGATCTTTTATAAAATTCTCTCCATTAGTTTTTAAGGAAACGCATTGAGATAAGTCTGGAGAAATTGTATGTGGGCTTAAAGGCCTAAGTTTCCATGAACTTCATTTCATTTTAGTTCCTGGACCACCATCAGCAGTCAACGTCTATGCCTTTGCAAAATACATCCTGGTTACATTGAAAGCTCCTGTGGAACCTAACGGCGTGATTACAAAATACCGAGTGGGGTCGGCGCAGTACGAAGGTTCGCAGCCGAGCGACGATCTTCAGGTATCCTGGCAGGAAGTCGGGCCAGGTGTTTTTAGAAAGCTTCTTGAGAATCAGACGCCGGAGAGAAATTATGTTGTAGAAATACAAGCAGAGACAAGCAAAGGGTGGGGAGATAAAGTCAGAAAGACAACTCGAACTGTGAAATATGGTCGTAAGTATTTTTTAAATACGTTAGTTAATATACCTTTAACTTGAACTCGCGCCTTGCGGACTTTTCATCGTTTCTAACCCGCTTATACAGCCGCCTCTGTTCGCTCCTCTCCACTAGGAGCGAGAATAAATGGCTGTACTTGCAGACTACGCTTATATGGACACCTCGATAATACGGAAAGCAGCTAATAAAATCTCCGGCGAAAACGAAGTACCAAAATTCAGTATGGAAGCTCACACATTCTTCTACTACCATTATTACTCAATGGCCAGTAACGTTCGCATGCGCACAGTCATATCCACCGGGTAGTGGCAGTTATGTAAACTAATGACGATTTTTATGTTTCTGCCAGCTCCCGCCAAACCAGAAAGACCCACTGTTGAGGGAACCGACGTGGGTGAAGTGAAAGTTACTTACAACTTTGGTCTTGGTGGAGGCTATACCCACGAGTTCTTGGTCATGTACCGAACGAAATGTAAGCATAGTTGGAAATGTTTTAATAATTCACAACAACTACAACAACAACAACAGGAGAAATTAAAAGAAAGCCGGATAGAAAGAGTGGATGATTGAAAATTTAAAAAAGACTACTGATTATAAAACAGAAATCTTGACTAATTTCAAGTTCCTATTTTTACAGAAAAACTGACACGTATCTTTAGAATGCGAAAAATGTTATCAATGTGGTACCTCTACTGATTTGCTAATACCAATGCAAAAAAAGCCTCGAACCTAGCTCTCTTAATAATCCTTTTAAGGTAAGGCTTGAAACTCTTCATGGGTCCCTCTCTTTTGGATGACCCTCCTTTTAAAGCCTCAGTCCTCCCCCAAACCCTCCTGTCCCAACGGTATCCCCCTCAGGGAACGGAACCAATTTGGAATTTATAGGAGTAAGGCAATTTCAGAGGTTTGTGCACGTTGTAGCAAAATGGAACGAGAAAGACTCGGACAAGGAAAGGAATCGGACACACGAAATGAAACTTCTCCCTCAGTTCACTGATTTGGTGATAAAGTTTTGTTTGTTGTTGTTTAAATTTTTTCGTAGTGCAAGGAGAAACCTTCCAGAACACCAGCTGGATTAATCATTTTGAGACGCAGAACATCAAGATTGGAGGCTTAAATAACGGGCTTTACGAGTTTAAAACTGTTGGCAGAAATGATTATCCAGACGATAATGACGTTAATTCAAGATCAGAGAGCCCCGCCAGTAACGTCACGGAGGGACGCCCTCTCCCATCACCTGCCAGTAAGTATCGGACTTTGCTCACAGAACAACATTCTCTGGGGAACGTTTCTGTACTCACCGCTCTGAGAATCAGGAATCCATTGTGAGACAGTCTTGGATTCTGGATTCCACACCATGGATTCCCGATTGCTGGTATTGGATTATAGTCTTTGTCAGTGGACCTTGGATCCCCGATTTCAATCGTTAGTGGCATTCCTAATTCCTTGAGCTGTATTCCTGATTCCAAAGCCCAGGATTCTGGACTCCACGGCCAACATTTCCAGGATTCCGAAATCTGGAGGAGAGGGCAAAATGCTCGGATATCATCTCTATTTTTTACGTGGTGATTTTACTAAAAAGGAAGACTGGGAAATAGGAACCCAACAGATGGGCGCTTTCCATTTGTCATAACTGACTTGCTAAACTATTCCCGTCGCAATCTGAATGTCCTTTTTAATCTGCGCTCTCCAGCCAGATCAGTCAAACTCGACATAGTGTGCACGAAGGACAATTTTTTTCAGCAAAAAAAACTCATGGAAAAAACCTATTTCATCGTCAAAATGACTGGTACGGCCATGGTCAGTCCAGCCGGCCCGTTCTGTTTTTTCGAAAGCGCCCTAAGATTACTTCCCGGGACCGGGGGTTACTTCCTTGCATTTCCTTTACGGGGATGTGCCGCTGGACAGGGTATATAAATTCTCTGCACGTTTGATTTGATTTTCAAGATAAACCATTTCGTTTGTACTCCAATATACAAAAGCCTATAACGTGATTTTGCTGAATTGCAAATGCCAATAAACGGCTTTAAAACAAGACGGCGTGCATTTTCTCCTTCGTCCTAGCCAGGCTATTAAAATCGACGGTGTTCTCCTCAACGGGTATGGTATGTCTTTTAGAATTTTGTATTTGTCCTAAACAGGGTCAGGGTTTCAAACCCTCAGCGGCTCACCTGTACCCAACCATTGCTCGAGTACCCCCTACCCCTCCCCCAGGGCTAAGGTTTAAGTGAGGTTAAAGTAAAGACTAAAAGAATAAAACTTACTTTTAATTTCCCTTTTAAGCTTTCATATCGATTTCAAATTTCGCACTAGCCCAGGGTTATCTTAACCCAGCTTTGAACAACCCAGCCCTGAATAATGTTGTCTTTAACAGCAACAGATTTTACTCCTTTTACCAATACCTTTCAGGTAACCAGCCTGTAACAAATCCCATACACAAGGCTGCTTGGTTCATCATCTTGCTGACCATTATCGCTGTAGTGCTGATTTTGCTGATTGCGCTGTTGATTTTTGTACACTACACTCGGCATCAAGGAGCTAAATATCTTGGTAAGCTCAAATGAGATCTTGATCTTCTTAAAGACGTTCAGTGTAAATAGTTTTTTTGAAGACTTGCCCAATGTAAATTAATACAAGACAGTCTTGGATTCTGGATTCCACGCCGTGGATTCCGGATTCCAGGTACTGGATTCCAGTCTTTGTCAGTGGAACTTTGATCCCGGATTCCAAACGTTACTGGGATTCCAGATTCCATAGGCAAAAATATCCCGGATTCCGGAATCCCTAACTTAAGATGAAGAATGGGTCTGTTTGTCATCGCATGCTGACGTGTTCCTATTACAACAACGGTATTGTGCATCCTTGCAAATCATTGGAGCATTTTAACATGACGTCATGTTCGTCATATTGGTGTTCTGAAACAATAAACCGGTGGTCATGTTGGTGTTCCGAGCCGATCCTTTGGGGATTGAACATTTTTCTAGTGTGAAAACGTTCTTTTGTTGCAATAAATTTGCATAGATGCTGACCACAGAGGAAAGAGGCCCTCAACAGGTTTCTCAGGATCCGGGAATTTTCCTTATTTGAAACTCGGGATCCGTGATTTCCCTTAGTTGAAGCTCGGGATCCGGGATTTCCCTTATTTGAAGCTCGGGAGCTGGGATTTCCCGGGATTTCCCTAACCGTCCCCTGGTTAGCTCAGTTGGGAGAGCGCTGGCCTGCTGAGCGGAAGATCGCGGGTTCAAACCGGGATTACGGGATTTTGGGATTGAAGAACCCTTTTAGGGACTCTCTGAAAATGCTCTAAAGATAGGATCTACGCTAGAACCGGTGCGCCGCCACAAACCAAAAATCTCCCTTTAGGTGTGGCCAAAAGAATACTGCGAAAACCTAGTATTCCTCGTATTATGCAGGGTAGATACATAGCATTGTCATTCGCTTGCCTGTAGTGAGTGGTCTTTAATCAAAGACTTTAATAGAATGCGAGCAGTCTTTCTTGAGTCACTTTATATCGCGCGCATGCGCGAGGGGCCAGCTGCGATGCATAATTTTACTTCAGTTTTGGCCAGCCGCGAATGGCTCTGAGGAAAGAATGATGACGGCGCACGATTTAAGGCTTTAATCATGTTAACTGATTTTCTGCTCAACAGTTGGCAAACGAGAGAGAGATAGAACTCTAATTGAACGCGAACCACCGTTCGATAAAGAAGAAGGTGCTTTAAGCGATGAACGGTAAGAAACCATCGACCATCAAAACGCCTTTATGGCACGTGGAAATTGTCATTTCTTGCAGATTTCCGGGCTGTCATTAATGTTAAATTGTTATCCAAAGAAGAGATTGCTATCCTAGACTCAAAAGAGGGCCAAAGAGTCACAAGTTTTATCACTGTCACTTTAATGCTTTCCATCCTAAAATAAAGTTTATTGGCCGTTTTCACACGTACTAGGGACGGATTGTGGATAATCCATCTTCAAGGTCTGTAAAAATTGACTGATAAACAGATGGATTAACTAAGACGGATTGTTCATCTAAAATTAAAACCGTTCCATTTTCAAATTAAGACGCATAGTATGTCTGTCGCAAATTACACGTCTCTCATTGTGTTGTATTGTAATCAGTCGTTGAAAAGTAAGGTGACAATCTACGCGCTGTGCCTGCTTCAAAGCTTTATGGCGGCCTGGAGTTTGGGGTACCCTCGGATACCGTGAGGGGTATGTCACGTACAAGTGATGTAGCCCGTTCCGGTTAAGCTGCAGATACCCAAAACCCTGTATCAAATTGAAGCTTATTGAACTGGCTATATCAGTAAACCAACAATTTTTTAAATTGTTGATTTTTAATTAAAGCCCTTTAGGCACTGTATATTACAGTCGAGACTGTGGTTACCTTATATAGTAGGCTGCCAACATGAATTACTGGCCAATATTCCATCCACCGGGGTAATAACTGTAAACAGGGAAGTCTCCATGAGCCGGCTCCCTTCCCTGGGAGTTGAAGTGAAATCAATGAAACCCCTGAAAATCAGCCGTTGGCGTTGTAAAGATCTAACATAGATTTTGCTCGCTTTTAGCCGGGTGGAAAACCCTTCACCTGACCAGAGCCAGAGTTCACTGCGGAAGATCCCAGAGAACGACGGCGACAGTTTGGATGATTATAGCGAGGGACAGCAGTTTGGCGAAGATGGCTCCTTCATTGAAGAGTATGTCGACTGAGGAAAGACAAATTCCCTGGAACGAAAGGATTCAGCTTTAGCGACATTTGATTGAATTTCTGGGTACACTTAGCCCCTTAACTGGAATACTAACGAGAAGACTAAATTTCAATAACTAACCAATTCAATCGTTTTTACTGGTTGAAGTTTCTTATTAGGTTGTTCATTGGGATCTAACTGTAATGTTTTGCGAGTTTGAGAGTTAAAGTTTGCTTTTAACAAAGATTGAAGACCAAGGATTTTCTATACAAAATAGGAATTCAACAATCTGATTCCTGCACCTTCTGTGGAGAAGCAACGGAAAACCTGGTTCGCTTAGTTTGGAGCTGTAAATACTCTAACGCCTTTTGGAAAGACTGCTATCAATGGATAATGCAAAACACCTCCAAAGTAGAAAAATTCAACCTCTCAGGAGCTCTCTTATTTGGCTTAATTAACGATGCAAAAAATTTACTATTTACAGAGTTTGACTCTATTACCAACATCCAATAAAAACAACTCCATGTAGAAACCCAGCAACTACCTCACAAACTACACCCATCATCTTAGCAATCAACTTCCAATATAACTCCACGCCTACTACTTCACACATCTCAACTAACCCCTCAAATATACAATACCACTGCACTACCCACATATCCCTCACACACATAACAAACTTCACCTACGCGTAGTACAACCACGCGCAAATATACGCTGCCACAGCGTCTTGTTTTTAGAGAGGTTTCAAGTGACGTTCAAGCCGTAATCGATTTAATCCACCGATTAAAATCGATTGATATCGGAAATCGATAGAAATCGAAGTCACAGAAAATAATTCATCGATTATTATCGATTAACAAAATCGATAACAATCGATAGGAACTGATAGTAATTGAAAATCATCGATATTAATCGAAGTCACAAATTTTTTTCTGTCTCGATTCCTATCGATCGATATCGGAAATTGATATTTATCACTGATCGATATCGATTACTATCGATTACTATGGATTATCGGTTTATCGGGTTTACGGCAAACGGCAAACGGCAGACTCAAGTTGCAAATAGGTCTCAAAATGGAAACTGAGCAGATAAAAATAGTCCAAAACAATTCTTTTGGGTGGCAATGACGTGGAACTACTTATTCTTATGTAGAGGAAAAGGAAGAACAGTTAGGCCTGTTTCAAACGTCGTGTTACTGCCGTGCTAAGTTGGCTCGACTGTAGTTCGACTGCAGCACGACACTAGCACGACTTGGTTTCAGACGTCGAATTTAATTCGCACAATGACAGTCGAATGGAACGGCTGTTGCCAAAAACAAAACACAAAAATAAAGAAACGGTTTAGCAAACTTTTAAATATATTCTAATGAATTTGTAATTTATGAATTGAGTTCGGCAGGGCGGTAGCACGACTTGGTTTCAAATGTCGCGCTACTGCCGTGCTAAAGTCGAATTTAATTCAATCGATTGAGTTCGGCACGGCAGTAGCACGACGTTTGAAACGGGCCTTAGACAAGTATAGGCGGAAAACATAGTCAAGTGGCACTATCGCCGTATAAAGGTGACCGTGCTCTAAATCAACTTCCGGTTGCCATCTCTTACGTCGGGGACTGCCAACGTTCATTGTCGTTGCTTAAGGTCTCTAATATCACATTCGGGCCATTTACACAGGCAAGAATAAGACAGAAACATCGACACAAACTTCACCTTCTTTACCATTTATGCAAGCTTATAAGGTAAGTCTTAATATCTTAACTTCACGGAAAATTAAGGCTGTTTGCCAAGTTTCAGTTTTCAGCTCAGCGACTTAGGCGAGATAAAAAAGGCAATTGAAACTCTTTAATCCTGGTTTACTAAAATATGACTGAGAAACTGCTGCGAGAAAATTTTACAGACGTTTGTATCGTGAGGGGGCACAAACTTGCCGCCCACCATACAAACGTCTGTAAATTTTCGCAACTCTTCGCTCGCTTCGAAGGAGACGTATCACTTTCAAATTTGGCAATTTTCAATTATCAAGGAGCTCTTTCCAGTGGTGTCGACGGCTTTTTCCTAACTTGTCCATGAAAAAAACCGTGTGAAGGTCTATAGCCCTACACACACGAACTCAATAGCCCAAAATTTGAAACGGGGTCCTATTTTTTTCTTATTTTTCATTTCCATCTGTAATAATCCATTTTAATAGGCTAACTTGGAAAACTACAAGCTCCTATAATTTGTGGGTAATAATTCACTGTTGTCTGTCGATGAGAAGTTACGTTTGACAGTTTATGGTCAGGAACGATTCGAAGAACTAGCACCAAAGTACACGAGAACAATCTACATTTTTTTAGACATTGTTTAATAATTTTTCTTTCTCCATCATTTCTTCTAAACACCTAAAACTTAATTTCCGTGCATTTTATCGTCGATTAAAGACAGCTTCACCTGTTCTATACGTCGCGCAATCATCAAACCGAATTTAATTCAAAGCTTCCCGTTCAAAAAAATTCGCGTATACTGCGACGTATAAAATGAATTAGATTCATCTGAAGAATTGAATTCGTCCAAGAACTTTATCCGTCTTCGCCAGACGCATACAACGTCTGTAGAACGCCTCATTAATTTCAGACGTCGCTCAAACGACGCTCAGTTCGACGCATACAATTAGGCCAAACAGCTGGGTTCTTTCCTTGTGTTTTGCAAGTAAACAGTCATAGCAAAATACATCTTTAGTAACATAAAAAGCCGAAAATTATCACGTGTTCAATCAATTTTGCGCGAGAACTGGATTACAAGAAATACCACGGATCCCATTTAATAACGGTGCATGACAACATTTCTGGACAACGACATTTCCTTTCCGTGACGTCAAAAGTAGTCACGCCTGCGAGCATACATTTCTGGCGACTTTATATTCGAGAGGTTAAGCATCACGTTTACGTCTAGTGAGGTAAACACGAATTTGTACCACGTGACCAAGTTTCCCCTTCTACTTGCCGTTTACTGTTCATTATTTCAACACATAAATTAGTAGTTTCACGCAAATTTTTGTCCATAAGTCAGAATCGTTTTGAGCTATTATTTTGAGAAACTCTCAACTTAAATCTGACGTTTGCTGTTTGCGGTAGCGTGATGCTTAAACTCTCCATTGAGAATCACTGGAATTTAAAGTATGACAATCGTGACTGAACTTTAAGTTGTTGTAACGTTTATAATTTGTAGTCTTTGAAGTGTATCTCATATTTTTCAGGAAATAAACCCCTGAATTTACACATATTTGGGCCCGATAGAAAGAAAACAAAATAAACTTGCGGTGAACACAAAAGTCGGCCAGCTTTTTCTTTCAGGTCTTTTCTTGAGACATTATTTTGAGGACTCTAACATCCGTAACCTGTAAATTGGCTACCGTAGAGTATCGTGCATAAAAAAGATTTTTTTTTCCTTTATATTGTTTTCATATCAGTTACCTCGCACTCCAAATCATTTTCCCCTGCCGCGACATTGGACCCGCGACCGCGACTTTGGACCCGCTACCACGACTTTGGACACGCGACTATTAGTCAAACTCCTTTCTAAACAACTTTTTCGGTTTTGTTTTCCTTTCTTTTGGCTGAAAACGTTCAAAACTTCTGATTGAATTTGTTAGTTTATATATTTTATTCATTTTTCTGTTTTTTCTTAATATTTATTTACTTATTTTTGTCAGATCATGCCATAATTTTAATTTATAGTAAAGATGCATTTTATTTATTCTTATTATATAACAAAGAGGCATTTCTCACACGTTGTGTCAGTACAATTTATATTTTGTACTCCCTTTTTTAAAAAAGGCCAACTCGGGCTCGAAAAGCTATACGAGTCTGTTGGTAGAAGAAACGAGAACTCTTATATTTAACAAATGTTAAATATAACATTGCGACATTGGATCCGCGACCGCGACTTTGGACCCGCGACCCGCGATCCGCGACCCGCGACCATTAGTCAAACTCTTAGAAAGGCCATCGAAAATTAATATTTTAGCGGTTACGTTATGTTTGGCATTTATGGCGTGATATTAGATTTTCAAATAAGCATGTCCCGATTGCGCTTAGCACTTTTTCGAATATGGAGCACTATTTTACGTTTCCATTACTCTTGAGCACTTTCTTGACTTTTGAGCAGAATTTGAGCATTTTTTCGCTTTTTGGGCAACATTTTCTAAGCACTTTTTTTTTACAATTTTCCACTTGTTTAATGCAATATTTTGCTTTCGAAACGTTTTCAGGAAGCCGATCTCTATTATCATGAATTTGAATAAATCCACCTTGTCGCCTGACTGTTATCATGAAAATGCAAATCTCCTATTAGAAAATCGAGGGTTAAAGCTTTGGTTGATAAAACTAAGAATATTTATGAACATCTGCTAGGAAATAATTAAAAACTACGAGCAACTTTCGAGCTCTATTCGGAAATTTCATTCACTTTTTCAAAAATTCCAGCACTATTTGAGCACTTTTTTGACATATTTTGAGCACTTTTTGGAAAATGTTTAGCGCAATCGTGACATGCCTATGGGCCTGTTTACATGGAGCGGGGGACCCCGGTCTAGTGGGATTGGTTTCTTTTGTTTTCACGCTCTGGAGGACACAAAACAAAAGAAACCTACCCCACTAGACCGGGGTCCCCCACTCCATGTAAACAGGGTCTAAAACCTGTATTGTAATTGTATTCATGGAAATTTCCTCAGACTGCTTGACTTTATCTATCTGAAAAAATATTTAAAATTTAACTAAACGAAGTCATCAATATCGTTTTTACCAAGGAAAGAATGGTTGTCTTGCTAAAGTAGGAAATCTTAGGGCAATTTAGCGCAATCGTTATATGCCTAAAACCTGTATCGTAATTGTATTCATGGAAATTTTCCTCAGACTGCTCGTCTTTATCTATTCGAAAAAATCTTTAAAATTTACCTCAACGAAGTCATCAATATCGTTTCTACCAAGAAAAGAATGGTTGTCTTGCTAAAGTAGGAAATCTTAGGAGTTTCTTTTATTAGCTCTTACGAAATTCCTTCATGCTTATGACAATTTCATTAGTTCTTCAGTTCTTACGAAATCCCGCTTATAACAATTTCCTCACTGTTTTGCTCCCATACTGTGTTTGTATTGAGGTATAATTCATGTTTTTGCTTGCAGGTGTGTTTGATTCTTTACGATGTCGGGGATTATTCTTTTTCTTTCAGTTTCCTGTTTCTCAACACTAACAGATGGTAATTACACAAGTCATGTATTCAATGAAGTTGTAGTGTATCGATACAGGGCTTCCACACAAATTGTGACTGCTGTAGTGTATGAATTTAGAGGAAAATTATGGGAATATAAAAAAGTTTCATAATGTCGTAATATAATGCGGTGAATTGTTATCTATAAGATCAATACCGATACCCGGGGGATGGCCGCTTAACCAAGTTTCAACTGTACTCTGTATGTTTAAATTGCAGGTCAACAGCAATCAGATCCACCAAAAATTTTTAATTTTCTAACCAAGGATTTAGTAGCTCCTGAAGATGTCAAGTTTGGAAGAGAAAATGCCTTGAAATTGCCGTGTGGTGCTAGTGGAAATAACTTACAATGGACTTGGAGGCACAATGATACTATAACTATTTCTAAAGGTGGTAAATTCACCGTTGGTCCCAATGGAACCTTATATGGAAGTTACCTAGAAAGTGAGCAGAGTGGGCACTACCAGTGTTTTGTAAGAGACAATGTTACAGGCATTGAGACGTTCAGCAGAAAGATAAAAGTCGCTGTTACAGGTTAGGCCGCTTTTAAAATCTGAACTGAAACATTTCCAGGTCGTCTGTTTTTCTTACTTGCAAACAGCTCCTACTAAACCTTTTCTCGAGGCGAACTCACTTTCTTAATACGAAATAATCGCGCAAACATTTCCAAAACAAAGAAAACACCCAGGTTTCCCGCGACGTCAACCGTGCGTTTGTGCATTAACAGATCATGGGCAATGACCAATCACAGCGCGCGTAGCATTCATCGACCATAGCTCTCGACCAATCAGCGAGCGAGAAATCGTTGTACCACTGAAAAAAATTGGCTAGGTTGACTTTGTTCAATTGCCGAACCCATTTAAAATCAATCAAACGACTGAAGTTCATTGGGTTTTATTACGGAATGTTTAATTTGTTGCGCTGGTTAACGGTGTTCGATCTTAGTAGTCCTTTAGCCAGTGGTGAACTTACGCAAAAGCACGACAGAGAAAAACGACGGCAAACCTTGTGTGACAAGCGTGACAGCAAGTTTACTTTATCGCATGAATAAATGCAACATTGTGAAGTGATGACGATAATCAAAATGGTTCCAAGAATTACCAGCTAAGGAGGCAGGATTCCACTAAGGCTCAGCAGATCCGATCACAGATCAAACGTCTTAGATTTTGTAAGCACAGCCCCCTACGTAGTCAACAGTAAACGGAAGACAAAATACGGACAAAGCAAGAAAGCAACAAGCAAAACAACAACAACAACAACAACAAAACAAAATAAAAACAAAGTAACACTGTTAGCCCCGCGGGCATTGCAACTTTTTTCATCACGGTTGCCTGAAGCATTTTTAGGTAAAGTAAGATGGTCTGAATGGGGTTAACCGTCAGCTGTCAAAACCCCTAAAACTTAAATGTCAACCGTCAACCGGCAAAGATACCCGGGGGGACTCCCGTTTGAAAGGGGCGGGGATGCTCGTTGGAAATTTTGAATTAAACCCCTAAAAGAGAGCAATCTGGGCATGGCCCAACCTTTTTTGACCCCTAAAAGCGATCATTTTAAACTTTGATCAATTACATGAATCGAGGAAATTATTACGAATTGAAAATATATAATTTTTTAATATTCCTTCCAGTGCAACCCTAAAAGAGACCTTTAGGACTAAATATAATAGTATTTTGCCCAAAACACCCGAAGCGAGACCAAAATCTGATCATGAATTTTACACCCCTAAGCGAGACGACGAGCACCCCCGTCGCTTTCATATGGGAGTCACCCCCGCCCCCCCGGGGCAAAGCTACCACCCCGTTGAGACCCTCAAAGTAATGGTGGATGGTGGAGATGCTCGGTGAGGGGCCCGGGGGGAGTTAAGAGCTTTACTAAGCACAGCCATGACAGATTTATAATATTCTTGTTTCCTTATACAGTTGTAGGGAAATTTAACGATCCGGAGACTAAACAGGTGGTGCAGAGTGTTGACCTTGGAGAGGAATTTAGTTATGCGTGTCCTCAGCACTCTCCCAGTTATGGCGTCAGCTATTCGTGGGTTGGGAAAAACGCCGGTTTAAAGATACAGTTCAAGAGGAATGAACGACGAGCCATCACACAGTCAGGGCAGCTATTCATAATGTTTGTGACTGAGGACGATCTCAAAGAGTTGGAGGAAAATGAAAATCAAGGAATCCGTTGTCAGATTTCTGCAGCTAAAAGATTTGAACCTTCTAGTCTTTTAAAGTTAACAAAGAAAAATCCAGGTGAATTCTCTGTTTTCTCTTAACAGTGAAGGAAGTCAACAAGACTTGTAGCTATTAATGTGTGTCGCCTTTCTTTAGAGCCTGTACTAACTCTCCTTCTGATTTCGGTGGCTTCGGTGTGGTGTCCATACTGCTTTCAGTCCCTAGGCCAAATTACAGTACAGTCTCTCTTAACGCAAACCTCCGTAAAACAGACACCTACAGGAAGTCTCTGGCTTTGTATTCTCCCTTTATTTGTATCTTAATAAGACGGACACCTCTCTGAGAAGGACACCAATAGCGCCGCTGCTTGTGCCGGTCCCTATGCGTTTCGGGTCACGTGGTTCGAGCGAGTTTTCCCGACCGTTCGTCTCGGTTAACTCACCGTAATGCATTGACGGCGAGAAGGCCTAGACAGACGCCCTTCAGAGACTAGGCAAAGATGTGGTCAAAAACGTAACAGGGGGCACAAAATGTAATTCAATCCCAGTGGCGGATCCAGGGGAGGGCCCTCCGCCCCCTTTATTTTTTGACCGCCCCCTCCCCCTCCTATCTGGAGGGCTGGATCCGCTACTGAATCCCGTCGGCTTTTCGTGCTGACACTAAAAGCCATCCAGTATAGTATGTACACCTATCCGATATGTGACATGTGACTCTCCAGTTTAGAGGTCGGCACGGCGTAGCTTCGCTGAAATCACCGATCTTATGTGTGAACAGAAGCCCTATTCGGTATCGTTTTTGTGCCGGAGGCAAAAACTATCCGGTATAGTGTGAACAAAGCCTAAGCAAGGCCTGGTTAGCTCAGTTGGGAAAGCGCCGGTCTGCCGAGCGGGAGGTCGCGGGTTCAAACCGCAGCCGGACCAACACTCAGGGTCTCTAAATAGCTGAGAATAAAGTGCTGCCTTTGTAATGGCATCTGCAAATGTTTAGACTTTCTAGTCTTCTCGGATATGGACGAAAAACTGTGGGTTCCGTCTTACAGCACTTTCACTGATTTGTTTTTGTGGGACGTAAAAGAACCCACATCAGTATTCGAAAAGAGTAGGGGTCTTCGACCCCGGTGGAGTGGCCAACCTTTACGGGTTGTGGGATTGGGTAGGGATGGCACTTTGCATGGGACCTGATCATGAGTCCCGTTCGTGCACATTCCCTCCGGGCAGGCCTGTGGCCAGAAAAGCTGGTAAATGAAACGTTTTACACAGTATTGTGTATTTTGTCTTAGATAAAAAAGATCCAAAGACACTAAGAGAGCCTTCTTGGAAGTTGGAATTTATGTCTGCTACTCAAGAAGAGGCTTTGGAGCGAAAAAATAAAACTTTCTATTGTCTTGCAGCCGGAAGGTAGGTTGGAATATGAGTTCAAAATGGACAAATAACGATAACGATTATAATAATAAGATGACGATGGCGATAATAATAACAATAATAATAATAATAATAATAATAATAATAATAACCAAATAATAATAATAGTAATAACCAAAGGTTACAAAATGCGGGCGACAAAAATGGAAGGTCAAAACGCTTTCAATTCAATGCTGTGCTTTGGGTAAGTTTCAACTGAGTGTATTAATTGTGACAGCTAGCTGCTAGCTCGCTTAAAGAAATTATTTAGCCCGGCGTTCAGCCTTTGAGCTTTATTGTTTGTTGAATAATTTTTTTGAACCGTTCAGCAGTCTATAGCATCCGTTTTGAACGGCTTGCCTGCCCATTTTTAATCCTGTTTAAAGCTGTGCGTTCGGCTTTTTGAACGACTAGCAGTAAAGAACGTTTTCATCGCCCCATGTAATGGAATGTTGTTACTTTGGTAGGAAAAAATAGCGATAAAAATACACTTCTTAGTGAGCACTTGCTATTTATTGTTTTACTGACAACTTCTGGCTGCTATTTTTTTACTTCTAGACCTGAGCCAAAAATAACCTGGAAAATTAAAAGAGATGGAAAATGGGAAAACCTTGTGAATAGAAAGGACAATTTTCAGATTGCCGATGCTTTCCATGGAAGATTGCTTAACATTATATCTGTAAAACACAAAATGCATCAGGCCACATACCGCTGTGAAGCAGAAAATTCTCAAAATGTTGGAAATCCGAAAGTCCATGAAATACAACTTACAGTGAAAGGTAAATGGCCTTAGGGCGTTTCCATTCCCTCCTTCAATTGATCGAATTATAGCAAGACAGTCCTGGATTCTGGATTCCACGCCGTGGATTCCGGATTCCAGGTTCTTTATCAGAGAAACTTGGTTTCTGGATTCCAGTCTTTAGTGGGATTCAGGTTTCTTTGAGCTGAATTCCGGATTCCAAAGCACAGGATTTTGAATTTCGCAAGCAAATTTTCCAAGATTCCGGATTCCACAAGCAAAAGTTTCCTTTATTCCGTAATCCAGATTCCCTTGCACGGGGCGATACTTACGTGTATTGATTAGGTAGAGAAGGAGTTGTAGAGGTAATTGTAAATAGCAGTGGCGGACCTAGGGAAGGGGCCCGGGGGGTCCCGGTCCTCCCTTATTTTCAGACCAATCTGAGGCCCTAAGAGCCGAAAACAAAATTTTTGGAGACCGACCCCCCTCATATTAGGGCCTGGATGACCCCCCATCTGAAAGTCTGGATCCGCTACAAAATATGGGCATTGCCGTGTAAAAAGACACTTTAAGTTTTGGAAGAAGCGTTTTTCATAGATAATTTTTGTACACAATTATTAACCGATCATTTGATTGATTTTGTTTTCAGTTGCTCCAAGGTGGACGACAAAGCCTCCGCCAGAACTTTTAATTGATGTTAATGGCAATGGCAGTTTAACGTGCGATATATTTGCAGATCCTTCGCCATCTTTTATGTGGTACAAAAATGGGAGGAAACTCACAACATCAACGTAATTTTTCTTTCTTTTTCTCCCACTATACACTTCGCGATAACTTAGGGGACCACATTCGATCTTTTTAACGCTTATGTTTAGGAAGAAACATTTTCGCGTTTCCACTCTGGATTGAACAAAAACAAAAAACAAAAACAAGACAAAACAATAGAGCGACTCCTAATTTTTTCAAGAGATTATCAGAATGTATAGAATAAAATGGTGAAATTTTGAGGCACATGAAATATTCTACAAATTCAAGAGTAGTTGTAAGCCGAGCACTGGAAGGTTATGACTGTAAGAAAAAAGATATTAATACTTTTCTTTATAAAATTTTGCAATAAATTCTCTTTGCTTTTGCATTAGCACTATAAATTGTAGCGATTTACAAGTTGAAAGAAACTGATTGTTAAACGAAAAGGCAAAATGTATAATTATTTAACAGCAGATGGTCGGGTTAACCTCTATTTAGCTGCCCTGGGTAAAGGGTTCAAAGGTGGCATACACAAAGTAAAGCCTTGAGATCAAGTACTTGAAAAGGGCTCTACAGTGGCCTTAAAGGGCATTTTCTGTACCGATCTTGAGCAAGCCTAAATTACGCAACTGCATAAGTTGTGACTTTAACAGCGAGAATCTTGATTTCATTTAATCCTGACTATAGTAAGAAGTTAAACAATTCCTAGGGGTATGGTAACACTGAGCTAATTGGAAACTCTTCAGCTGTTACTACTCTATTTTCGAATCTCCCACAGTACACTCAACTGTTGCCTGGTTTCACTGAAATCCTTATGGGAGGAATGCATATTCCCAAGAGCATTGTATTTAAAAACGTTAACAGGTGCATAAATTGGGGGGGGGGAGGGGGGCGGACAGATTGTATTATGGGAATTCGAAAATAGTCAGTTGCAGGTTGAGTTATGTCCAGTCACTAATGAAGTTGCATTCTATAGTGCACATGTAAGACTGAATGGGAACAAGCTAGATTTAAAGAATGTGAGGTATCTACAAGAAAGCGGAGTTTATCAATGTGTGGCTGTAAATCCACATGGACTGATCGTGTCCTATACAGTTGTAAATGTTCGAGGTAAGTACTTGGAAAATTGCATTTCTACAATTGAACCTATATTCCCCTGTTACAAAAGTGGACTTTTTCTTTGTTTTAAGATGAATCAATTTTTGATAAAAGAGCTTGCCATTTTTACTCTGAATATTTTATAAACAATTCAGTTTTGTTTTGGTCAACACCATGCATACAATCCTAGGGCTACCTAAGACAAAACGGCTAGGAAGATGGGAGGAGAAAGACTGCGCTCTATTTCGCAACACTGTATATTTTAGACAGGAGTACTGGAAGGTGGACGTTTTTTAATCTTTCTTAACCAGTTTTGTCCGAAGTTGCATTGACAATGGCAAGAGAGTGATTGTCACCTCATATCAGTGAGCATGACAACAGCAAAAATACACTTTTGTTATAAAATCTACTCTGAGTTACTAGAAGTTTTGTCACTAACTAAAATCGTATTTGGACACACATTAAATACGATCATTTTACATACGTTGATATCAGCCAATCAGTGACCCACTTGCCCTTCACAGCACGCGCGCGAACTTAAAATAGATTGCAAATACTTATCACGAGGCACAGGAATTCGCTCTCTTAACTCATTCTCGCTAGCTTTGCTGGTTAAAAAACAAATCAGGATACGTCACCGAACCAACTTTTACAATACGTCAATTCTTCTTACATACATGTTTGGGTATAATGCCTTACACACGAAACTTTTCTCATTGCAGCAACACCATCTTTTGAAACCGAATTTGGTCCATTCTACTTGTTTAAAGGCACTGAGGGAAGGCTGACGTGTAATCCGAAAGCAGCTCCACGGCCAAGTGAATATAAGTGGTATAAAGGAACCACTCTACTGACGTCATCACCACCTTACAGAATAGAGCATGGGGAATTCAGCACATTGATAATTGACAATGTTGACAAGGATCGAGACGAGGGTCTTTACAAATGTTATGCAAAGAACTCGCTGGGTTACGACGAAGCGACAGCAAATGCTACAGTTTTTAGTGAGAATTACATTTGTCCCTTATATTAGCTAAAGCAAGACTTTAGTCCTAGTAGCCAGCCAAATGCGAATGACTTTGAAATTTCCGGTCGGTTGTGTCTTAAAACCTCTCATTCTTTCCTATGGAAAAAAAAATAGAAGTAATGTCTGGGCTGCAATGTATTAGCGGGGCTCCCGCGCGCGCGAAGCGCGCGTGGGAAAGAGCCCCATACTCATGGAATATGGTCAACCTCTTTTCGTTTGGTTGTCACGTGAAGGACCGAGCGTACGTACGTACGTACATACGGACGTACGCGTCTACAGATTGTACGGGTGGGGTAGGGGAGACTATCAAAAGGAAGGGAGGGGTGTCTCAGGCGTGTCTTGGCAAGTCCACATCTTTAATATAGGATTTTAGGACATTCACAATATGGTCAATTGACAGCTGTCAAAACAGGATAGCCACTGACCAGTATCCCATGACCATATCGCGGGCTCATGTGTTAACTCATCGAGGTGACGTGATTTATTTGGAAGCTGTCCGCTGACCAGTTAATTGTTTTACTAGATCGCGAACAATTTTCAATCTCATACTTTTACTAGTTAAACTGATAATGCACACATATTGGACATCAATGTTTGGATCAATTGACAGCTGTCAAAACAGGGTACCCGCTGACCAGTGTCACTTGACCGTATCGCGGGCTCAGGTGTCGACCCATCGAGGTCAAGTATTTTTTTAAGTTACCCGCTGACAAGTTACTAGTTTTCAAGTGATCGCAGGCTCAAGTTCAAGTTTTTTCTAAATTCATATGAAATATGTTGTGTTTATGTGCTACACAATTAAAATTTTGATTGCAAACTGACCTCGGACGCGAAAATTCAGCCAGCTGTTACAGGCAGGGAAGACAGAAGGAAGACAGTTGCTTTTGACTTTTCTCACCATGGTCACGCGTTGGTCACGCTCTACGTCCAATTTTTACGCTCTGATTGGTCAAAATTTGATAGGTGAGTTCATGCGGAAAATTTATGCAGCATCTTGAATTTTGTTTACTTTGACAGCTGAAGCTGACAGAGTTTTGTGTCAACTTGTGATGTTTTTAACTGTCTTTTTCCACTGGATGTGCAAAATGAAATTCAGCTGTTATCAGGAGTCCTCTGTTATTCATGGCTAGTTTGTTTATTGGGTTTTTGGTTGAAGAATACGTCGCTTGTCAAAGTCGGAAATCCGATTGCGGATGGCATCGTTTTCGTTTTCACCTTGCTTGATGCGTAAGAGGATTGCAAAGTCTGAAGCGATACTGGCTTTTCTTGATACCTTTCAGGAGCTGCATCTCGAATGGTAAGCCAGAGAAATTATTGTATTTTGATGTTTGTTTTTTTGGATCTAATTTAATGAAGTCGAGCGGAGTTTATGCGGTCATTTAGTTGATGCACGTTTGTAAGATTCAGGGGCACCCAACGAGGATATAGTTCAAAACCACTTAACATAGCATTGTTGAACGTATTTTAGTATTTAAACGGTAGATATAGGCATATTTTTATCCCCTAAAAACTTTTCATCTGTTCGGATTTCCTAGCTGAAAGTCTAGTGATCCGAAAATTATAGGGATCAAAACTTACCTTTTCGAAAATTTCAGCCAGGAAAAGGCTCCCGAAAATTCTAGGTGGCCTTTTTTAGAGTAAATATCCGTTTAAAATGGGTAATTATACCATTTTGTAGATGTTCGAAAATCCTAGGAGAGGCAGGCAAGCAAGAAATTTTACAACAAATGTTCCGAAAATTCTAGCTCTCAAATCGCCTTCCGAACAGATATTTTCCCGAAAATTGCCGTTGGGACAATGATCTGACCGAGTATCAGGTTTGATATAAGCTTACAGAACTTTAAAAAGCCTTTAGACAGTTTCTCACCGCAAATAGAAAGAAAACGTTCCAAAGAATATTTAGTTATAATTCTGGACGGAAAAGAAAGCTTTGAGCGATTTTCCTGCCTCGAGTTCGTCTTTGAAAAAAGCAAACACCGGGAAGCCGGCTTAAAACATAAACTTGAGCTTGAAGCTTGAAGACTCAGGATTTTTAGGGATACTTTAATACTTGTCTTCCTGAATGAAAATCGTTGTTTCTGTATATGTTTCACCGAATTATATTTCTTTTATTGATTGTTAGTGGTCTCTCTTGTAATCTTAATTGCTGAGCCGATTGTTTTCAGTCGTTCAGTGAACATCGCTTGCAGGAGTACTCAAAATGCCGTGTTAATGTTCATTCAAACACTCGCCACAGCTCGCACTACAAAAGTGAGAACCGGATGGCCGTATAGGTGATTTTGGAAATTTTTTTAACAGTTTATGAATATTGAATGAGTGCAATTTGTATCGTGAAATACTGCTTTCTGTCCGAGGTCTGTCGGTATGATAAAAACAGTACCTCATACTACTGTTTCACCTCAGATGTGATGTATTATAAATGGTATAAAAGGTTGGTTTACACGCACCCAGATTTGTTGACAGGATTTTGCAAAGTAAACTTGTCGAACGCAAAATAGTTGGCCTCCGCTAATTAATCTACGGTGATCAAGAGCCATTATGGCTCTTAAATGTGATCGAAGATGATTACCAGTTTTTGGGTGTACATATGAGGCTATCAACTCGATGTACGATTTGGTTCAGTCTTGGGCTGTTTGCAAATTATTTTTCTCTAAAATCAGGTAGCCTTTCCCTCAAAAGTCACATAAATGTGCTCTAAAGTTAACTGAATTGTGGGATTCGAATACAAGTTTATTGTTTAATTTAAATTATAAAGTTATTAATGGGAGCCTCGCTTTTAGCCCTGACTAAATCTATATATTACTGCAATACTATACTTTAGTTATAATTATGACCATTTTGGTTTTTCAGACAGGACAATAATTACTGTGCGCCCAGAAGATAAAAAGGTTGATGAAGGAACTCGTGTTGATCTGAGATGTGAGGCAAAGGCTGACCCGTCTCTTGAGTTGAGATACTATTGGAAAAGAGATGATGCCGTCGTAACGTACAACAACAAAATTCAGTGGTTTGAAGGAGCTAAGATTCTAACAATTGCCAGCATTACAATTTATAAAGCTGGTAATTATACTTGTGTGGCCTACACTCCTGATCCAAAAAGATCTGAAGACCAAGCATCTGCAACTATTGATATCCGAGGTACTAACACAGTCTGTCTAGGGGTATACGTGTTATCTCAGATTCTCTAGAATGAACGGAAGTGGTCTCGTTATGAATCTTTTTGGTGGCGTTAACTGCAGGGAGACTGGGTACCACATTAGGGAATCGCGCCTGTAGATACGCGTCGCTAGTAAATGCAAATTTTTCTGTCAATCAAATGTGTCCTATTATTTGTAGGTGGAAATTGGTAAAACATCGTTATTGTTTTGGAGACAATAGAAGAACAAAAGATAACAGAAAGATCAGGTTATGCGGTCTTAAAGCGTGTTGCGTGACTTAAATCAGTTGGAGCATTTCTCCTAGCTTTCCCGCATTAAAACGTTGGAATGAAAAGTCTGAAGCTTAGCTTTTAAAATCTTGATAGCCAAAATAAAAGGGGTGCCCCAAAAGGCAAGCATCTGGGAATTCAAAATCGATATTTTAGTCTCCAGCGAAATCCGGCGGATGAACAGTAATTTGCATATAGTCCCCCCCCCCCCATATAAGCGTAAGTGAAGCAAAATAGAATACAAATTGCCGTGGTTGTAAACACAACGTTTCCTCGAAGTTTTTTTCCTTTTGAAAGCGTAAATTCGCATGAAAGAGCTCAGCTTGCACAAAATAATATAAAATGAAACGAATCAAATCGAAAAGTGGTAAAAAAAAGTCAGGATATTTCAATTCGATGGAAAGTAAGTGATTGGGTAGGTGATTTGCATACTGATAAAACTAACTTCTAGCGCAGTTCAAAACCGTTCGGCTTCCTGAATTTTTTTCCTGGAATTCTATACATTCTGCTGGCCTAAATCGTTAAAATATCTTATGAAGTCAAAATATTTATCAATTTGAGCGTTTGCATTTCCTTATAAAACAGAGAGTTGCGCAAAAGCTTCGATCTATAGATTTTCTTAAGTTAAATTACCTTTGTATCATGGAAACAATACCCTAACACTTGAGTCTTGAATCAAAGGACGCGACATGCGTCGGCTCCCTTTGTGAGCGCGCAAATAGTCATGGGACCCGCGATTTTGCGGGCGACGCGGATCTACAGGCGCCGTTCCGTAATGAGCTTTCCGTACAACGGTTTCTGAGATAGAGAAGAAAAATGTGACGTCACTAAATTCAAATTTGTGAAATTATGGGATTATTTAACATATTAAGAAAGAACAAAATAAAAATGCTCCCTTCCCAAAAATCACTCTCTTAGTACAAATTTGTAAAGAGATATTAGCACCGGTTTGCTCTGATGACTCCACAAAAATCCTTCTAAAAATGGTTTGGATCGTAAAGTTAACGATCCAGGCCTATTTCCGGGGGATTTATATGAAGTCATCGGAGCAATAACCTTGCTTATATCTCCTCACCAATTGGCAGCAACGTGCTAATGTTTGGCAGCTGAACATTTTCATCTCTTTTTTTATTCTGAATATGGCCAACCAATCCAAATTTAGTTTTTTTGACGTCATCACTTCTTTTCCCAGTTGTTTGCATCTCCCCGTGACTATCTTCACCTTCGTAAGTTTGGCAGAGAAAAATAGGCTTTCATTACACTAACCATTTTACTGTTTTAATCTGATTTTTGAAGGTGTTCCTAATCCGCCACTAAATCTTGCCATGACAAATTGTTTTAAACGCACTACAACGCTTTCCTGGGTTACTGGAGCAGCTAACAATGCTTCCATCACACAGTTTATTATTGAGCAGGAATCTACGTATGAGCCCAACGTGTTTTATAACATTCAAAATGTTACACACCCTAAAGCGACGTCCTTTACCTTTAATCTGACCGGATGGGCGACCCTTCGTTTCCGTATGAGAGCTGTCAACCGCTTTGGACCCAGCCGTGCAAGTGTAGCCACGACTGAAGTTTGTGAAACGGATGTTGGACGTGAGTGTATTTGGCTTGTCAGTTTTACTTTACAAACTCTGAGACGATCAATGATGTTTTTCTTGGGCAAAGGAGTTGTCATATGCTACATTGATTCCGATATTGTTGAATGAAAAAATTGCTATAAGTATCCGGAGGCTAAGCGTTGCTTAACTGTAATATATCAAGCATGAGACGCAGTGTTTTATCACTAGATGAAACACCGAGAAGAGAGTTGAAAAATACGACGCGCAGCGGAGCATGTTTTTGACGAACTTCGAAGTGTTTCATCTGGTGATGAAGCACTGTGTTGAATTCTTGATATTACTTCTCAAACAAAATGATTTTAGAAGGACAAATTAAGGATGCAAAAATGAGAAGTTTTTCATCTGATTTCCAAACACTCACCAAACTTTAGTTTCCTTTCTATTTTCTTTATGAATTATTAATGAGTTTGAGAAGGTGTGATAAAAGTAGGTATTTCAAGATACTGCGACAGACGTCAATTGTAAAGTAAGGTCGTGTTCAAACTCAGTTTTTCAAATGTGGGTGGTAACCCAGTCTTCGCATTCTTAGGAACCTTATCCAAGGTCGCAAAGAAAAGGAAAAATTCGTCGTCGCATGTTGCGACCTCAATTAAACGTTGATCTATATTTTGATTCTGATTTCGATAGGAAACTATATGAGACATTATTGGAACAGAAATGACTTTAAATCTATGTACTTTCAACAGCTCCAGATAAATATCCAGACAATTTCCGTGGAAATCCAAAGAAAGCCGAGCAGCTTGACATTATTTGGACCGTAAGTGCTCTTTAGCCCCGTGCAAACGGACGCAACAATATTGTTGGACAACAACTCCCAAAATTGTTGGATGTTACATCTTACGTCCGTTTGCACACCCTGTTGCATGTTGTTGCGTGTTGTTGGGGGTTGTTGCGCAAAGTTTGAGACCGTCAGGTCATTTAGGTGATTTAGTCGAGTTCTACTCCTTTTACTTACCGTTCGAAACAAAATTTTAAAAAAAATTAACTAACAGTAACTCGCAATGGTGTCTGCAACACCAAGGAAAACCCATTTCTTCAGTGGTTTATAGTCCAAGACATCTATCCTCTGAAATTTAGTCTGTGGGTTTGCTTCATGACGTTTTGACAGGGAATGTTTTAGTTTTGCAAAAGAAAGCATTCCCATAAGGAGGTTTATAAGCGAAGGGTATTAATTTTGGATTTAAGTACCTTCTTATTTTTAATTCTTCTTAGGCAATGGCTAAAGTGGATTGGAACGCACCCGGCCTTTACTACTTGCTGAAGTACAGACAGGTGCCGGGTGGTCAATTTGGAGACCCGGAGAAAATCACTGATCCCACTGTTGACGTTTTTGCGATACCAAATCCCGGTTATTATAAGCTATGGGAATTTCAGATTCAAGCTGGGAACAAGGAAGGTATGGGGCCTAAGAGTCCTGTAGTACAATCATATTCGGGTCAAGACCCGCCAGAAGGAAAGCCAGGAAATGTGCAAACTGGATCTGCGACGGCACGCACTGTTGTGTTGTCATGGCAACCTGTTAATGTTACTCGAGGAACTGTGGATGGTTATAAGGTGAGAGCAGCCTTGTTCCCATTCCCTCTCTTTTTCTCTTTATCCGGAGATAGATGGAGAGAGGAGAGACAGTATTAGTGTGATATGGTCTTTTAATCAGCTGCAATTGGATTTAAAGGGGTTGTTCCCGTGATTTTTTTGTAGTTTAAACTTGCTTGGAAGTCAGCTTTGATGAAGTTTCTATTTCTTGATTGGAAAGATTTTCTTATCGATCGTTTGGCCCTTATGCACTGACATCGTTCAAGTCAGATAAAGACATCGATCGAGTTACATCTAAGAATTGACGCCAAAAATATTTGTTTACAGTAGCGAATTTGCATTTGCAGATTTACTACTGGGGTAAGAGTCGCCTGAGTGCAAGACGTCGACGAGAAATTCCTGGTTATGAGTCGTTTGTCAATGTCCGAGGAGGCAGCACTGATAGGCACAATGTAAAAGAACTTACACCTTACACTGACTACATCTTTGCAATAACGGCTTACAACAGTGGCGGCGAAGGACCTGCCAGTAACGAAGCCTTTGCAGCGACTGAAGAAGAAGGTAAGTTTTTTCAAGGAGTTCACAATTACCTCTATCTTAACAAAGATTTCTCAATGATCCCAAGAGCAATGACGACGTGGCGTGGGTTTTAACCTTAGTAGGTCTACCAAAGCCGGATTGGTCAGTCGAAGGTGAGAGGTCAAACTTAGACCCCGTCTACACTTATCCGGATATTTTTTATTCATTACTACGTCGACACGCCGTAGCGTATTCAAATCGAGTTTGGCCGTCCACACGCGTACGTATCCGGATTCACTCTCAGTTCGTCACTAATTTGTAAAAAGCGTTATTTGGCTCATACGAAAATTTTCACGCCAATCTTCTTCAATGAACTGTTTCGCTTGTTTCACTGACAAAATTGTCCCACTAAGCACTTGAGTTCGCTCGTTTAACTTGTTCAGTTACGGCGTCCAATTCGTCTGTCCGACCGCCGCGCCAAGGAGAGAAGCCTTAGAATGTCGAGCCGTCGTTTGGCATAATTGAAGTGTACAGCAATCATAGCTAGGTTTAACTGCAAGCACGTTATAAGACTTGAAACTGAAGTCCAAGAAGTAAAAAAGCGATAACAATGTGAACGGCACCATCTTGAATATTCACGGTTAAGGGCTCGATCCTGTTACTTTACAGGAAAAAAAAAATATTCGGATTTAGCGTCTACACTATTCTGGATTCATAGCGCATTCAAAAATTTCCACTTTGGGGAGCGCCGATTCAAACAGTTGCGGACTCGCATGCCGGATTCACCGGATACGCAAAGACGGAAGCCGAATCCGCAAAGAAAACGTTGCGAATTCAAAAATATCCCGATACGTGTGAACGGGGCCTTTGGACAACGCCGGGAATTCCAGGCAGGGCATTTGACGAAGGGCCGTTCCCCCTCATTGCAAAACTAATACCAAGTACGTAAAAAGCAAAGAAAAATTACCAAGGATGATTTCCTGCCTCTTCCCCTATTGGGAAGAGGGAAATCACGATGGTCATAAAAAAGGATATACAGTCGTACATCTTGGCGATAGATCCTTCCACGATGTACGACTGTACGTCCCTTTTCTTGGTCATCAAAGGCCAACCTGGAATGCCCAGGGGCTATTTTCAGTCCTCTCACCCTCGACCAATCCGGTATTGTTAGACCTACCAAGGGCAAAAGTTGGCATCATTAAGACAAGAAATCACAATCACGGCAATGCAGCAAGGCTAAGGCAAAGGTACGCCCATTTATGAGTTCAAAGAGTGATAAAAAACAATCTTCTTGCAACATTGTCAATACATATTCAAGATAAAAGGCTACGAGAATTAATGAATGATCACCAAAGGGAACATTCTTTGATCTTTTATAAAATTTTCTCCACTAATTTTTAAGGAAATGTATGGAGATAAGTCTGGAATATTTGTACGTGGGCTTAAAGGGTTAAGTTGCCATGAACTTCATTTCATTTTAGTTCCTGGACCACCATCAGCAGTCAACGTCTATGCCTTTGCAAAATACATCCTGGTCACATGGAAAGCTCCTGTGGAACCTAACGGCGTGATTACAAAATACCGAGTGGGGTCGGCGCAGTACAATGGTACGCAGCCGAGCGACGGTCATCAGGTATCCTGGCAGGAACTAGGACCAGGTGTTTTTAGAAAGCTTCTTGAGAATCAGACGGCGGAGAGAAATTATGTTGTAGAAATACAAGCAGAGACAAGCAAAGGGTGGGGAGAACAAGTCAGAAAGACAACACGAACTGTAAAATATGCTCGTAAGTATTTTTTAAATACGTTAGTTAATATAGGTTTAACTTGAACTCTCGCCTTGCGGACTTTTCATCGTTTCTAACCCGCTTATACAGCCGCCTCTGTTCGCTCCTCTCCGCAAGGAGCGAGAATAAATGGCTGTAGTTGCAGACTACGCTTTTACGGACACCTCGATAATACGGAAAGTAGCTGATAAAATCTCCGGCGAAAACTAAGTACCAAAATTTAGCATGGAAGCACATTCTACTATTACCATTATTACTCAATGGCCAGTAACGTACGCATGCACACAGTCACATCCACCAGGTAGTGGCAGTTGTGTAAACTAATGATGGTTTTATGTTTCTGTCAGCTCCCACCAAACCAGAAAGACCCACTGTTGAGGGAACCGGCGTGGATGAAGTGAAAGTTACTTACAACTTTGGTCTTGGTGGAGGCTATACCCACGAGTTCTTGGTCATGTACCGAAAGAAACAATTACAACGACTACGACAACAACAACAGGAGAAATTAAAAGAAACCAGGTAGAAATGTGGATGATTGAAAAAAAAGACTAATGTTTATAAAAGAGAAATCTAATATTAATCAATCCTATTTTTACGGTAAGGTATCTTTAGAAACGAAAAATCTTGGTACCTCTACTGAGGGTAAAAAAAGCCTTGACCCCCATTCTTTTGGATGGCTTTAACATCTTCCAGGGTCCCATTCTTTTGGATAGCCCTCCCTTTTGAAGCCTCAGTCCTCCCCAAACTCTTTCTGTTCGTATGGTGTCCCCCTCAGAGAACCGAACCAAATTTGGGATTGATCGAGAGGGGTTTGAGGCAACTTTCAGAGGTTAGCGTATGCTGAAGAAAAATGGCACGAGAAAGACTCGGGCGAGAAAAGGTAACGGACACAAGAAATGAAACTTCCCCTCGGTTTACTAATTTAAATATATTTTTCTAATTTTTTCTTAGTGCAAGGAGAAGCCTTCCAGAACACCAGCTGGATTAATCATTTTGAGACGCAGAACATCAAAATTGGAGGCTTAAATAACGAGCTTTACGAGTTTAAAACTGTTGGCAGAAATGATTATCCAGACGACGATGACGTTAATTCAAGATCAGAGAGCCCCGCCAGTGACGTCACGGACGGACGGCCTCTCCCATCAATAACCAGTAAGTATCGGGGGGGGAGGGAGGGAGGGCGGAGGAAATTTAGCCGATTCCCTCTTTGAATATTACTTCACTGAAGTGATCCCCCCTAATAACTTTTGATGACTTTCGCGATCCCCCCCCCTCCCCATGCCTTCATTTTCCAAACAAATTTGAGTGGTCCCCCTCTGAATCCTTCCAAAGCTTTCAGCGATCCCCCATTTAGGGTTCTCAGTTACGACTGATCCCCTCTTTTGCTCTCCCAAAAATCAGTTATTGCGCTCACAGGCAATAAATAATGACCGGTCCCTCATTTGCATTTTAAGCTTTGATATCGATTTCAAATTTCGCACTAACCAAGGGCTATCTTAACCCAGCTTTGAACAACCCGGCCCTGAATGATGTTTTCTTATAATAGCAACAGAGTATACTCCTTTTACCAATACCTTTCAGGTAGCAAGCCTTTAAGAAATCCGATACACAAGAGTGCTTGGTTCATCACCTTGCTCACTATTATCGCTGTTGTGCTGATTGTGCTGTTGATTTTTGTACACTATACTCGGCATCAAGGTGCTAAATATCTTGGTAAGCTCAAATGAGGTCTTGATCTTCTAAAATACATTCAATGTAAACAGTTTCTTGAGAACTTGCCTGATGTAAATGATGCATTCTGAATTCTATGCCCTGGATTCCGGATTCCAGGTACTGAATTCCAGTCTTTGTCAATGAAACTTTGAGTCCGGATTTCAAACGTTACTTGGATTCCAGATTCCATAAGCAAAAATATCCCGGATTGCGGATTCCACAGGGGAAAAATTTTCCGGATTCCGGAATCCCTAACTTAAGATGAAGAATGGGTCTGTCTATCATCGCATTCTGACGTGTCCTTATTACAATAACTGTATTGGGCATCCTTGCAAATCATTGGAGAATTTTAACATGACGTCATGTTCGCCATATTGGTGTACGAAAACAATAAAACGGTGGCAATGTTGGTGTTCCAACCCAATCCTTTGCATTTGCATAGATGCTGACCACAGTGAAAAGAGGGTCCTCAATAGGTTTCTCGGGTTTCTCGATTTCCCTTATTTAAAGCACGGGATCCGGGATTTCCCTTATTTGAAGCTTGGGATCGGTGATTTCCCTCATTTGAAGCTCGGGATTTGGGATTTTAAAACAAAATCAGGGCGAGATTCGGGATTGATTGTATGCGCAGAAGGTGGGATGCCAAAAATAACCCTTGGGATCACGGAAGTTTACGAAGTTTTGTGTTGGGATTACGGGATTGAAGAACCCTTTTAGGGACCCTCTGAAAATGCTCTAAAGATAGGATCTACGCTAGAACCGGTGCCCCGCCAGAAACCAAAAATCTCCCTTTAGGTGTGGTCAAAAGAAGAATGCGAAAAACCAGTATTCCTCATCTTATGCAGTGGCAGATACATAGCATTGTAATTTGCTTGTCTTTAATGAGTGGTCTTTAATCAAAGGCTTTTATAGACTGCCAGCAGTCTCTTATTTTTCTTGAGTCAGGGTAAATCGTGCGCATGCGCGACCAGCTTCGATGAATAATTTTACTTTAGTTTTGGCCAACCGCGAATGGCTCTGAGGAAAGAATGATGACGATGCGCGATGTAAGGCTTTAATCATGTTGACTGATTTTCTGCTTAACAGTTGGCAAACGAGAGAGAGAGAGAGGTGTAATTGAACACGAACCACCATACGATGAGGAAGAAGGCGCTTCTATAAGCGATCAACGGTGAGAAACTATCGACCATCAATACGACTTTATAGCACGTGGAAATTGTCATTTCTTGCAGATTTCAGGGCTGTCATTAATGTTAAATTGTTATCCAAAGAAGAGATTGCAATCCTGGATTCAGAAGAGGGCCAAAGAGTCACAAGTTTTATCACTGTCACTTTAGTGCGTTCCCTCCTAAAATAAAGTTTGTTGCCCGTTTTTACACGTTCTATGGACGGATTGTGGATGATCCATCTGTCTGTCAAAATTGACGGATAAACAGATGGATTAACTTAGACGGATAGTTCATCCAAAATTAAAACCCTTCCATTTTCAAATTAAGACGCATATTATGTCTGTCGCAAATTACCCAACGGAAAATCCGTCTCTAGTGTGAATACGGCCACTGTGTTGTGTTATAATCAGTCGTTGAAATGTAAGGTGACAATCTACGTGCGGTGCCTGCTTCAAAGCTTTATGGCGGCCTGGAGTTTGGGGTACACTCGGATACCGTGAAGGGTATGTCACGTCCAAGTGATGTAGCGCGTCCCGGTTAAACTGCAGATACCCAAAACCCTGTACCAAATTGAAGCTTATTGAACTGGCTATCTTTAACAATGTGTTAAAAACTTGAATTGTTGATTTTAGTTAAAGCTATTTACTAGACATTGTATATTACAGTCGAGATCATGGTTACCCTGTATGGTAGGCTACCATGAATTACTGGCCAATATAATAACTGTTAACAGGGAATATAATAACCTGTCAACAGGGAATATAATAACTGTTAACAGGGAAGCCTCGGTGAGGAGTTGGGTCTCTTCCCCGGGGGTTGAAGTGAATGAAACCCCTGAGAATCTGCCTTTGGCGTTGTAAAGATCTAACATAGATTTTGCTCGCTTTTAGCCGGGTGGAAAACCCTCCACCATACCAGAGCAAGAGTTCTCTATGGAAGATCCCAGAAAACGACCGCGACAGTTTGGATGATTATAGCGAGGGACAGCAGTTTGGCGAAGATGGCGCCTTCATTGAAGAGTACGTCGAAGGAAAGAAAAATTCCCCGGACGGGAAGGACTCAGCTTTGGCGACATTTGTTTGAGTTTCTGCGTACACTAAGCTCTTCAACTGGAATACTACAGAACACTACATTTAAGTAACCATCCAATTCAGTCGTTTTCGCTAGCTTAAGTTTCTCATTAGATTGTTCAGTGGGATCTAACTGTAATGTTTTACGAGTTTGAGAGTCAAAGTTTGTTTTTAACAAACATTGAAGACGGTGGTGAGAGCAACAGTATATCGGTAACTGCGATGGATTGATTAATCCCCCTTAATTGCCATTTTTTAATTATAGCCTCTGTAGGCTCGAAAACAGCGCAATAAGAGTGTGGAGATATTCAGAAACATGTCAAAAAGCAACAAAGTAATGTAAAGTTTCTTCGAAACAGCTTATATAGAGTAAATCACAATTATTTGTTGTTTGAAATAGAACAAGTGGAAGTTTAGTCACTGTTAGCTGTTTTGAAGTGCAGGGTTAGATTTTGGTGTGCGCATGCTTAGTAAAACCTTTTTCTAAACGTCGCGCTCTTCGTCATCGGTGTTAGGCCATGTATCGTCAAGTTACATCCAACATAACACTTTCACTTTCTAAAGGGTGCGCAGACATGCTTCCTACAAGAATAATGTTGTAAATCTAACGAAAGTATATCAGTAATTAAAGTACCTTCAAAAATAAACCCTTTTTTGAGCTGTGAACGTGAGTCCCTTTGTTTTTCTACAGAATGATAGCTCACGTGACGTATGCAGTGGCAGATCCAGACCTTCAGATAAGAGATAAGGGGTAAGGGCGGGGGGAGGGGGGAGCGGCCATCCAGATCCTGACATAAGCGGGAGCGGTCTCAAATAAATTTGATAATACGCGCATGCATATATCCAACATAACAAAAGGTTACTCTTGCGGGCAACTGCTCGGCATTTCCCGCGCGTTGGCCCCGCAAGAGAAAGTTCTCTTTTTGACCATTTAATAAATCCTTTATTGACCAAGCTTGCCCGGTCAAGAATGCTGTAAATTGCTTTTATTCAAGTGTTGACTGAGTGATCGCTTTCGAGAAGTTAACAACAAGGGAAAACACCAGCCGGTGATTTACAAGAAGGCTGCTGTCGCTTACGAGAGCTTTTCATTACAGAGCTTAATAAGTCAGAGTTCAAAGAGGATTTTACAGTCACAGTAATTTTCAAGGAGTTATAATAACTCCTCTAGTGGGGCTAATTTAACTCCTTACAATGCAGTTATTTTTTGGGGAGTTATTTTAACTCCAAAAAGGAGTTTAAAGAACTCTTTTTCAGTAGTAAAAGTGACCCCAGATATTGAGCAGTTAAAATAACCCCCAAAAAGGAGTTATCCTGTACCTAAAAGTTTTACTCCACTTTCAGAGTTAAATTAACTCCAAAAAGAGTAAAAACAACTCATGCAAGGAGAAAAGTAACCCCATTTCGGAGCTATTTTAACTCCAGACTGGGAGTAAAGAGAACTCTTTTTCAGGAGTAAAAATGACCCCAAATCCGGGGTCAAATTAGGAGTTAAAATAACCCCCAAAAAGGGGTTATCCTGTACCTAAATTTTTACTCCATTTTTGAAGTTACAATAACTCCCTAAAAATTACGGTTGAGCCAGTCGTAACTAGCGCTAACCTCTTATGGCAGTGGTCGCAAGGAGAAATGCGACTGTAAATGTACGCTGTCGGTAACCCAGCGATAGAGTACTTGTTCCGGGTTCATCTCCGTTTACTTGGGCCAAGGTGCGACTTCACCGTTTAGCCTAGACCGCGGTTAAACTACAGTCGAACCTCCCGTAAGCGACCACCCAAAATGTACAGATTGAGTGGTCGCCTACCGAAGGTGGTCGTTGACAAGAATCGAACCATAGGGGCCTCTTCCGAGAAGAGGTCTGGGCACATCAACTTTATGGTAGATGATTTATTGCATGCGGTGTCTATTAAGTTACGACATGAGTAGTTCCATGTTGTCACTAAAGGTCTTCGTATACTCTTAGTACCATGGTGCACACAGCGAACATAGAGATCGGAGGATGCGTCAAGTGGTCGCTTACAAGTGGTTAAAAACATTGGAAAATCATTAACCGTCAGGCGCAAAAAAGCAAGGTAGCGTTCGCTTACAGGAGGTGGTCGTTTGAGCTTCTAACTGTGAGGTTTTGACTGGGAAAACTTTTGGTGTTTTGGATTGGCGGTCCTTTACCGGAGGTGGTCGCACATGGAGGTTCACCTGTACACAGAATAATTAATGGTCCTCACTAGCTACATCAGTGTGTCCGCCCGGCGCCACTTCGATAACTGGTTTCTCTCCTGAGTTGTAAACCTACTGGCCATTTTACGTGGACATTTGAGCCATGTGAAGGTCACGCCGCTTTCAGTGCAAGGGAGTACAGTGCACCTTCATTTCTCAGTTATGTTAAGACCCTGAGTATTGGTCCGGCCCTGGGAATTGACCTGCAACCTCCCACTCTGCAGTCAAGTACTCTACCAACTGAGCTAATCCTGCCATGGTTGAATGAATGGGGAAACAATGTTTTCCTTTCCTTTCACTATAACACGCACAGAAGTGGGCACAGATGAAACATGTATCAACAATACTACAACACCAAAGGTTCAATAAATTTTTCTTGTTCAAGGCCTACAGCTGTGTAGCGCGATTAAAGAAAGTGCAATGGTTAGCTTTTTAAAATAAAAAGAACATTGTCAATCTGCCTCATAGGTAATTTGTTAAGTACATTAAGGACCCATAACAAGGATGCTTCTGCTTTACAGATACCACTGGAAGGGGTTACATTACACATGCAGACTAATGAAACCCTAAGGTGAAACAGAGTGATTGTTGAGGATCCAATCTGTCCCAGTCTAGAACATAAAGTAAATGTGCTTACCAGTGAGTTCACTTATAAGTGGCTTGACTGTCACAGGGGAATTTTTCTTGGGAGCCAACAGAGTAGTTAGCAGGTCCAAACCCTCACACAATCCTCCTGAATTAAGTTTAGGAAGCTTAACTGAAAATGTTCCTACAATAAAATAAATGTGAAAGAATGATTACTTACACTTACAGTGGATAGCCGGTAAATGCTGTTTTTACAGTTTCGTCCATGGCAAAATACACAAAAAATATCTAAATCAGAAAGTCTTTACAATATAGACAATTTCTTTTACAAGATAGTAGTTAGCACGGTCAAATTTCCCTTAATTAATTTAAGCAACCACACAAAATGAAAAGACTTAGCGGTCCCTTACAAGAATCAAACCACAGGGACTCCCTTCTTGGAGTAGTGGTGGGAATCAGTTGAGATTTCACAATCGATCACTGGAAATAATCGGATTGCCCCAACCGATCGATCATCGATTAAAATCAGAAAAATCTACCAATAAGCATTCCATGTATTTTTGACCTACATAGAAGTCAAAGTAATAGTTCTCCCGGCAAATTCAGTCTTGGTTGATCAGTCAAAATTCAGTCTTGGTAAAGTCAGTTGCTTAATTGTTTCCTGACCGTGCATTAAATTTAAAACGTTGTTGTTGGGGGAGGGGGGCTCCTTCCCCACCAGCTCTACTGTTCCTGGAGTGGTGAGCAGGGCTGATGAAGTGGTGAGATCAATCATCTCCCATCCAGTCTCATACCTGTCCCAGAGTCTTCTGGCTTCTTGGTCAGCAGGGTAACTACAGGGATCACTGACCAAAAAGTCAGAAGACTCTGGGTATGAGATTGCCTCCCGCCAATGTGGCCTGGGTCGACATCCCGAAGCTGATGCCATACGTAGGCTAAGCTCGTTGTTAGCTGCTAGCTAGTTATCTCTGCTTGGAGAGACTTTTTCTCCATGTACCCTGGTTTTCTTGTGTTCTCAAAAAACAGCATTCCTTCTACATTCCAATTTGATATAGAAGGCGTCTCCAGCTCACCTAAAAAATAGGGCTTCACGTAAAACTTGAATTCTGTGCCATTAATGCAGAAATCAACATCAGCAATCTGAAGATAAATGAAAGAATAAAGTAAGGGCACAGGGTGCAAAGAAATTTGGTTTTACAGCTTGCCATTTGGGCAAGTTGTTGCTAGTATGTACTAGCCCAAGAGTCTTTAAAGTAGTCCAAAAAACGTTTTCATGAGCAGCACTGATTACAGTTCTTCTGTATTTTGAATTTCCCCCCCAAAAAACCACTTGCCCTGCGGACACGTTAAGAACAGGATTCACTAGCCCAACTGCAAAATCCACTAGTCCCGGGCTATCGGAAACGACTTTCTTTGCACGCTGAAGGGCATTAAAAAAATTCTGATAAAGAAAAAGTTGAATAAAAACAGGACCCGACGTTTAACACCGATGCATGAGACTACCTTCTTTATACAAAATTTAACGATACCTTGACATACGCAGTCTTAATTATCACTACCACAAAATCATCATCCTGGCTCAATTCAAATACTGGTGTAAGCATCCTTTGCGGAATTACCCGTCCATCACAAAACGACAAAAATATGCCTCGTGTTTCTGGACGTGCAACCGTTGCGACTCGTCCGCCATTTTGGAATTATTTTCATCCCAGGCTTCTCACTTCACGGTCACAAAGGCTTTTTAACCCAGTCTCCCGTCCGATCACATGCTCAAAAAAGAAAGGGTTCTTCTTGATGTTTTTTTTTTTTGTTTGTTTGGGTTTCATTTTTGTTTTTGTTTTTTTATTATTATTATTATTATTATTAGTATTATTATTTGTCTTTTACAGGCCAATAGAGCGGACAATGACTGTCCATGTGGGAAGGAGAACAGATGGTTTGGTGAGAAAAAAGAGACCGAAAAGCCACTGAAAAGCAGACACCAGTACTTGCACGCTTCACTATCTATATTTGTGAGTCATTCTAGATGTGACTGAATATCACATAATTATGACATTATTATGACATTGCGCAAACTTATTCCATGTTTTACCGTCATCGGTCTGTCTTAACACTTCCTGCACTTTCCAAGTTAGTTCTACGAAACTGGTTCCTTAGAAAAATACCTCAAAAGGGCCATTTATACCGGGACAAATGAGAGACGTCCTCCGAAAAACGTAATACGTACGAGCTTGACGGTAAGTCTTACCTAAGTCGCGTCCTTTTACTTCAGGTCGATACCAATCAATGAAAATCAATAATTGATTTCAATCAATATTATCAATAAAAATCTATTGAGTGATATTGATTGGCTTAGCCAATCAATAAAAATCGATAATCATTCACCGATACGTCTAAACGTTATTGATTTTCATTGACTGTGTTTTTCTCATGGACCCCACAATTTTACCTATCACATTGAGCATATTTGTATGTCGTCGATGTGTGCCCTTTTAAAAGAGTTTTTCTGATATATTAAGCTAAGAATTAGATAAATTTACTAAATAACATTAAAGGCAGGCTCGAGGACATGTATAATGTCATGCTCAGTTTAGCCTGCGTAGCATGGCGGTTTTTTCGAGCCGGGTGCACGAGCGACGAAGCCGCAGGAAAAATAAAAACTCCCGCCCAAATCTCCTCGCGGTTTCTCTGCCCTCGCCTGCCTTTATTACTTAGCGCGCCCAACTAAAACCGCCATGCTACGCAGGCTATGCTCAGTTAAACATTAAGGACGGCACCACGTATGCTTTAAAGTACATTTCAGTTACGGTTTCTGCCTGTTGTCAAAACGGGAAGATAATAAATGTTGTTTGTACCGTTGTTTCTGTTGCACTTTCTAAATTTCTTCAGTTTATCGCAGATCGGACCATGAAAACTTAATCAGGTTTATTTTCTAAGCAGTGTGACGTGTTTAAAACAAAGAGAAAGCACATTTTAGTTTTCAATAAAAATCAATGAAATCAGTGAAAATCAAAATCACTCAAGACCGCGGTTTTGATTTTTACTGATTTTCAATATCAATCAATTAATTGTTACTGATTTGTATTGACTATTGTTGTTGTTATCGATGATTGATTTTGATGGCTAACATGACCTTTTCGAGATTCACGCGATATACGGCAATATAATGGCTTTTTGCCAAGTTTCAGTGACAATACTGCGCAAGTTACCGGAAGAGATACAAGCAAATGAAGTTTCATCTCTACTAACAGTTCTACTTGCGGGAAAACCAATGGATATTTAGGCTTTAAGTAAAATTTACATCGTAGTTAGACAATGATGCCATCGCAAACTTACAGTAGTTACATAAGTAGGTTGAGTATGATCGTCCGGGTGAACTTAGTCCTGCATAGGACTGTTGTTGTTGGACTGACGTTTCGACCACCTGTGCGGTAGTCATCTTCAGAGTCAAAGTGAGTTGTATCACGTCAGTTGATGGTATAAACTCTGGTTATTGACCTGATTGGTCAACTAAGTCGCGATGTTATTAGTCGTCTGTCAGTTAAGCCGTGATGTTATTGGCTACACAAGACTCGTAATGTCATTCTTGCGTTTCGATCCGTCTATTGTGAGTCACAGTTAAACAGTCGTCTATTGTCAGTCAAATTGTCTGTTGTCCAGTCCTTCTCTCGTGGTTAGTTTTGCTTGATTCCGTCAATAAGTCGTTTGTACGTTGCCGGTGATAGTCAACAGTTACAGAATTTTTCCCTATAACGACACCCAAACTGGCCAGTAATGTATGTCTACGTCTGCTGGGAAACTTTGCAGTAAGTCAGGTTGCAGGTTGTAGGTGCACCATTCCGGCCGGGAACACTTCCAATAGTCTTGCTAAGAGTGAGGAACAGATAAATTTCTCTCAGCAATCTCCTAAAATGCTTAAAGTGGTTTCAGAGAGCTTCATTCATGCTTTGTTATTGTTTTTAGGACAGTTTTTCAAAATTTATTGTTGGGTGCCCCTAAGTTTCTGCCGACTTCAAGTTACGAATTAACACTACTACTACAATGGACGGAAAACAAAAGAACTTGGGAGTGTGTGAGAAAACCCTTCAAGGAAATTTTACGTTGAGCTTTGCTCCATACGACAATTTTTTATCTGCTTTGGGTTCATCCGTCGTCCCCCCTCCCCCCCCCCCCAGCAATGTTGTGACCAAAAAAGCACTCATTTCCACCCAATTTGCTCAAGATTCAATTTTGTTTGGGGAGGGAGGGGAGGGATCGCTAGGTTTACTAATATCACTGGAAACTAGGTCCCTTAACTCTTTTGACTCCATTGCAGCGTAGTCAATATATTTTTTGAGTAGATCCATATTTTATATTTCGCATAATTATGCCATTCCGCAAGTCGTGCCTTACCAGACTACTTCCTCAAGTCAATATATTTTTTGAGTAGATCCATATTTTACATTTCGCATAATTATGCCATTCCGCAAGTCGTGCCTTACCATACGGCTTCCTCAAGTCAATATATTTTTTGAGTAGATCCATATTTTACATTTCGCATAATTATGCCATTCCGCAAGTCGTGCCTTACCATACTACTTCCTCAAGTATTGCCCTTTATTGGTCAATATATTTTTTGAGTAGGTCCATATTTTACATTTCGCATAATTATGCCATTCCGCAAGTCGTGCCTAACCATACGACTTCCTCAAGTATTGCCCTTTATGATCTATCTTAACATTTCCGACGTTTACGAAACTGGCACTCTAAAACTGAGTTCCTTGAAGTGAAAAAAATGTTTGAAGAGATTTAGAGTCACGTATACAGCACACGGCAAACGGCAGGCACAAGTTGCAAATCAGTCTCAAAATGGAAAATGAGCAGATAAAAACAGTCCAAAACAATTCTTTTGGGTAGCAATGACGTTAAACTACTTATTCTTATGTAGAGGTAATAACTGAAAGAACAGTTAGACAAGTATAGGCGGAAAACTTAGTCACGTGGCACTATTGCCGTATTGACCTTGGCGGATAAAGGTTGGGCGGTGAAACGAGCATGTCCGAGCAAAAAGGTGTGATGCAGTGGACTCGGGACTCTTTTTAGAAATGTCGCTTGTTTTCGACTTCGGTCAGAGTTTGCGATGTGGTTTGTCCATTAGACACTGCCGCTGTCACTGAATTATGGCGGCTTCATTTGTTTTCTTGCACTTCTTCCTCGTTCCTTTGTGCCGGTACGCTGTCTCCGAGAGGCAAATGTTGCTATTTTTGCGGGAGGTTTAGTTGGAGTAGACAAACATCTCTTTTAAAGGGTTTCTCTTATTACTTCCATAACTCTACCACTGACTTATATTTTCGTTCTACTACTCGCCAATGTCGATGTTATTCCAAAACAAAAACAACTATGTACTGTCTAAAACACGAAGGAAAATCTCATCGATGTCATCCATCGCGAAACTAAAAGACAGCAGATCGTGTTTCATAACTAGATGACGCGTATTTTATAAATGCGTGCAGCTCGTGCAAGGTGAAATTATGCTAATTTAAATCACAATCATCCTTCTATTTAATTTTGAAAAACACACCTCATACGGTTTTCTGTTTCTTCGAAACTACAAAATTAGTTTCCCTTCAGTTTTTGCTGTTTACCTTGTTTTGTTTTAGAGAGAAAAACGGAGAGAAAACCTGACAACTAACCTCAATAAATTTTGTTTACACCCGGTTGCCGGATTTGCGACGCATTGCGCGAATCGCCATGGCGCGTTGCACCCGAGAAGCAAAGTTTGAAGCAGTAAAACGCCACTATATCAAAATATATCAATCTAATTTTTTGTTATGTTATATAAAATTTATCCCCCTTTTAACATATGTAAAAATTGAGGTTAAGAAGTGTTAAGCTTTTGCAAACGAAACGGCGAAAGACGATTAGGTGATATTTAGTGGCAGGAGAAGCTATTCAACACTTTCAAATTAAACTCAAATTTTGGCATTATACGACCAACAAGTTTGACTTATAGACATACAGACACAAACATATGAAATTGTTTATAGATATTGTTATGAAACGAATTTATCTATTTAACATTGTAGCCTGAAATTACAGAAAGAAAATAGCATTTCTGGTTTGCAAAAAGGAAAATTTCGCCGGCCTTCAAGCGCATCGGAAACGCGGAAAGAGCGCTCGTGCCAGTCCTACTCCGCATCACACATTAATTGAAGAGCTGAGCGCTCGTTTCACCGCCCAACATTTATCCGCCCTGGTATTGACCGTGCTCTAAATCAACTTCCGGTTGCCATCTCTGACGTCGGGGACTGTCAAAGTTTATTGTCGTTGCATAATTAAGGTCTCTCATATCACATTTGGGCCATTTACACATGCAGGAAAAATAGGACAGGAACATCGACACAAACTTTACCTTCTTTACCATTTATGCAAGCATATAAGGTAAGTCTTAATAGCTAAACTTTACGGAAAATTAAGGCTGTTTCTCAGTTTTCAGCTCTGCGACTTAGACGAGATAAAAAGAGTAATATTGAAATTCTTTCTCTTAAGTTATATTCGAGGGGAAAAACAATTTTTATGGTAATTTAGGTTAAGAAAATAAGATCCTGGCTAACTACAAAATGATGAGAGACTGTTGAGAGATAATACACCTTTTCACGTTTTTTTTCTTTTCAACTTTTGACATGACCTTTAG